GCCCGCAATCAAATATCTTTTGCCCCAAGCTTGAAAATAAAAGTTGAAACAAAAATTGTCAAAACAAAGTTTTCTTCGCTTTTTTCTTTTACAAAATTTTTTTAAAAGATTATTTTTTGCATTTTATGTTTTTTTATATTAAATTTCTTCATAAGGAATTTTAATAAAGTTTTATTAAATCATTTTCTGAGACATGCTGTTCTCATGGCTATTCAAGAAAGCTGATGAATACTTAGCGGTTTGTGGCTATAATTGAATCAACTTCTCTCATCTTATGAATGTCATCAAACGAGAAATAATTTGGGAAAGAAATTGCGGAAATTCCTGAAGTTTATTCCAACAGCGACCCATTTTTACGGAAACCGCTTTTCTCAGCTTAAAGCTTTCCATACAGTAAAAGTTTTTCACTTCTTCCAAGCTTTTTGTGAAATCGTCTTGAAAATTTCATTTAAATTGAATTTTAGATGGGATTACAGCAATCCACAAAATTGATTAATAATCCAACCATCTTAACCAATACCTAATGCCAATAACAACTCACTCAATGGGTAGGTGTGTTAATTACGTTAGAAATTTCATTTTCAAATTGTTATCACAACGCACACCTCCATACCAACTTCCACTCAACTTTCAAATTCACCCTGCAAAAGTTACTTTCCAAAGTAAATTATTGTTTCAAGTTGAAACATTATGAAACAGCATGAATGTCATCTCATTTCTAAGTGGATCTTAATTCGCTGAATTATTACACAACAACAGTGAAATAATGTTACGCATATTTTCTCTAAGCGAGAATAAACAATTGAGTCTGAGTTGAAAGATCCAAAATATGTAAATAATTTTTTTTATTCTTCTTCTTATTCCCTCGCAGCAATGCTTGCCACGAAACGCGATGGGCAATTAAGTTTAGAATTACATTAGCGTGTTGCCGCTTTTTATCAGGAGTGAGAAGAAAATTTGCCGGTTCATATTTTCACACAACGATTTTTGTGATTCAAATGAATGTTTTTCATCTGGAAATAAAAACAATACAGCGATTATTACACGAGCACGAAACGCTTTGTAGGCCTTTTAGTTTAATAACCTTCATTAAGAAAAGTGTCACAGTTAAAGCCATTCAAATAGGATTTGATTAAATTGTGAGTTTAGATGAAGGGAAGGCGGAATAATATGTTTTTAAGTTAACTTTTGTTTACGCTACTGTTAAATGACTTTGTTTTCACTTGTTAATTGATTTCTTGAGAACGTCTGTAAATATTTTATGCGGGCGTATTCAAACAAAGACGAAGAAGATGATCCAGACTTTGAGTAAAAGAGAATAACAGTCAAAGATGCGATTTGATAGTCTTTGTAAGAATTAATTTGTTTCTCTTAAATGTCAAGAGTTTAATTGTTTTATACATTGAAGCCTGCCAAGTCTTTTCAAGTCTAATAAGCTGAAATAATATTAACGGAAGTTAAACTGGAGGTGTGGACATTCGCTCTTAAATAATTAATTTATGTAGAACAAAGATGACTGACCATCTGTCACATGTTTCATTAAATAAAAAAAGGGTCGATTCGTAACTCAACTCTATTTTTTAAATAAATATTTGATCATGACTATCATTTCGTCAACTTTTAATTAAAACTAACAAATATTCATTTAAAATTTATTTGATCAAATTGAAACTTTCTTTTTCATTTATAAATATGACGAAATTTCTCTTAATGTTTCTCAAAAAAATAAACCACTGCAGTGCATTCCGTTTACTCATCGGAATTCTTCATCTACAATATTTACATAAAACTGACATAAATTTGAAGAAAAAAAGAATATTAATTAAGTAAATAATAAGCACGCAAGGTTCTAATTTGTCAGTGTTAATGGTTTCAATAATGAAGACAATAAAATCAGCAAACGAATATAATTGTTAGAAAATCAACCTTGAGCTTGAAACAAGAACATTCAATTAAGTTTACGATTTCATTGCATGTTAATTTTTTGGACAGCATGGTCAAAGTTTTATCATTGAAGCGATCAGAGAAATGTCCCAATTCTTATAAACTCAAGAACAGGCTAAAATAATTACCGTTTTTAGGAAATACTCGGAAATGTGTTGTGAAGTCAAAAAGTGAAGAGTGGCGGCAGCCCATTTAAGCGAGAATAATATCAGAAAAACCTGTTTGTAACGTGAATTTGTAATTCCAAGACATTCACAACCTCTTGTGTTTGCTCTTTCTTCTCTCGTTTAATGCTGCAATTTCAGCTAACACAAACACCAAAAGCCTTGCCCAATTTAACGATTCTTTTTCTTTCTTTCTTTAATGCCAACTAGAAAGTCCTAAGTTCTTTCCGTTTACGATTTCTTATCAACTTTTTTTAAGTTAAATATAATTAGGCTACTTAATTGCTTCCACAACACGAAATACAATCATTGAACCATCAACAAATAATCAAGGCTAGGAATTTTTATATGACTCACAACTACCTAGTCTCTCTTTTAATTAATCTTTTGTTTTATACAACTTTCAATTAACTTAAAACTTTATTTAAGAAAAATATTTAAATTCAACAATTGTTAAAGTTCATCACACCTTTCTTTAATTATAATCTTGTCGATATTTTTCTCTTCTTTGGTGAATATTTTTTTCTTTATCTTCTACTTCTTTTAAGTCTGTTCACTCGAAGCAATGAAAGCCAACTGATGTTGAAGTGTATAAGTATAGCGACTGACTTAAAGTAAACCGCGCGGGCCAAAAGTGAGAGAAATGAGAGCGAAGAGAAAATTTGATTTGTTCGCCGGTTTACTTTAGATAAGCTTTCGCGTACTTAAACTTGAGATCGGGAAATTTAACGAATACCTAAATGTTTTAAAATTGTCTTTGAATTTTTAACAATAAAATTGAAAGAAATTGAACAAAATTTTTCTAGATTTTCATATCAAAAATATTTTTTATTTATCTTTGAATATGCAACAAGCATTTATTTTGTTTAACCTCATGACGAATAAGTATGCTCAACCTTGTTGATAGTAACTTGTATAGGTTGCGAATAATATTGCGATGAAGGCTCTAGTTGAATAATTTGAGATGTCTGATCAGTATCATAAGTAATGATATTGATGGTTTCTTTCTCTTCCTCACATTTCATGACTATGGGGAGCTCTTCTCCCTTATGCACTGTAAGCAGATGCTTTTTCAGGAATGACTCGTAACGAAAGCTTCTATGACAAAGTGTACATTGTGTGACTTTCAAATGGATTTTATTATGACGACTCAGCGATGATTTATGACGGAAAGACATAAAGCAAGTGCTACATTGATGAGGCTTTGAAGTGCTATGAACTAAGAGATGTTTCATCAGCGTTGCTTTATCACTGAATTCTTTTCCACATAGTTCTATAAAAAATGAATTTTAAAGATAATTTGAAACTTTAAGATAAAAACGTTTAACTTACCACAAATATGATCTTTAACTCCAGTATGACGATTTTTCATATGATGCAGCATCGTGTATTTTTGACGGAATTTCTTATAGCCCCATCCACATTCGTGTGGCTTTTCATTCTTGTGAATTAGAACTGAAATACATATCACATTAACATTATTTAAAGGATATTATCATTAAATTGATATCATACTATGGTTTCGTAATGCTATTTTCTGCCTAAATTCCCTTCCACAGTCGTCACAACGAAACTGCTTCGTGTTTTCGTGAATTTTCAAGTGTATTGAATAAACTCCTTTAATTAACTTCCCACAAATATGACAAATTGAGCCGTGACGATTTATTCCCATTTCGTGACTCATCAAATGTTTTACGAGGTTGTGATTTCGAGAGAATGATTTCTTGCAGCCTTCATGCGGACAATGTGTTTTCAATTCATCGTCGACTTCTTCAAGATCGCTGTCTTTATGCTTTAGATCCTTCAAGATATCATCATAATCTGCATCATCTACTTCGAACTGGAACTCGTATTCTTCATCAGAACTGAGGGGCTCGAACTTTACTTCAACTTCTTCAAGTTGTAATACTAAAATTTTAGATTAGAACATATAGAAACTGTTTTAATACTAATTTACGATCTTCTACTTACGACATTCTTCATCCATTCCCTTTGCATACAAAGTTTAATTTAGTGAGTAGTAGAATTTCTTTTTATTGCAAAAGATTTCAAACAAGAAGCAATTCACAATCTTTTGAAAGTATTACAATTAATTTAAATACACTTTCACTATTATTTTTCTAACCACAGGATGCACAAATTCAATAAAAATTTTATATATTTTTTTATTTTCGTTTGTTTTTCGTCGCTTCATGAAACCTTACAATTATAAGGTTCTGCTATAAATTTAAATTTTCTTTTAGCGCAAACTCCAACGAACTTTTAATATCTCAGGGATAGATAAAAGTTGTAGTTGTACACCTTTTTTTGTTTACAAAAAACCTAAAATAGAATTGTTTAATTTAAAATGACATCTATTATTAAAGTACGTGCGATCTCTGGTGGAGCAGACAGTGACTCTCCACAATGTTATATTCTTGAAGTAGATGAACTTCGTTTATTGTTAGATGCTGGATGGGATATTTCACAAAATTCTTTACATCAAATTAATGAAATTAAAAAGTAAGTTTGATGTTGATTAATATTTTATTACTAAAACTAACGTCTTGAATGAAAATATATCCATTACAGATATGTTCACACTGTTGATGCTGTTCTTTTATCATATCCGGATCAGAATCATCTCGGAGCTCTTCCATATCTGGTAGGAAAATGTGGTCTTAATTGTCCCATCTACGCAACCATTCCCGTCTACAAAATGGGTCAAATGTTCATGTATGATATTTTTATGAGCCACTACAATCAATATGATTTTGATTTATTTTCACTGGATGATGTTGATGCCGCTTTTGAAAGAATAACGCAATTAAAATACAACCAAAGTGTTTCGTTGAAAGGAAAAGGTCAAGGAATTACAATTACACCTTTACCAGCTGGAAGAATGATTGGTGGAACCATTTGGAAGATTGTAAAAGTTGGAGAAGAGGATATTGTGTACGCCACTGATTTCAATCATAAAAAGGAACGACATTTGAACGGCTGTGAACTTGAGAAACTTCAACGTCCATCACTTCTCATTTGCGATTCATATAATGCAAAATATCAACAAGCCAGACGTCGAGCAAGAGATGAAAAGCTTATGACAAACATCCTTCAAACATTAAGAAGTAATGGAAATGTTTTAATTGCTGTCGATACTGCAGGTCGTGTTCTTGAATTAGCTCACATGCTCGATCAACTCTGGAAGAACAAAGACTCAGGTTTGATGGCATATTCACTTGCCTTACTCAGCAATGTTAGTTACAATGTGATTGAGTTCGCAAAGTCACAAATCGAGTGGATGAGCGATAAATTAATGAAAAGCTTCGAAGGTGCACGCAACAATCCATTTCAGTTTCGTCATCTTCGTTTGTGTCATTCGTTAAATGAACTTTCGAAAATTCCAAGTCCAAAAGTTGTTCTTGCCAGTAGTCCAGATTTGATGAGTGGATTTAGCCGTGAATTATTTGTACAATGGGCTCATAGTCCAACTAATAGCATCATTTTAACAACCAGAACAGCGCCAGGTACACTCGCAAAGGATCTGATTGAAAATGGTGGTGGAAGAAGAATCGAATTGGAAATCAAAAATCGAATTGAACTCGAAGGAGCTGAACTTGATGATTTCATGAGAACTGAAGGAGAGAAACATCGACCAACAATCCTCAAACGTGACAAGGAAGAAGAATCAAGTTCAGATTCAGAAGATGATGACATTGAGATGAAAGTTATCACAGGAAAGCACGACATTGTCGTACGACCTGAAGGCCGAACACATTCTGGATTCTTCAAGTCAAGTAAAAAACAATTCGCAATGTTTCCAATGCATGAAGAAAGAATCAGATTTGATGAATATGGCGAAGTAATTCAACCAGAAGATTATCGCATTGCTGACATTGGAACAGATGCACAAGATGAGAATAACAAAGAGAATCAAACAATAAAAGTTGAAGACATAAAGAAAGAAAAGATTGAAGGTGGAGGTAAATTAATTAGGTATTTTAATTTATTATATAGTTATATAAAAATATTTTTAATTTCTACAGAAATTCTTCCGATTGAAAAGCCAACTCGTTGTGTTGTGACTAAGAAACTCATCGACGTAAGAGCACAAATTCAATTTATCGATTTCGAAGGACGATCAGATGGTGAATCGTTAATGAAAATTTTGTCACAACTTCGACCACGGCGTGTAGTTGTTGTGAGAGGTGGCGAAGGTTGCAGTCAGTTAGTCGCAAGTCATTGTGAACAAAATATTGGATCGAAAGTGTTTACGCCAAGAAATGGCGAAGTCATTGATGCGACAACTGAAACTCACATTTATCAAGTTCGTTTAACTGAAGCACTGGTTTCAGAGCTTGAATTCCAAAAAGGAAAAGACGCTGAAATTGCTTGGATTAATGGAAAAATCACAATAAGAAATAAAGTCATTGAAAGTGCAACTGGGAATCCGACACCGATGGAAGACGATGATCATGTCGAGATAACTGACGATGCTTCAAACAGAATCATCGCTTTGGATCCTTTGTCAGTTGATGACATTCCACCACACGACTTTGTTTTACTCAACGAACTTAAACTCGCCGACTTCCGTCAAGTTCTCATGAAGAATAATATTCAGTCAGAAATTTCTGGTGGAATGTTGCTGTGTTGTAATGGAACAATCGCTCTGAAAAGAATTGACACAGGAAAAGTCACAATCGAAGGATGTTTGTCTGAAGATTATTACAAAGTCAGAGAATTACTTTACGAACAATATGCGATTGTTTAATTTTTATTTAAGTATCTAATAAAATTAATTTTAATCATCAAGAATAAAGATAAATTGAATTAAACTGGAATCGTTTCATGTTCATCAATGTTTGGTCGTTGAATTTCCTTTTCAGCAACGAGTTGCAGCCCGATGAGTTCTTGTGATAAATCATCGTCATCGAAATTGTAAAGTTTGCATTTTATTCCGTCAACATTCTCGAAAATTATAGCAATCAGAAATTTACACTTTTCTTGATGTTCCAGAATAATTTTAGCGACTTCAGCTGTGTTGGATTTTTCAGGTAGTGGCTGAATGTCAACAATTTCCATCAGACTCGACACGTCCACGAAGAAACTTTCCATCTTTACCTTTAACAGAGACAAGTTGATGGATGCTTGGCAATTCTTTAATGTTTTTATACTCTTTGACTTCGTCTTGTTCATTCATTAGATACATTAACGTCTTAACTTCAGATTCTGTTGATGTATGTTTACGCTTTACATAACTACACCAGAATTTGTTGACACTATAAAAGCTGATGACACGAATGGAAACTCTTGAATGCAAAATTGGCTTTCGGAATGAAACTGGAATGTCCAAAGAAAGAATTTTTATTCGATCGCGACATGCTCCATCTTTTATTTCGGGAATATGAAGCTGCTTACAACGACCGCCTTTGAAGCATCCGCCAGTCTCTGGTTCATAAAACTTGCATAAATTTTCATCGTCGTGTGTAACAAATCCTTGAACAGCCAATTGAGCATTCTCAGTGTTTAATGGCTCTTCATGCCAAATTTCCAATTGTTTTTCAGTAAATGTTTCTTTGCTTATTTCAGGTGGTGATTTGGAAACTTCTTGAATTGTATCATCAATTAATTTATGGTTCCAAATTGGATAAACATTAACTTTCATATCGTCGTTTCTTACTGCTACCACTTCAAATGTAAACTTCTGGTGAATGTTGTTCATGAGAAAAGAAGCTTCGTCATCGAAGTCGTGGTCAATTCTCAGTTTATTTAATTTACATCTTTTTGCCAGTGCAGGAGACTCTTTTAAATTGTCGGGAAGAATGTACATCATGTCTAAATCCATGTCACAAATTGCCATGTTGAATTTTTCACCAGTGTCAAAAAGATAAAGGGTCATGCATATTAAAGGATCCAAAGTTTCATCACTTAACGGTAACCGAGTACATCGAAAGAATTCATTGCCAGATCGAACAAGAAACTGATCAAATATAGAAGGAATCCACCATATCTGAACCAGCTCATCTGTTTTGATTTCGATGCTTGGAACAGTGCCATCAATTACGATATAAAATTGATCGCAGCTTTCAAAATGTGATATTGTTCCAAAGACTACACATCCTTCCATATCTTCGAATTTCATAAATTTAAGATGAATATTTTTAAATAATTTTTGTGAAAAACTTACATTTCAAATAATCATCATCAATAATTTCAACTTCCATCGTACTATAACTTTGCAGGTTTTCTGTGATTATAAACTTATTTTTATTCAAAAGTTGTGCTTTTTTAGGAACAAAAGGTTATTTTAAAAAAAAGTTCTATTTAAAGGTTGCTACTAAAAGGTTTTGTTGCTGTTTTACTCGTCTTTTCATTTGAAACTGTTCAGTTTCTTGTGTAATTGCCTAACTCATTAATTAAAATCAATAAATCAACGACAGATTATTTTCAGATATTAAGTGACGACTTTTAATGGCGGTTGTATAGCCAGTTCTAAAAAATTTAACTATAATTTAGAACATGCNAAATTAGGTAATTAAGAACGGGGGAGCCGTTACAATTCAGATGCTTATTTCAAACTCAAACACATTAAGTATCAACGAAGTTAATGGATTAATACCATCCAACTAACAAAAAACCAAAGTTTCGGTCTTCATCAACTAAAAATGGACATAAAAATCTTAGCATACAACTTGTTTATTTTTGAATATAAAAACTTTGTTTTTGATTTTCCATTACAGACTTCACTAATCATCTTGATAAGGAAAACTTAATTAAAAGAATAGAATATCAAAATTTCAAATGAATGTTAAATCTGTATCACAATTGATGTAGCCATTATAAGAAAATATGATTGTATCTATGTCTAGGGTTATAGGAATTAAGAATCCAACAGGAAACTCTTTCTCTCGACATCTGTTTTGGGATTTTCAAGGTTTTCTAATTGCTCGTCGGTCACCCGATCTTTGTACCAGTCAGTGCTATTTAAAAAATAAAACAAATGATCGATCTGGTAGCTTTGATTATTTAATTTTACATACCACTCAGGAACATGTCTTGGCCAATCACAAATTTCTGTAGCGTCATTATAAACTTGTGCAAATTGACAAGAATTTCTTCGAGGAGTAACACCATTGATGCTCCAAATGCAAATATAATAGTGTTGACAGTCATTTGGATCAGGGTAACGAGGATGAGTCACAGCAATTGATTCATGAACTTTGGGACACGTAAACTCAGGAACATCTGAAGACAAAAAGTAGATTGAGAAAAAGAGTTGAATTAAATAAAAAATGATCAACCTTCTTTCGAGTCTTCAGAAGATTTTTTGAAGCATTCAGTTTTTTGAGTTTCATCAGGCCACGTACAAATGCCAGTTTTTGAACTAAATACCAATCCTGATGGGCATGTCATTGGGTTGGATTTTCCTAAATTTCATTAAAAATTAATTTCATGACTAGATATTCAAATAAGAATTAAATTGAGGTACCATCGATACAGTAGTAAAATTTATCGCACACGTTCTTGTCAGCATGTCCAAAATATCCGTTCTGACGTGGACAGTCTTCAGATGGAATTGGTGTTTCTGAAACATTAAAAATTCTTTTCGTTTTATGTATTTGCAAGGAAGAATTAAAAAACTTACGCAGTTTTGATTTTTTACTGCAATCGATGGTGTGTGGTAAATCACATTTCTCTACGTTGCTATCGCGATCGTTGAAGACGAATCCATCTTTACATAAACGTTCTTAAAAAACATTCCAATAATTTATTTACATTTATTATCTGACAGTTACAATTGACTTTTTATTTATGTTACCTTCAAGTTTTCCTTCGGTGCATGCATAATATTTATCACATTGAGCAATATCAGCAAAGAAACCATCATCCTCAGGGCATTCGTCAGAATCTTCAAATTCTTCAGAATCATCGAGAGGTGCTTCAGTTGTAGTAGTTTTTGAAACTTTGCGTAAAAGAACGCGGCGCTTTGTTTGTGAAAGCACAACACCTGGGAATAGTTAAATTCATCAATTGAAGTTTTCATATTTTCTTCTGAATCAAAAATCATCAAGTCAACAACATTTAAGCACACCGAAGTCAATGTTATCGATCGACCTTCACTTATGTAAGATTTCTACAACTGCTATCGTTGTCAAAAATTAATTAATTTACCGGTTTATGAGGTACGATACTGTTGCGTGCGATTTATTTTGTGAGTATTTGTGAGGTATTTAAATCAATTAGTATTTGAATGACTGCAACTAGTTGACCTTTTACAGCGCATAAATGTACACAAAGGAACATGTTTAAACGAGAATATTTAAATTCAAAACAGGATATAAATTTGTTGTAGTAATTTTTTGATATTATTTTTCATTATTCTACATTACACAGTTCAGTTTTAAAGATCCGACATGTTAGTAATGAGATGAAGCCTTTGAATGGTTCAATCAATGAAAGAAATGATTAAAATGAAACTTACCGAAGAAAAGACTGAAAAATAATAACTTTACGAGAAATGTTGGAGTCATTCTGTTAAACAGTTCAACGCAAACTGATTGAGAGACAAAATATAAGAAAAAATGTATTCAAATATTGTGGTTTATGTACTGAATATAAGCTCCAACACATAATCGCAATAAATATTTATACACAAGACTGTGACATGAGTTCTTCTATGAAACCTGTTCGCAATGTGCTGTTACCGAATGATGATTTCATGTCTGTGGGGATATTGAAAGTGAAAGTGTAAACAAGAAGTTACACAAATACTTTTTCACTTAATCCAGAGATGGGTCTGAAACTTTAAAAATCAAAATAAAACATTAAATTTTACATGAGAATATCTTTTATTAAATTTAAATAGTTAACATTCATGATGTGTCTTCATAATTTTAAATAGTAATAAAAAAAACTTCTAAAGTGTTGCACACAGCTAACTAATAATATTCATAAAATTAATCAACTAAAGAATGGATGGGGAAGAAATAATATCACTGAACGAAATAAAAAGGAAGGAAAATCTGTTTTTATTAATTTAACACTCAAACGCTTTCGCATTTGTAATTAAAATGTGGTTTAATCGCTTGTCTATGAAAACTTTTCATGAAAAGAATTTCATTTCACTGACGATGGCATCTTTTCTAAGAAGTCAAGTGATAAGACTTGTTCGATTTCAGCCATAATACATTTAATGTCTTTCTCTGGGTTAGCATTGAAGTGATGAGAGTTTGGCCAACGAATGCAAAGTGTAGAAAAAAATCCGTAGAGATCTTGAAGGTTGTTGATTGATTGGCAAGTGAGAACCAAGTGCGAGCCTTTCATAGAGTTGGTATTCGACTAAGAAATATTAAATAAATTATTTATTTGTTTAATTTCAATGTTTAAATCAGATTCTTACCGGTGAGTGACTCGTATAGCGAAAGTCCATTAATTGTGCGATTCTTGTGACATGTGGAATAAATTTACTCTGCGAAACTTCACTTTCATGTCCATTAACAATGTCTCCTGAACAAAAGTCGTGTTGACTTCCAACAAATGCCCAACGATACATTTGAAAATGTGGAAGACTCGTGGCTGGTAAGACGCAGCCAAGTTCAAGCAGCTTCGCTGTTTCCAGTTGAACATTTCGCCAGCTGGGATGTCCATGGGCGTGCAGACCATTATTCGTATTTGTCACCCATGCTGTGTCTAAACCCGACAGCATTCGAATATGTTGACTATGTTTGGATGAAAAATTGTCAAATTAATTCACTTTTTTTATGTTTATTCAAAACGTTTTAAACTCATTTGATTAATTAAGCACAATCACTAAATAACACTTCATATTAATTACCTTGTTTGACTCCTGACATAATTTAATGGATGGTAAGACAAGAACGTAACATTTTTTTTAATCAGTTTTCAAATTACGATGATGGTGATGATGATGATGATATGAAGACCAACATAATACATGAAGATAATTACAATTTGTGTGGGTGGTTGTGTTTGAATATTTGTGTGACCAAAATAAATATTTTCCAAAGAAAATTTGATGAAAACATAAAATAAAATAAAAATAAATCAAATTCAATTTTTTAAGTGTTTTTTCGAATCATTAAAAAAAAATTCCACCACCAGAAATTGTTTCTTAAATTTATTTGTTAGTAGAATAAAAGCATGAAAAGTTTCAGTAGCTTCATTTAATGAAATGTTAGTTAAAGCATATAAATTTTATATCGAAATAAAATGTTACCTGAACTCCTCCGTATCGGTCATCAACTCTTGCTCAATCGATAAGAAAACTTGAACAATTTCTGCAATTATTGTTGGCCACAGTGATGTAACATGATCTGGCGACATTCTCAGTAAAAGAACTCGGAAGCAAAGAAGAACAGCAGCTTGAACGCATGGAATAACTTGTGGTAATCGAAGGCAGTTCGACAATTGTTCTGTTACCATAAAAATATGAAAAATTTCATCAAATGTTGCAGATAAAAAGTTTAATTAATCATATACCTTGAATTTCCGGCATGTATTTCTGATACTGATCACGTTCACTACAAAAGATGACAAATGCAAGCTTTTTTAATAACAAAGCTTTTTGTTCATATTCTTGTTCCTTTGATGTAAAAATGTTGAGACTTCCAGTTGGTGCCACTGATAATCGTGCTGCAAAATATTTAAATTTTCAATTATTTCTTCATTAAATTGACATTATTCTACTCACTCATCAAATCTCTGAATGTTGTGCTATCAAAGCTCATGAGATTGTCAAGAATTTGTTTCCAAAAAGGTAAGCAAGACACGTCCATTTGGAAGAATGCTGGATCGAGTAGAAGATCGAAGACATCCTTCCGCCATGCTTTTCTTGTATATTGATAAGGCGTGAGGGTCGAAAGCAGATTAGAGCAAGCGTAAAAGAAGGGAATGTTCTTGACAGAATGATTCTTAAGATAAGGGACAATGTTGTACATTAAAGTTGTTACAATTTGTGTGATTTTGTCTTTTTCCTGTGATCCATAAGCGTAATCTAATAAATTAACTAAGAAGTGCGCGAGTATTGACTGCGCCTCAACTGAATATTGATGAATTCCACCTGATGATGGCGTCACACTTCCATCTCTAACTAACTCATCAGTGACTTCTTCCTTCACAGCAAGATTCCTTCTCAACCATGTCGTTTGTTCCAAACATGCACCAGCAATATTTGCAATCGCATCAATCAATCTTGAAGTGATGTCGTGAAGATCACGAACATCTTTTTTGTCTTTTCTATCACTTGGCGAACATTCCTTGCAAAAATCGTGAAGAATACAAAACAACATGAAAAGTGCCGGTGGTGACAATCCCAAAGAATCTTTTAAAAGATTCAACAACGAACTCCATGAATCGTTGAGATTCTCAGCTCGAACATTTCTCATGTAAATGTAAAAGAATTCAAGTGCACTGACATTAAGAACCAATCCAGTTGGTGGTCGGTAAATTTGTGGAGGTGACTTAATGACGCTGTTTAAAGTCTGCACAAATGAATCGAATGGCATGACTTTTATTCCTAAAACCATTTTAACAAGCGACATTTGTGTAGCACTTGCAGGTTGTTGAAATTTCGGAACATTTTTTGTCGCCATCTTCTTGTCAGCTCTCTCATGCCAAACAACAGCAATTGCTGCAACAAAATTACATCCATGATGCAATGCAATTGGCGTGATGAACTCCATAAGTTGTTGCTTCACTAAACGCTCTTGTCCCATCTCAGTTTCCCATAAAATTGCCATACTCGCGATGATTCTCGGCAAATGACTCAACACACAAGTTCTTGTTGCATTTTGCTGCAGTTGATGTTTATTGTAAGCTTCCCCAACGATCGGTAACGGTGACGATGATAAAAAGAAGTTAAGAATGTTGTTGTAAAGTTGTCCCGAATATGAAGACTGTGTGGATGTTGAAGTGTTGGTTGGATTGAAGAGATGTGACAACGAAACTTGCTGATTGTTATCCAGCAAACAGAAGTGACAAATCACTGTGAGTGCTTCAAGCTGTGATAAGCAGTAATCAGGTGGAACTTGATTATTTAACGCTCCTAATTTTGTGATCTTATCAATATTTTCGCAAAGTTGATGCATGACACTCACGACAATGTTCGAGAGCCCGTCAGGTGAAAAGCAGTTCAACGATGACGTCACAAGTTCCGTCCAATTCTTATGTAAATGTTTTAAATTCTCTGATTGAAGGGCATTGAGAATAGCTGTCAAGAACATTGGTTGTTGACTGATTGTCAGATTCGCAATATATTTAATACTACCCGAAGTGCTTGTAATTGGATTCGGTCGTGTCGGTGATTGTGACATTATTGATGAGAGTGAAGCTGAAAGTCGTGGTATTGTCGCTTCTTTTATTCCATCGTCGCCTTTCTGAACAATTGTTTCATGTTCAAGTTTAATGACAGCATCTAAAAGCTTCAACAACTGCACTTGAATCGCTTCCAAATGCATTTTCTCATCACCAGGATCGTTTGCCTTTAAAATCTTCTCGGAAAGTGTCGTCGTGATCTTCATGGTGAAGTAATGAACTGAAGTCAACACACAATGAAGAATCACTTTCTGTACTTTACATTTAATCATAAGATCAGCAACATAACTTGCCAAACCTTTTCCCATCTCTTTGACAATGGAAATCAATTCAGTAAAAATTAATGTCAACATTTCAATCGATGCCAATTGAATCTTACAGTTTGCAAGTAGATCATCAATCGTCGGCTTCTCATGTGATCGCATTGGAATATTTCGATTGTTGTCCAAGTCATCGTCGCTGTCAGATTGTTGATTGTCGTAATTTACTTGGAAATAGCTTCGTGCGTAGTAAAGACAAAGTGTTATCAGCACTTCAAGGTACATTACTCCACGATAAGCGTTATTGAACTCGGAATTTGAAAGTGAACCATCGAAGCCTTTACCAAAAATGCTTTTCCTATGGCGCATAAGTAAATGTTTCAATTGCAACTCCGAGACTGAAGTGTTAATAGAGAGACAGAGAAAGAGTTTCGAATTACCAGCAAGCATAAGATTTCTTAAAGTCTCCAGACAATAAAGAACTTGCTTCGTGTCGTAACATTTATAATAAAGCAACAAATGTGTGTGGAAAGGATGAAGTTTCTCCATTTTTGTGTTAAAGAATCCATCAAACTCATCTGACTCTAAATTCTTCTTCAATATTTGAACATTTGCTTTTCCTTTTTCCAAAGTTTCTTGCGTGATTTTCTTGTAATTTTTCCGTTTCTTCGTCTGATGTTTTGACATTGAACTAACACCAAATTCACGTACTCGATCACTTTCTTGTTCACTCGTCGATTCACGATTAGTATTTGAAATTTCTGACTTTTGTGTGCTGTCGATTGATGTCTTGGAATGTCTTTTTGTCAATTTTGCATCATCTTTGTTGTCTTCTTGATTGTTGGCAATAATCTGTGAGATCGAATCAACTGCTGTCACTTCCAATGTGTTGTCATCGCCACCTTCAAGTTCTGTCTCAATGAGATCATGAATGATTGACTTTCTAATCTCTTCAACAGCTTTCGGAGTTGTTTCATTTGAGATACTTGAAAAATATTCATCAGCAGCTGTTCCTGATTCATCATAAGATGGCTGATAAATGGCAGAATCGTCATTCATTGAATCAGATCCGTTATTCGATACATTATAACTTTTCTTTTTGCCATTTTTAACCTTTGTTGAATTCATTGAACTTAAATCATCAGTTGGACCTGAAAGTTTCATCTTTTCATCATCAGACATTTCATTGTCAGACATGGAATCAGCTGATGTTGTCGAATATTCGGATGAAGAGTCAGAGAATCGTTTCTTCGATGAAGCTTTCTCGACGAGAGAGTTTGGACAACTTTTCGTTACAAATCCAGCGTCTTGTTCCAATGGTTCAAGTGGATTCACAAATAAATTGTTGATGTCAGTGTCGAGTGAAACAGCAGGCGCTGATGGAAGATTCGATGAAGGCATCAAACCTTTGTCACGCATCTTCTGACCTGAACTTGAACTCTTTGTTGCCATGTTGTAAAGTTTCTTCGACAACGAACCAATCGGACTTTTCCTTTTCGTCGATTCAAGATGATTTCGAACAATTCCATCATCCATTTTGATCACATAAACTTCATTCTCAACGAAAACATCTTTTCGTGGCTGATCTTGATCAGCAATTTTCTCATCGAAAACATTCGACGACTCATTGAATTTTGTTGTTTCTTTCACCTTCACAAGATGAACATTTGAAATGCTGATTCGCTTCGTATTGGAACTCAACATGACGACCATCAATGGCATTAGAAGGCGACCAAGATCACCTCGCAATAAAGCTTCCTTCAACCACTTCACGACAAACGTTCGAATCGAAATGTGTTGGGGAAGAGCCAAAGTGTCATAAACACGAAGAAGAATCTTATCGAAGCTTTCCTTTTGATCTCGTCCCAAATGCCACAACAATTCAAACTTCCGAAATCCACTCGATTGTCTTTCACTTAATTGACTACTGCAATGTCTCACCGACATCTCTGGTAAGCTCAACATGATCTTAATGTCACTTAATCGATTCATTTTGTAATGATTTAAACGATCTTCGTGTTTATTTTCCAAATCGGAATCTGATGATGATGACGATGTCCAAATGAGATGAGAATTTTCAATTCTATCACTAATAACACGCTCAACAAGTCCACTGTCAAGACATGAATGAAGTTGATAGAGAAGAAATGTTATTTGTGATAAATCAACCGTCTTATCATAATCAAGATAATCCCAAAGTGTCGATACGAGAAGTTGAAAAATTCTTGTTTGATCTTCAATGTAAAGCACATGACCGAACTTAAGTAACGGCAACATCACTAAATGTTGAACATCTTTAGTTGGCAACTTTTCTTTTTGACATTTAACAATTCCTATTAATTCGAAAAGCGTTGAAATGCAATTGATTTGAAGTTCTTTATCGAACTTTGAATAAGCAGCTGACAAAGCGAGAACTTTCAACCATGTTGGAAGTTCTTTCTCTTCTTGAAAGTCTGGTGGAAGATTTTGATTGTAGTTTGGAATTGTTGACACGAGCACAAGTAATTGCGATACAAACTTTATCGATCGTCTCACTGAAGCTGACAATTTCAATCCCAATAATTTGTTAATCATCTTCAAATTCTCATTTGTTTGTTGTTTGTTAATTTTTTCATCTTCAGCCGAGTCAGCATCACCTAATGATTGATTCAGAAGTGAATGAAGCTTTTGAATGCGACAACTTCTTTCCGTCTTTAATGTTTCAAAAAGTTCATCGATTTTTTGGAGCGATTCAATATTATTATTTTCGATGAGATCGTCATTAAGAAAGTAGCTGAGTTTGCTGCCAACGTTGGATGATTCGTCGTCGTTCACTGAACATTTCTCTTTGTTGATAGTTGATGGAATGTCAATCAATAAGTGATGTGAGAGGTAAATTTGATAGAAGATTTCGTACTGCTTGCTACATTTCTCAAGAATTGTATATTTCTGCAGTTGCGATTCTGTCAACTCTTTCACCTCTGACTTGACAACTGTATTGATATCTTTTGTATTTGGCAATGGCTCACTGTTTGCTGTGTCGTTTGAATCTTTCGACTCGTTCATACTTGAAGTTTCCTGATTAGCTTTGACATTTATCTCGTTAAGTTTCTTCAATTTCTTGTCCTTTTTCTTGTTCTTCTTGTCATGACTTTCATCGAGATTAGGAACGGAACCAGCATTCGATGCAACAAGAAGTTGACCGTTATCAGTACAAATCTGCAAAAACAAATTCATTTAACATCTTCAATCATATTTTTTCTTGTAACATTGTTGCTGAATGAAATTTACATGTCAATTGATAGATAAATTATTAAATAAATACATTACAATGTGAGAAGTGACACGAAAAGTATCACTTAGGTAACGGGAAAGGTTTCTCACTGTCACATAATATTTATCAACAATTCACTCAGCAACAATTGAGAAGGCAGAAGGAAGAAAATCAAAAACCTTCACAGGTTTAATATTAAAATTTAAAGTCGATAAAAAAAGCAAACATAAGTCATGCGATTATCTATGAATGGCTAAATAAATCAATTTACTACTTCTTTATCCAATTCAAAGAGCTTTGAGTGTGACTTTGACTTCTTTGACTTCTTTGGGCTTTTATGCTTTGCTCCCATGTTATGGTTTGATCGTGAACGTTTGATTGGCTCGTCGAGGGAAGTCTGAAAAGTTTTTGTTAGTTTTCTCTTCATAACATGCAATATCATTTCAAAATTATTAAATAAACACGATAAACAAAATATTTACAGAACTGAAAAGCTTCACACTTACTTGGTTCAACTTTGAATCTGATTTACTTTTCTCTAAACCACTCGAACCATCAACAAATGTCACCGTTGTTGTTGTCGTCGTTGTTGATGATGTTTGATTGACTTTTGTTGCTTCATTTTTGTTTTTTGGAATTTCCATGTCATTTCCATTTGATGAATCTCTAAACATTACAAAATATTTTTGTTTAAATTAGGAAAATAGAAAAAGAAATGAAAACTTACAAAAACATCGGCTGCACATGTTTAACAATTTCAATGCTCAATTTTATCGCTGCTGTTACTTCATCTTCTGTCAATGATCCGCCATAAACAGTCAAAATTTTTGTGATAGCAAATAAAACGCGTGGGAGGTAGATTTGTGTTATCTCCGTAAACATTTCAAGTGACAGAGTTTCAAGAAGATTTTCAGTTAGATAACAAACTTCAATCACTGATGGATCGCCCGAATCAACGTCATTCGCCAAGCATTGCGATGACTTTAATTCTTCTGGAAGTTTTCTTGCTTCTTCACACACTTGACGTTGGCATGCACTCTCGAAATGATTCGTCAAAAAATTCCAGATGTAAGATGGATCAAAATTACCAAACAATGTGTTGACAGACTTCTTCACTTCACTGCATTCGTCAGCAAGTACAACTGTTCTTATAACGTCAATAAGAATCGCGTCTAACACGACCGGGCCAATCTCAACTTTGTCTAAGAGTGAAAGAAGAATCTTGTATGGCCTTAGATCAGCTGTCGGTATGCTATTTTTGAATGTAATTCGCAATGCTTTGATCAAAAGTGGTTTTGAATACTGTTCAAAGTACGTCATTTGATTTGATTTTGATGTTGACCCTGAATCGGAATTTAAGCTAACACTTTCATTCATTTCCATCTCCATAAGATTTCGATTAGCATTCAACACCTCAGTGCCCAACAACCACGAATACAGACGACGGTTCAAGGACATGTCTCGTCTTAGGATTGTGTTGAGTGCATTTGTTACTAATTTAATAACATCGGATTGTGGAAGAAAATGTGTGTGAAGTGGAAAGCCAAGAAGGAGAAATTCAAGGGTATTGCGTTGAACAAGAATCACAGAATCATTTAAACAGGCGCACAATCCTGACATCATCAATTCAACATTTCGTCCCATTAAAAACGATTGATCAGACATTCCCACTCGTTTGTTATAATGGTCAAGGACGTAAGTGACAGCTGGCAATCTAATTGATGAATTTGTTGCAACACATTCCCAAAGACATGTGTAAAAGTAAATCGGACTCACAGCATTGCACACTTGACTTAATAGCGAATTTGTTCGTTCAAAATGATCGAGACCAGCTTCAAGTCCCGGTAAGACTCCACTAAGAAATCCACTTAGAGCTGGTCTTAGTCTCTCGCCAAGCGGAACAAAATACTTTTCATAAATTTCAAGTAAAGATGGTCGAACATTCATCGCTGCATAGCCAAGCAACGGAAAGAGACCGGCACTGTAGATGAAGAGCTCTGAAGCTAATCTTTCAACTCCCGTATTACTAAATATCACATCATAAGTTTCTAAAGCTTTTAAATGAACGCCAGATGGCAAAGCAGGATGCATGCATTGAGCGAGACGTTTTGAAATCTTAATTCGTCGTGGAATCACTTGATATTGCGAGTAGCTTGAAATCACCTGGAAATGAAATTGTGAACGTTTAATTAAGTCATCTAAAATTGATAACAAATTCACATCCGATTGAAATAAAATCAGAACAATAAAACATTTTTTATCATCTATTATCGAAGCTTTCTACAACAGTTTGAAGTGATAGTTTAGACAGCTCAAAAAAGTTACTCAACAGAAAGTCAAAGTCATTGAAAATTAGCGAAAAATGAAATTAAATATCTACATAAATATTCAGTAAACAGATATAAACAAACTCGCAGCAAATTTTCATGAAAAATTTCATTTCATTCATTGCCAATCGTTATTCAATGAGATTTATCTCTTTTCTTACTTAAATATTTTTCTAATTGATATTTGTTTACGTAAAAGTCAGACTTGAAAAATAAATTTTGAAAGATGGAAAAGATGGCAAAGTTTGTTCTCAGCTGGCAGACACATCGTGTCAGACTTAAAACTTAAACGAAATGAACTCGAATTATTGGAAGATGAGATGTTGTTATGTAAGGTGAAAAGTAAACAGGAGGAAAAATATTTTCATAAAAACGAAAAAGTTGATAAAAGTTGAATTTATTTATTTGAGTTCTTTATTCAAACTCCGAGGCAACAGATTAAGAAGGTAACATTTTCAATTATCCCTTAAATGTTTACGAATATAAAAGCACTCACCTTATTTAATTTTCCTAACGCTGAGATCAAATCCGCCCACTCACTCGAATATTCAAAGTTCTTTAAAGCTTTGTCAATATTTTGCATATAGACTCGATACTTTGGCTGTTTCATCAGCTCGAATTCTTCCATGAGCCCGGAACCTGTTGCTGTATCCATTTTCTTTGGCTGTTGTTGTGAAAGATTAAAAACAAGAAATCTCAAATTAAAAAACAATAAAGTTTCTGCGGTTCACTTAATAGCTTTGAGATTTCTGATGAAATTTGCGGATAGAAACCTCAAAGCTCAACTCATTAGTGTTGATTTTCAAAACGAAGCAAGTGTTGCATTTTCCTTTGTAATTTTAATTGTAAATCAGATTATTTTTCTTTGACATTATTTAGACAATGAATGTTGATTTAATTTAGTCAAGTAAACGTCGAACAACACAACAGAAGCAACAATTTCTTATAAATAAGTTCAATCAATTCAGTTATGAAAGAGAAAAGTAAAATAATTGACAACATTTACTTTTTTATGACTTTTATGATGACACCAACGGTTGAATTGCCACTTCCCTGATTTCTGTGTAATCTTTTTTAAGCTACTCATGTTCATCTTATCTATTCGTAGATCATTTGTATTGTGCCAAAAAGCAATTCTCTTTCTTGTTTTTCTTACACAATTTTCCATGATTCATTAGACATACGCGAAATTTCAAGACTTGCCCAGCATTTAACACGACAATAACTTTTTTCTTTTTCTTTGTTTTTATTCCTTCGTTTCTATCTGTTATTTTATCGTAAACTTATGTGTAGCAATCAATGTCAAATTACGGAACAATAACTTTTACAAATCGCTTTATCATTTTGATTATTTCTTCTTTCTCCCTTTTCACAACAACACGACACGTCAAAGCCTGACGAAGGCACGATTGTCACTTGGAAATCTATCTTTTCAAAGTCTTAAGCTTAGTTTCACTCTTTTTTTGATGACACAATTTGTAAATATTATTCACTGCTATTTCTTGCGAGTTGTTAATGAGAAAAATTCACATAAATTTATGCGACGTGAAGGATGGAAAACAACTGAAAACACAAAAATACAACGTACTTTCATGACTGTAGTCGTCGAGATTCACATTCGAATGAGAAAAGCAAACAAACTTAAAGTCGATAAAGCCTCATGTGAGTTTTGCAATTTTAAGACTTGACTACTCATACCTACAAGTGTATTTAATACATTTTAAATTTTAAATTGTAGAAACAAATTTTCTCCTTTTCTTTTCTCCTACAAAATAACTTCAAGAAAAAATCCATCTCAGAGAGTTTATCGTGAAAAATTCTAAACTTTTAATGATTGGAAATAAACAGGAGCTGATTGACGACTACTCGTAATATTATTTACTCAGTTTCGTCTCAGCTTTTAATAACTTTAATTGGGTGAACTAGCTAGCACATTCACTCGATTGGAAAGAGTTGGAATTGGTGATCCAACTAGGCAAGCTTAGCAACACCCGCATGAACACTGCACAAAGTTTTTATTATTTCGAAAATAAAGCGTTTTATTACTTCAAAGTGGGTCAGCTCAGCTGATGCTCACGATAACTTTACTTTTTCTTCAATTTGAGGTCGGAACATCACAGAAAAATGTTTAGTTTATCGAGCACTCAACTTAATTTTAAATAACGTCTCTTAAAATGCTCCAAAAGATTTCCTTCTGTTTACGTTCGAGACAATGAAATGACTTGTAAATAAGAATGAAAATTTTCTCATCCAAAACCTGATTCGAGAACAGCATCAAGATTTGTATTAAGCAAAAGTTAAACTTGTTTATTTTTGCTAATCGTTTGCAAAGTATTTAATCACATAATTTCAGTCATACCGATACAGTCTCAACATCAGCAATTATGACACTTCAACTGAAGAGAAGAATCGCGAACTAAAACGAATCGGTAGGCAAATTCAGAATAACACAAGACGCTAATTTTCAAACGTGAAATTCAATATCTTGATTTAAACACTTTTGCCAATTCGTAACAGAATACAATATTGTAACACGCGCGAGAATATTATGAAACATAATCGCTATTTAAAAATATTAAAGAATTTTTCATCGACTGCAATATTTTGACGAGCGACTTGAATGTATAAACGTCTCTCAACCAACTGAGCTGGAGCACAAAAAATACATTTTTAAGCTCTCTTTTAGCATTTTCATTTTCACATTGACATATAAAATAAAAATGGCAATAAAAACAGTTTTTTTTGCTTACAAAGTACTCGCTAAATATCATAACAAATATACCAGACGAGTGTTAAGAAATACCAAGCAATCCACATGCTTAAATAATCTGGATGTTTATGGTTGAATTTAATAAACTTAAGGGTTTTAATGTTGATTGATATTAGATGAGATAAGTAGTGAGAAAAAAGAGAAATGACTTCACCATAAGACCACACGTTGTTGAAACTCAAATATTTAAACAAAAGTTATCCTTGACAGTGAAAATATTAACATATGTGTATGTATTGTTGACATTTATGTATTTGCTTAGGAGATATAGAAGAGAAACGGAAAGAATATCAGGTGAATGAACGTTATTGATAACTGCCAAAAGACTTCAAATTCGTGTTTTCAGATTTCGCGTTGAACCAATTGAAAAAAAGAATAAAACGATAAGAAAATGTTTAGAATCGAATCGATTTACGAAACACAATACGGCTTTGGACAAAATGATTTACAAAAGTTTTATAGAAACCGTAAAGCCAATGTTTATTTGCGGAAAATGAATGAGAAGGAAAGGAATAAAAGTTAAGTCATCGCTTTGAAGATCGACCCAATTTTTTTTGTATATTCAAGCAAGAAAATACAATTTTTACTGCTAAATAGTGGGTTGAAAACCGATATTTAAAAATATGATTAAATAATTTTGACTTTCACTAAATGAAATGACAATTGAAGAAGTGAAATGAGGATGCGAAAAGCAAGTCACGAATGTTTGTCTTTTCTTTAGAAGAAATGACGAATGTCAAATATTTTTCCACTGATCAATCAAACTTGTCTCTTAATGATCTGTAATGTGAATAAGCTACATTTATTTTCTCATGAGCTATAATTAAGTGATTCTTTAAAATGAAGGAAAGTATTTAATTTATAGCTTCTAAGTAATTATTTGAAAGTGATAAAAGTTTTCATCTTTACGGAAATTGTCTCAACTTACGGCACCAGAAATGACATAAAATAATGCTTCAAGGCGACTCGTTCTTATTTCTCAACTAAAATTTGTATTTGATACAATGCCAATGAAAAAGCTGACATTGGCACATATTACAGTTAAATGAAACAGTTTCCAATAAAGTATTTTCTTTATTTCTTTCGTTTCTGATGCAGTATTGCACGCTTATACTCTGGAAGTGTTTTTCTGTCATGTCGATTTGTTCGTCAATTATTTGTGTTGGAAAGAAACATAGAAACTTGTAGTGAACGCGACTATGGAGTTTATTAGATAATAAAACTTAAAACGGTTCTCACTTTTCTTTTTATTATTTCGTATGCCGCTAATTTTCATGACTGCGGTTTATACTAATAAGCATCGCTTCACGTGGTTCCCCAAAGTTTAACGATAACATAAACACATGAAACTTTCACGTTAGTCACACCTCATAAAAGGTTGGAGCTTTTTCCGACATAAAAACAAAACTTTGAAGCAGAATGGGGAAGTGACCTTGTCCTCGGTCAGTACATGCTTAAATTTATATTGAAATAATAAAAGGATTGAACGAATGTCACGACCTTTTCAAACTGATTCTTTTTTCTTCATCTTCAGGTTGATTAGTGAAAAATAAGATTAAAATGTTCATTTCTCTACCTAAATAAAAAACAAGTGAAAAAGATTTTACTTTTTTTACCTGGAAAAGCATAAACAAACGAGTTCAACTCATAAAGAATCATATTTTATTATTAAAATTTTGAAGTAATTTATTACTCATGAAACTCGCAGATTTTTTTATTCTAAGTTTTAAACACAAACAGCACACACCATAATAGCAGCTTTGTTGTACTTAGATATTGATGTTTGTTTTGGTGTATACATCCGTGCCGTTTTATTTAAAATCCCACTTTTAATTTTTAAGTGTTCTGACTCAGCTGCTACAAAAAATGGTTGTGAATAAAAAAGTGATCGATTTTGCAACAACATTCAGCAAATTTGGTTTTATTATCTTAAGTTTATGTTTGTAGTAAGGCGATAAAATAAAAGGAATGTCAACAGTTAGTGAAGAAGAAGGAAGAAAGAAAAACTCAAATTTGCTTATCAGATAATGTTCTAATATTTGGCTTAATTAAAAAATTGATATTTGTAATATTCTAGCTGTACTTTTTTGACTTTTATCTTTGTTTCTCTTAATTACCTACTCATTAAGTTTTTAGGTTTTTTTTTCTCTTTATACCTGAACACTTTTCTAATGAGCAATAAAAATTATTGATCACAATCTGAACCCACTTAAGTTCATCGAGAATTTTTTTTTGTCAAATTATTGATGAATTTCCGATTTTAGAAGTAATATTAATACAACACTAAGCGCTTCACTGTTAGTAGCCGTGAATGTATGATACTTACCGTCGCTGACGAAATAACGACGCACTGAAATCTACAGTTTATTCAGCTGAATTTGCCAACGTAGTTAAACTTTTTCTCTTTGTTGTTGGCTGACGATGTTAGATCTTTTCATCATTTAATATTCATCTTTTTGAAATCCCATACGTCACAAATAACTCAATCTAATCACAAAATATCAAGCTTTAGTTTAATCACATGAAAAAGTGCTTATCAGCTGAAAATTTCAATTTGGTTCTTTTGTCTTCAAAATTTTATTCTGTTTTTGCACGAAATTAATTTCCACTCTCTTATTTGATTGAATTTCAAATTTTAACTAATTTGTTAAGCTTAATATTTGACTACAACATCTTAATTTTCACTTCAGGTAAGAATTTGATTAGTTTTTGCCACTATTAACACTTTTTAAACGTAGAATTTGGTCATGAAAACATGGGCCTTGTGACTAAAATTTAGTGAAGTAATGTGAGTAATGTAAATTTTTTAAATTTAAAACTACCGTTATTTTAAAATTCTATTTGCTACAAAAAATCTAATTTTGAGTTACATGTGTAAGCTAGATAAACACGTTACAAAACAAAAGACTTATCATGTTCATAAATGAATTCATAAATTGATAGGCTTCTTCAAATAAGCTTAATACCTATTTAAAATTATGTTAAAACAGAATTTGTAGTTTTCAAGAAATTTTCACGAAAGTGATAAAATGAAAAAAAGCCAGAGAAATTTTCTGAATGTTCCAATGCAACAATGATTCCTATTTCATAATTCAATAACAAGCATAAGGAGTTTGAATCCATAACGAAAAAATTCATCGAAACTACCTATTTGGAGAACATCACCAGAAAATGTAGGTACTAAGTTATCAACATTGCTGAGCTTAATAAATCGAGTTCATCTTGTTATCATCTCAATCAATAATGTCAGTTTTATTGTCATCTAAATATAATAAATGCATAAGTGACTTCAGCCAATGGTTCACAATTCTACAACTAATCCAAGCACTCTTCCTGTTGAAATCTTGGAAATGCTGCGAAATCATCAAAAAGTGTTTTCTTTGTTTTCTCCATCTTCGTTCAGCATCACAAGCATTAGGAGTGTATATACCTATTTTCTTTAGAAATTAATGCAACAACTGATGAGAATGATGAAGATAATAAAAATATAATTTAGTTCCTAACTACAAATAGATAAAAGAAAATATTTGAAAGTTCTCAATTTTTATTCGAATTTTTATTAAGGAAACGTTAAGTTCAAAATGTATTCATTTGTATTAATTCAAGAAAGATTCAGCAAAGCATGAAATCATTTCAATGGACCTCGTTTCTTCATCGTAAGTGTAAGTTTGCGTCGTTTTGAATACCTGTGGAGTTTGATGCAAGGAAATTCTTCGGTAAAGAATTCCTTAATAGTTTCAAACGATAAAAATGTGCTGAGTCCAGATAACGAAATACTTTGAAGTCTTTTAGCAACAGATTGAATGAGTTCAGCTGTCACATCCTGAAAGTTGAAGTTGCGCATTTCAAGTTTTAAATATTTTAGCTTGGGATGATCATTCACAATTTGCTGGAATTCTTCATGAGTAATCTCACATATTTCGTATATTTCAATTAGTTCCAGATTAGGGCAAGCACTGATAGCATTAAGGAGTGATTTCTTGTTTTTGCTTGCAATGTAATCAACTTTGAATTCCTTTAGATTTTCATGCTTCTAATCTTCATCGATGACAAAAATATCTTGATCATCTTCATCCAAATTGCTGCACACGAATTCAAACGTTTCAAGTTTGATAAAATACTTTAAAACAGTGCCGATGATATTAAGTGAATCATTCTCGAAACTCAAATGTTTTAAATTTTGAAAGTTTTGACTAAATTGAAAAATAACTTCTCGAGGAATTGTTGTGTTATTCATTTCATCATCCATCATTTCAACTGATTCACTGGTTTGAATTGTTAAGGTTTCAATCTGTAACAATTTCATCATACTTAGCTCGAAAATAATGCTATCAAAATGGTCTTCTTGCAGTTGATAATGCAAATGAAGTTCTCTTAAATTATTGATTTTTGTGAGCGATTTAAAAACATCCACAGATATGTTATCAATGCTTATGTGAAGTGATTCAAGATATTTTAACTCGCAAATTGATGTAAAAATTTCATTTCCAGTAGAATCATCATCATTATCATTAAAAATGATGTTCAAAAACAGATAGCGAAGCTTTGGGTTTTGTCGTATCATCTTTGCAATATGCATCTCATATCCTTCATTAAAGCTTATAAACAAATGTTTTAGTTTAGAAAAGTTCTTCACTATTGATAAGCTAGTTTCGCAATAAATGTCTATCGCGAGTTTTGTTATTTGCGTTTGTCGACTGAGAAATTGCTGGAAGTTCTTTTCATGGAATTCGAATGAGAAGTCAATGCACATTTCTGCTCTTACATCTTTTGGTACCTGGTTGAACATTATGGGATAATCATTGACTGATCCTATATTTAGCTTCTTAAGTTTATATAAATGAAGCTCATCACTCCAATTCACATCGTGTTCTATACAAATATCTTCAAAAATCAACTCTTCGACATTGGGAATGCAATTTAACATTTTAGCCAATTGTGACTCTAAAACTTTTGGCTTGATTGAGAATGTAAATTTTTCAATTCTGCCTCCAAATTTCATCAATATTTTTAGGATGCGATCTATGTTTGGTACACCATCAACAGAAATAATTATTGTCAAATCAGTGAACATTCGAAAACTTTTAATGATTGAATTGTAGATATTTTCGTCACAAATCTGTAAATAAATTCCAATGAAAATTTAAAATTTTCCTTTAATTTTCCTAAATTCCCACTTACCTGTTCGTATGAAAGTTCTATTGGCAGGCAGTCTCGTTCCAATGTACATACCAGTTCATAGAATTTTCGACAAACTTGCGATACGTCGTAACGTGATGATATGTTTACGAATTTCAGAATATAAAGAAGGATTTCCTCTGGAAGATCCATTAATTCGTTTTTCCGAATGTTTCCTGATTCACTCATTTTTATAAATTTTTGCTTGCCCTTTTGTTTTCGCTTGTGAATATGTTTACTGAGGTTATTAACTGACAATTAGAACCAGTTACAGTCAACTCTCAATAAGTAAAAAACAGTTGAAGAGATCGCAAAACAAAATGTTGCATCAAAAGTTTTTCTCTCGATTTTGAGCCATTATCGAGAGAATTTTTGTATTGAAAGGATGTTATATCATGAGTTGACTGTATCTCTAATTAGGAATCCTTAAATTCAAAAATATTCAAACCGTTTAACAATTAAAGCTGTTTTAAAAACTTTCAAGTTGAAAGTAAACTTATTAGGTAGGTAATTAAAAAAAATTAAACAATTTTAATTAAAGCTCGTTTCAATAATGCCTTTTAGATAAAATCAAGCATAACATTTAAGCCCTCCTAAAAATGTTTTATGTAAGTTCAAGTGAACAAGAAGTTGAAAAGAAGAAAGACCTTAATTTTTAAATCTAAATCTTATTTTGTTAAACAAATCAACTTCTAAACTTTGATATCGGTTCAAGTGATCAAATAGAAGTTACGTTTTTATTTCTTTGAATTTATCTGATTAACAGATAGCTCTTATCGACATGACCATTTTAAATTTTTAAAGGAAGAATATTCCATTTGGAAAATTTAATTAAATTAGGTAGTTTTTATAAATTATACATTTTATTTATTTTCTTCCATTTGCAGCAGCAGTTTATTACAACATTTGAATGGATATGAAGTCATGCAAATGAATTTATGCATTATCGTTACTTTAATTATGTTTCAATCAAAAAAAAAAAATAATAATAATCATCACAATTCAATCAATAGAAATAGTAAGAATTCCTTAAAATAAATGACATAATTTAATCGTAAAAGAAGTTTTCATTATCAAATTGTCCAGCACATAATTTCATGTTGTATGTGATTATTTTTATGTTTTAATTAAACATATTTTGATTTTGAAATTTTCATGTCATATCAAGTCGCTGTTGCTGTTGAAGGCTTCAAAGAAATTTTTCGAGGAACAAAAAAATTATTGAGAGTAACAGCAAATTCGATGTGTGGGTGGTTAAAAAAATTATCATCAAAGTCATTTGGCCAGAGATGAATCAGAATTATTGAATTGTTCGTCATTTAGTAAAGTCCTGATATTGTTGTTTGAGTCGTCTTCTTCTTGCTTTTGTTCTTTCAACTCTAATTTCTTTAGTCTATCTGATTCGTATTCCACAAAATCATCAAAAAGGGATGGCCTGTAAAGATAAAAGCAGCATTGTTTATTTAGATATGAGTTAAAAGTTTAAACAGTGTCGGTTTACTCACCAAGCTTCATCAGAATCATATGAGTTAAGATCGAAAGATTCTGAGAAATTTTGAAACATCATCCACGTATCACGTTGAATTCCTCGTATGTTCTCTTTTACTAAAAAGCTCAACCATCGTTCGAGAACATTATCAGGTGGTTTGTGAATACTATACACCAAACGCCAAAGACTCATTGCCATATCAAGACACAATATCCGTGCACCGTCATCAAGACCAAAATGAAATGCAAATCGATACAATTGCTTAAATAAATCTACATCAGTTTCCAGCTTATCGACGATTTGTAACAGCCGTTGTCGGAGCTCGTTTATAGTGGTCGCGTTGAGCTTCTTCAGTCCATGAATGAATTCTTGCTTTGTGAAATAACACATTTGTTTGGCGTCGAGGCAAAATGCAAGCACTAGAATATGAAAACTGTCCGGAGCAAAATTGAGATCGTGGCACAACCTTTCAACACCTTCGGTAAGAATTGCGTCCTCGCTCTTGTCTTTGTATTCTTCGAACAATTTGTTGATTGCGTTATCAGCTAATTGCGATTCCTTTTCTATAATTAAAAGTTGCATTCAATTAGTCATTTTAAATGACATAGTTTCGTTTTTAACTTGAGATATCTACGCACTTAATTGAAGAACACAAAAGAATTGTTTTTCTATTTCACTCATTTACCTGATTGAATCATTAGCTTATCGTCAATTAAGCTACAATTACTATTAGCACTACCATTCGTGACCAGAGATTTTTTACAGTTGATGCTATCGAAATGATTTGTTTTTGTATTTTGTAAATTTGTCGTTTGTAAAAGCTCTTCTGTTTCTAAAAAAATCAACATATAAGATAACAAAGTCACACGCGGGTCATTAATGTGTCAATTTTTGTTGATGTTAAATTTGAAATTCTTATCAACAAAAAAAAACTCAGAACATGGAATATCATAAAAATTACCTAATCGACTTTCGTGGCTGATTTTTTGAGATTCTGGGTCGTTTTGATTCACACCAGAGGCTGAAGCTTCAGCTTTCAGGCAGGTGAAACAGTTTCCCATTGTTAAGAAATTTTCTTCCAGATGGAAGTTATCAGTGACCGAATTTGTAAATAAATTATCCTAGATAATTGATTTATCAATGACTGAAAGCTATTATAATCTTGCTGGATTTTTTTTTCTTATAAACAGTTAAAAGAAAGAAGTTTTAAGCTATTTTGGCACTTGAGTTTTTATCTATCTTCAACATCATCCTCACTTCAACCACCTTCCAGGATTCATTCCTGAACGAATAATAAATTATACGGTGTAGAAGCTACTGTTAGCGATGTTCAGTCATGTTTAAGGTTGCAACTTCTTTTAAGATGTATTTCTAAAATTACAGAATGTTATTTTATTTTATTTAATAAATGAAGACATAAAATCCCAACAAAAACCATTCAATGAGGAGTTTCATAAAATTCATATGATTTGACTCACTTCGATTGAACCTTTTGACTTACCAATGATTATCACAATAGAACGATTATATCTTTTAACTCCAGACGATATAATTATACTGTAAATTGTGCTAATTTAGTGGTAATTATTTTTGTAAAATATGAAGAAATGATGCAGATACCAACAGTCTTTAGTACTAAGCCCCTTAAAAGATGCGAAAACTTAGGATAAAAGTGGGTAAAGAAAACTTTAATTTAAAAATACTGTTGAAATAAGTTTTAATAATGGAAATAATTTAGAAATTAATGGATTTATCAAATTAATTTCTTTGAACATTACGTTCATTATAACATTCATTACGCATTATAATTTTTTGAAATTTCTTTGAACATATCGGAAGCTCTCGTTTTCAAATAGATTCATTCACCCTATTAGTATTCTTGAGTGAAGGCAGGGGGCACTAGTTTTCCATACAAAGTGGTACCAAAAACCTCTCCGTGCGTTGATATTCTCCGTGCGATAATTACACTCTCCACCTGAAACTAACTTTGGGAAGACGAGTCTCAGGTAGAGAGTGTAATTATGTAGAAGTGTTGGACGAATGAGTACATAAGTAAACCTTTTTAGAGATCTAAATATTGTTGCTAAACATTCCTTCCTTTTAATTTAATTTATAAGTCACCTTTGTTCTTTTGCAAATGTAAGTTCATCTTTATCTGTTTATCTTAGTATAATCTACAATCTCTCATTAAAGTTGTCTTGATATAAACATAAGAAAAGATTATAAATTAAGCATTTTCCTGTTTTGTTTATTTTGTGTAATTGAGAACGCTCTTTTCTTATGTCTTCCTTTTCGCGAGATGAGCGGAAGTTCAGTAATTCGAGTTCATTACCTTTTTCATCAATTACTGAATAACTGAACCATATGAGTAAATTTTAACAGAAATTGTATCATTGCACAATATAATCCACATTATTATGAAAATATCATCTTCAATTAAAAATACTTTCTTATAATTACAGAAAGTGAAATCATTTTTTAACAAAAGAAGAGTCAAGATTTGTTTAAAAAAAGAGTTAATAGAGGGAAACGAAAGCGTTGAGACGTTGATGGATCACAATGGGTGATCGATACCACAAGTAAGTTGTCTAAATTAAGAAGATTGTTAATAACTTCTCCGAAAATTCGATCGGAATTTTGCCAGGAAATAGAATTTGAGTTTATCTTATCATTTGAATTTTTTGAGGAGTTCAATTGTTGCTACAATGATCAATAAATTGGCCTTATCAGTTTAATGTTTTTCCCCAATATTAATGATAAGACCACATATTTTCAGGGCTGCTCGCGATGGGTTACTAGAAGTGTTGAAAGAAGCAACAAAAAAGGAAATAAACACAAAAGATGTTGATGGAATGACTCCAGTGTTATGGGCGGCATTTGAAGGCCGTCTAGATACACTGCGAATGCTTGTTGGAAGAGGCGGGAACCCTGACAAATCCGATCAATTTGGCAACACAGCACTTCATCTTGCTTCGGCAAAGGGACATTTTTCTTGTGTAGATTTTCTTGTGAAATTTGGAGCTAACATATTTGCACTTGACATTGACAATCATAATCCTCAACAACTCGCTGCAATCAATAATCGTGACGACATTTTACGCTACCTCGACGCAGCATCCGCTCATCTTGAAGCAACTGACAAAAAGAAGGCAAATGGATTCAAAGAAAAAGCAAAAAAACATTCAGAGAAAAGAATCAAAGAATTCTTGAAACGTCAACAGAAGCAAGAAGAACAACAAGAGGCTGAAAGATCGAACATGTTGAAAGCGATGAAACACAAATTTTGGACTGGAAGTCATGGAAATTTGAGTAAATTGAAAGATACAAACGTCGTGCAAACAAATGACACTTTCAGCACGTTGGTTGGAACTGGAACAGTTGTTCAGCGAAGTGCGGCACAAAGGAAAATTCAAGCACTTAAACAAACACGACAAGCCAATGCCAATGTTGCTGAGTTCAAAGTTGGCGATGCAGAAAATGGTGGAAGATCTGTACGATCAATTGAAGGAATTCAGAGAGATTCTGAAGTGTTATATGTTGGCACGTTTCAAAATGCAGGAAATGATAAACGAGGAAAACTTACTGACGTTTTTGAGTACGACTCAAGCAATGCTGATGATAGAAAAAGTCTTCGACAAGCGACATTATCACGATGCTTAAGTCAACCTGACTTCCTAGCTTCAGGTGCGATCGGAAGTGACATAAGTGATGACATTAAAAATCAAAGACCGTCTGGACTTTTTGATCGTCCTGGCCTTGGATCGTTGTCAATACCGTAAGTTATTCTTTTGTTAATAATTTAAATACCTAATAATTTTGAAATAATTTCTCATAGACGGTCAGTCACATCGGTAATCTCTCAAATGAGCAGTGATCAAATCTCCAATCACTCATCAAGTGAGTCATCAAACACACAAAAGAAGCAAAATGGGAAGAAAACACGTCAACGACAACTCGTCATATCCGACTCAGAGGATTCTGAAGGAAGTGACAATTCAAGCGATGAGCATGATGACCCAAACCAGCCATTAAAGAGATTTTTAGCAGCTTACTCGTTAGATGAGCATTTTGAATTATTGGTGCAACAACAAATAGATTTGGATACTTTAATGCTACTTACTGATGACGACTTGAAAATCCTTAATCTGCCACTTGGTCCATATCGAAGACTAGCAGTAGCTATTCAGGAAAGAAAAAGTGCCTTAACTAATCCAGGAGCCATCATCGACAGCCGTCTATAAAAACCGTCCATAAATTGCCTTATCTGAAAGTTCAACAACTGTGAATTATAATCGTACTTAATGCATACCATTTTTTAATTATTTTTTATCCTTTGAAAGTGCACAACGAATTATCTAATAAATAAAAAGAAATATTTTTCTTCTAAATTATTTTAATTATATTTATTCAAAGTTTGCAAGTAACTATAAAAGAATTAATGAAAGTTCTGCTTTCGAGTCCATTCACCATGCTCGCTGAGGAGATTGAGTGGCATCCATAAGAATCCAAGTATTTTTCGGTTTCTTCTGCATTTTCACTTGTCTATGTCGAGGATGACTCGTGCAGAGATTGAGCAATTTTTCATCTTTCCACAAAAAATAACAATTTTTACATCGTCTTTTGACTTTTCCCACTCGCTTCATTCCGCGTTCTAAAGACATCATAACAGGTTGTAATTGAAGCAAAGATGAACTTGAAGGTAGATTTTCCATCAAACTATCATTTCTATCAACTGTTTTTAAGGATAATGCAGTGAAATTTCGCAGAAAATTTGTATTGCAAATTTTTGTTATTGGTTGTGATAGAAAAGTTGTTTCAATGATTCTTGAAACATTTCTTAGTTGTCTCCACATTCTACAAGATGAAAATTGTACAATTGAAAACTTTAATTAAAGAAAACTAATGAAATTATTTTATTTGTACCTCTGAGTTAATTTATTCTTTTATTTTTATTTTTCTTTAAGGTTAGACAGAGGCGTAGTGATTTTGGTAACAGGAAAAAGGGGCAAGCGGAAACATTTCGAAACGAAACGACTCTGTTTTGTGTTTACATCGAAGATCGAAATTGAAAAACTTCTCAGACTTGTTTAAAAAATAAGAAATTTAGAGGAATAGAAGAAATTTAAGATAATTTTCAGATTTAGTCAAAAGTCTTTCTGGTTGTTTTCGATTTAATACATTTGAAGAGTTCATAATTACAAAAAAAAATCACGAAACTTTCTTTTTCTCGTCAACTTATTCCATTTATTAAGATTCAAAACTAAAAAAGATGTCTGAAGACAATGATAAAACTTCATACGATTCCGATTCATCAAAACCAGATAAAATGTTCACTTTAAAGAAATGGAATAGCGTTGCGATGTGGAGTTGGGATGTTGAATGCGAAATTTGTGCAATTTGTCGTGTTCAAGTAATGGATGCCTGTCTGAGATGTCAAGCGGAATCTAAGAAAGACATTCAAAGTAAAGACGGTGCTTGTGTTGTCGGTAAGATAAATAAAAATTGAAATATTTTCCTGACATTTCTTTATTCCTTCATATTTTCCATTTTGTAGTTTGGGGTGAATGCAATCATAGCTTCCATCATTGCTGTATGAGTTTATGGGTGAAACAGAACAATCGTTGTCCTTTATGTCAACAAGAATGGTCCATTCAACGACTCTCAAGTTAATTCTGACATCTCATCAGATTGTATTATGAAAATTATATTTTAGGCTCATAGTGTAAAATTTAAATCATTGATATTAAATTACATCTATTCAAAAAATGTTCAATAAAATAATTTCATAAGCTATAATCAATTTCTTTTCGGCTTATTTGTACTGAATACAAATTTGGTGACTGTGAAATATTTTGTCAAATAAAATAAAATTGATTTTAACTTCATAAGATGATCAAGAAAATGAAGAAGGAAAATTTAATGCATAAATGTTAAGAGGTAAACTAATTAAGAAGTATCAAATTAGGAACTTTTATTAGAGTTCCGGGTTTTTCCCACTCATCTGGCGTGTTGGCATAAATTGAATGTAATAAAATTTTGTTATTCTTCTAATTGATTTTAAAGCACTTCTTAATCTAACGAATCTTCTCTTTCTCATTTCTCCTTCTTTCTCTCCGCCCACATAATTTCCTTCAAACTAAAATAGGATGAAAATCAAAATCAGTTTTAAATTTGAACGTGATAAGTGAAGACGCTTTAATAAACTGATCTTCAAATTATTATTATTTCTAACTAAACTTTAGTTTCAATCTTAAGTCATGCAACAATTTATTAATTTCGAAATGGTAAATGTTACAAGAAACTCTTCAAATTTTGTTAAAATATTAACAAATTTCTTATAATATTTAGATGGAAACTGTTGAATCGCCGAACGAATGCAGCTCTATGGATAATCACATAGTTGCCAATCGTATGGAAATGGAGAATAATCAAGCCAATGTAGAATGGACACATCTTAATGAAAACATTTGGATCAAAATTCTGGAACATTTAGACGTCAAAAGTCTGTTGAATGCTTCAGAAGCTTGTTATACATTCAATGAAACTATTTCATCATCTTCGAAGCTGTTAAGAAAAATGAATATTACATTGAAGTTTCTTCCTGCATTGCCAACTGATCGCGGTTTAGCTGAAATTGATGATTTGATCCAAAAGTCTTCAGTATTAACAAGACCTTATAGAAATCTTACGATTCTTAGCTTGGACGACAATTGTCTCTATGAGCCACGAAGAAAATCGGAATTCATAAAGTTAAACGCGAGACTTTCACAGACTGTAGAGAATTTAACAGTTTCGCATTGCAGACTCTCACGAAGTGATTTTGTACCTCTTATGAAACTTTATTCCAACTTAAAGGAATGCACATTTTTTAATATTAATTTAAACTCTGATGAGGTCACTCGGAATGATTCCTACATAAGCCCACTTAAATGTTCTAATCTGAAAAAGTTAAAGTTAGATCATTGCGATTCCTTCTGTTTGCATTTATTTAAATCTCATTTCAATTCTCTTGAAAACATTGAAAGTTTGGAGATCCTTTTTCCAGAATATTCTCCACCAGATGTTCGAGTAGTTGAAGATTTCCTTCTCAAATTTAAAAAACTTAAAAAATTGAAATTGGATGTCTTTGAATTTAACAGGGAATACTCTTCTGATCGTCTTTCTGCAGTTCCATTTCAATTGGAAGTTCTAAGCTTAAGCAGCGTACATTGGGAGAACTTAAGTTTTTGCGAGAAATTTCTCAAGTCACAAACAAATCTGAAAATTCTTAAACTCACTGGTATCAGTCAGTGGATTCGAATAGGTAATCGGTCAGCATTGCTTTGTTTTAATGATATATTGCAACATTTACTTACGAAAAATCCAAAGTTAACTTCAGTTGAAATATGCTCACATAACATGTGGTACAGAATGCATAATCAAGTCTATGAATTCGAATACGACAGTTTTTTTGGTAATTGCAATAATTTGTTTAAAATATTTATTCGGCTATTCCCAAACATAGAGAAATTTAAATTTATGTGCAGAAAGGACATTTGTGGAGACTTACAAGAAATCAAAGTGCTCAAAAATTTGGAATTATTAAATATCATAACTTCACCATTATTGCTTGGAAATATTCAAACCACTAACTTTCCATGTTTGATGACATTCAAGTACAAGGCATTATTGTTCGGCGAAGCAAAATCTTTGGAATGTCTTACAAAATTCTTCAAACACAACAGTCAAATCAAGAATGTCTGCCTTAGCATTGAATCATTAACGATCCATGAAGTTGTCGGACTTTTGATGCCACTCACCTTTTCATTGGAGTCTTTGACAATTGCAAATTTTCAACTGAATGTCGACGAAGCTCAAATCCTGGTATCAAACTTTTCTCACTTACGCCGACTTGAGTCAGATTTGCAACTTAAACAAGACGTTACTGACACTTTATCTAATGCTGGTGTAATTGTTGCAAAGGTGCCAGTTGCTAGCAATTTTGCGATGTTTATTGACACTTACCCAATATTTTAATAGATTAATAAACAATTTGTGGACAACTTCTCATTACTTTAAATAGAAATTATGCTTTTATATTTTTCTAATTGAAAATATGTTTAAAAATTTGAATGTTTAATGAACTTTTATAATCCAAAAACTTTTTTCAAATAAAAAAAAACTTTACTTAATAAAAAATTAAAATGTATTAAAAGTTTATTTCGATTTCATTTCCTTGTAAGAAAATTCGTTTTTTCTTACATAAATATTTAAGTTGATTCATCAAACATTCGTCATTTTATTCTCTTAAAAGAATAAATAAAATGTGTTAAAGACAAATAAAAAAATATTCGAAATAAGCCGCTTGTAAGTTTTTCAAAAATTATTTGATAAAGCAGAAAATATTCATTAATATTGTCAAGGTTTGATTCATTGAGAACTCGTATGGATTCAAATTTCTACGCATATAGTTTATCTAATCCCAAACATATCGATTTTCAAATGAAATTGCAATGACATCATTCGACGGCAGTCAAGAAAAACATTTTCATGTCAGACCTTCAAAATCTACCAACGCAACTTTGTTGTGTGAAGACGAGCCCATTCATTCCAAAAATACCAGGAAATTAATGAATTAAAAACATTCAATGTTATATGGCGTCATAATTAGATTTTATTTGAAACAACTATTCATCATTTAATTTCTACAAATTCAATTGTCTATTAACACTATTTACAGTCCTAAACAAAGATAAGTGATATTTGATTATTATTTAAACTAATAATTTAAATTTTGCTGCAAATTCTTCTCTTTTTCTTTCAACATTTCGCAAGATCTGATTTCATTGTCATGTTATCTAAAAATTAAATTTCTGTAATTTCCAATCGAAAAATAATTAAAGGAACTAATTTTCATTTATCATGCCTCATGGATTTTGATTTATTTATGTTGTGACACAGTCAAATTCGTCATCCAATCCTTATGCATGTGAACATAAGAAAGCAGAAGATGAACTTATAGAAAGAAATTTAGTTTATGATTATTGCGAATTTTTAAATGACAAGCACTTTGAACTGACTTCAAAATGAAACCTTCGTAGTCAGTAGCATTGTCCATGTAAATATTTTAATCTGTGTCAAATAATCTTTTGAGATTCGTCATTCAAATGAGGGAAGAAAAATTAGGAGAAACAGAAACAATTATTGATTAGATCATCTGCTAAATTGTCAAATTTAAATATTAAAAAGAAGCTTAGATACAATAAAATATTTACAAAATGAAAAATCAAAAGGAAAAATTGCGAAATCTACTCTAGCGAATTGTTTTCTTAACTATCTTTCTCTTCTTGTTTTTATCACAATTAAATTATTATTTACTCTGATTTTATCAGATTTCCTTTCTCTAATATCAAATTCAATGAATGTTTTTAGACTTTATCTCCTTGAATTCCATTTCTCGAAAATGAAAATTATTTTTCTATGGCAATTTTTCTTTTAAACACAAATGTGACTGATAATTGATTAATGATGTGTCATTGCTTAGCTACAATTGGAACAACTTCATGTTTAGCAACAGAAAGCTTACGATGAAATACATGACCGAAGAATAAAATTCCTCGATCAGTCATGAAAATCATTTTTTTGTGTTAAAAGTTGAAAAGAAATCCGCAACATTCCGGAGATTATTGTGGACGTTTTGATGTGCAGAGGGTTACAAGTTGAAACTCATTGGTCTAAGATTAGCTACTGAGGACATTCTTCTTACTGGTCCCATCATTTTCCTCTCAATATCTTCAAGAGACTTGCCTTGTGTCTCAGGCACATAGAAGATCACAAAGAAGAGACCAACCACACAAACAGAACCGAAAAACCAGAAAGCTCCGTGAGTTCCGATTACACCTAGAAAAAAAAAATATGAAAAAAATTTTGTTTTTATTTAAAAAGTCGATGAACTTACCGATAATGTCAGTGAATGTTTTCGTCACGACGAAAGTACAAGCCCAATTGAATGCTGTAGCTACTGACGCTGCCGAACCTCTTATTTTAGCTGAATAATATAAAAATAGACATGATAAGTTATTCATTAAAATATTTTCTGACATGTCAGCTTACCTGGTAAGATTTCTCCCATCATAAGCCAAGGAATTGGACCAAATCCAAGTGAAAATCCTATCACGAATATAACAAAGGCAGCCAATGGTAACCAACCAATACTTGAAATCTCTCCTCCTATGTTTTTGTAGTAAAAGAAGGTTCCAAGGGTCATGAGTGTGATGATCATGCATACATCCGAGATATAGAGAAGCATTTTTCTTCCCAATCGATCAATCAACATTGTCGCAATGAAAGTTGCTATAAAGTTGACAACACCGACAATGATCGTACAAAGGTTCTCGTCAATCGTACTTCCTGCATCTTGAAAGATTTGCACAGTGTAGAAAATGACAGCGTTGATGCCCGAAAGTTGTTGGAAGAACATCAACCCAAGAGAAATTAGCAGTGGCTTTAAATTGCTGAGTTTAAGAAGATCGAAAATTGCATTTTGTGATGCATGTCTCTCAGCTTCACAATGTGATTTAACAATTCCTTTGAGTTCCGGTTCAACGTCAGCTTGTTTGCCACGAAGCCACTGAAGAGCTCGACGAGCTCGTTCTTCTTTTCCCCTCGAAACATACCAGCGTGGAGTTTCAGGAATTAAGAACATTAGAATCAAAAATGGAACCGGTAATGCACCACCAAGGAACGCAAGTCCAGACCAATTCACGTATTTACCAGCTACAAAGCAAAGTAAGATTCCAATATTACCGAAAGCTGTCGGTAGAAGTCCCAAGGTTCCACGAACTTCTGGCTGGACGGTTTCACCGAGATATACGGGCAAAGATAGTGACGCAATACCAACACAAAATCCAGATAGTGCACGACCTGTTCAAAACAAAGTCAAACTCAAAATATTCAATGAATTAATCATCAGCGGTCATTGAACTTACCAGCTAGCACCATACCAATTGAAGTGGCGCAGGCAATCAAAAGCCATGAGACAATGAATGGAATAGCAGTGGCCAAAATTGTATTTTTTCTTCCTATATATTCTATAAACGGTCCACCAGCAATGCCACCAGCCAAACCAGCTAACGGCATTATTCCACCAACCCATGAAGCCTTGAAAATAGAAAATATTTTAAAATAAATTTAATGAACTCATCATCTGTACATTTTTAATGAAACGACTAGCATTGAAAGGAATGCAATGAGTTGATGAGCAAGGATAAGAAATTTATGATTCACTATTAGTAATTAATAATAAAAATAGGAAGAGCGTTAAAGGAAACGGGAAATGCAAGCACGAAACGATACATCGCTTGAACTTTATTGAAAAAGGTTGAAAGCAGCGGAATAAAAATCAAGATAAGATTTAATTAATTCTGAATCGTGTAAAGTTTAAAATAAAATAAAAATAAGAAAGCTCGAGTTAAGGAAAAATCGATTTTCTATTTTTTTTCTCTTCTTTCTCAACAATGATGAAGACAAAAAAAATCAGATTTTGGTCGGGGTAAAAGTGCTGGGAAAATTCCACTCAGTACTTACTTCTTGGTGCGTGATGCTAAATGATGTTATGTTAGGATTTCTCATCGAAACTAAAGCTGGTGATGTGTAGGCTGATGAGAACCCGACAACCATCGAGCCGAGTGATACTGATAAGGCTGCCATAATCTGGAAATGTTAAGTTTTTTTTTGATTACACGATGTAAAGCGGAAAGAAATTTTAGTTTCGTTTAAATTTGCCTGCGAATTGGTGCATTTTGCTTTTGGCTCTTCTGCTGGCACTGTAAATGACACGTGAGTGTCTGCTCGCATTAAAATCTTCATGATGATACGAATTAATCTTAGTACTAAAACGATGGGAAAGAGAAAAACTTTTCTGACGATTGAAGCAATTGTGACGTTAACTCAAAAATATGTTGCCAACGAATGTACGATGCTTCCATTAAATAGGATCACGGACGATGAATTGATGTTTTAAGCAACACTTGAGTGGTACTTTTATGAATTAAGCACTGTTTTTAAATAAATTTTTTGAACTTTTTCTACACTAAATTTTTTTTGCGTTCGTAGCAATGTAAGAGTTTAGTTCACAGTTCACATTTATGTTTTAATTGTGTGACCAATAATGAGACGTTTGTGTGTTATCTGTCCACACAGCCGTCGATTGAAGCCCTAAATACTTCTCATGTCCCTCTCTCACTTCTTATTTATAATTCATTTGGAATGGGGTACACAATGCGAAAGTATTTCCTTATCACTCTCAGTTACTTTAACTAAGTCAGATACATCGATTCAAAACAAAAACAACACGAGCTGACTTCACCAGCTTATCAATGGTGACATTTACTAACGTCAGGTCAAGATGATCACATTGAAAATTTCATCTTATTGAATCTTTTCTCACTTCACTCCATCACGATTGCGGAAATGTTTAGACCCGAAACCAACCGGCGATGACTCGAAAATTATTGATAACTTGCGAATCAAATATTTTAATTCGTTTACGAACACCTCCACCCACGAAAGCAGCTCTTCAAGTGCTTTTTTATCAATTTCTTTTTTTTTTCTTTCTTCTTTCTCCGCTTCTTCTCAAGCGACTGTCGACGTTCTAACTGACTTGGGAGAAGGCGATTGATACCGTTTATATATTTTTCGAGTAATTTTATGTTAATCATTTGCCTCTATTGGTCTCTCTGTTGTTGTTTTGCTCGATTCTATCGTGTTGATGCAAAATGATGGACGAAGTGTAAGTTGATTGAGTAATTTCTCTTTTAATTTTTTTATTTTCTTTTTGTTATCTCGCCATTTCTCACGCCTGAGCGTTTGATTGAATATTTCTATTATTTTGATCCTTGCACACGCCGCCGTTTAATGTGAGAAATGTTCACTATTATTAATCATGCATTGGAGTCAATAAATAATTGCCAATTTATGTAGTTGCGATAGGGAGAGTGATGATCATCAGATAAGGAAGGCAAATTGTAAGCATTAAAATAAATTGAATTGAGTATCATTGCAAAATTATCCTTGTGAGGTATTTTTATACGAGAATTTCCGCACTCATCATCAGCAAGTAACGTGATTTACTGCTTTGTTCTATTTAATAGTCATCACATGTCATATTTCTATTTGACCAGCAGAAATGACTCTCATTACTATAACAACAATCGCGCATTATCAAATTCATCTGTTGAAAGCATGTTCGAAGCTCGACAATTTGACGTCATAGCACATTCGAGTGAGGTCCAATCTCCGAATGATTTTTCCCTTCTCATCTTGACCTAGCAATTATATTCTTTCCTCAGCTGATAACAACATCAAGCTGCTGAGCTGTCGTCTTTTTTTTTTTCAATTCACAAATGGTGCAAAAGAAATCATCGCGCGTAAAAATGCTGATGAACTTGGACGAGATAATTTGATAATTTGTCACACATTCTCAATCAAATTCTCATTTTCGGTGTCAACGTCACAAGAGAGTTCAAGTTATTTTTGAATTTCACATCCGCTATTTAGATTTGTGTGAATCTTTCTTTTGTATATCAATTTAAAGGTAAAGTTTGTGATTTTTTTTCTCTCATCATATGACTGTCAAAAATAGAATTTATTTATTTACTTAATGATTTTATGGGGCAACAGTTGTCAGTTATAGCAAAGACAGAGATAAATTTTCATTAGTATTAAAGACGTCTTTAAGAACATAAGAATAAAACAAATAAATTGTTGTTTTGTCGGCTATTTGATTGGTGTAAATATTGAGTAAGTAGTCATATCAGGTGACGCATGTTCATATTCCACAGAAGAAAAAAAATCCTTTGAAGATTTTACGAGCATTTCTACACTAACGTGTCACTTGACATTTATTTATATGTTGAAAAATATTAAAAGTTTTACTTACTTGAGTATAAATATAAATTGGGTTCGTCGTTGGACGATAAATCTCCAATTTGGCTTTTCCATCTTCCGTGATCTGCCTCACAAACGGTACCGAGTTGCGGATATTTTCATCCTTATTTGACATTTCCATGTCGAAGAAACTTATGGATTTCTTCGATGCCGTACTAATTGATCGGGCTTGTTGGAATTGCTTCCGATTGGATTGAAAATCTTCTTCGTCACTTGATGAATCAAGATCCTGAAAAAAGGGAGAAAGTTTGAATGAGAGAGAGAAGAAAAACAACGCAAAACGGGAACGTTGAGTCATCGAAATCATTAAACTTTGACTTTTCTAGAAATCTTCAAGTAATGCGTGAAGAAAATATTTACTTTGAGGTCGATGACGACGGGCTTCGTTATGTCGGGATCAATTTGCAGCAAACTTGTTCTTTCACAGTCGTAATCTTCTTCACTGCTAGTCGATGGTGTTGGTGTTGCCTCTTTGTCAAGCTTGAATGATATATGTCGAGCGTCTAGGCTTTTATGCTTTCTTGCTTGGAATGACTTTCTTTTATGATCGAACTCATCTTCTGAAGATGATGCTTGTCCTCCCTTCAGCAAGTTTTCCAACTGCTTTGATGATCGAACATCCAGTGACACATGCTTCTTTGATTGAAATTGACTACGATCAAGATCGCCGTCTAAATATGCACGCAAATCCTAAAATAAAATTATAATCTTCATCAATCTTCGTTCAATCATAAAATAAATTATGCAAAACTCACTCTCAAAATAATACTTTTATGCTCTGATCTCGACTTTGTTTTCTGGAAGTGATCGCGTTTTTTTTTAAAAGCGTCTTCGTCAAATTTATCAGCTTCCTCTTCTTCGTCACCAAATGTTATGTGAGTTGCTCCTTTGAGATTTGATTTCTTTGATCGAATTGCAAGTTCTTTGATATCTTCTTCGAATCGGTTTGTTTTGTCTTCTGTTTCAGATATTGGACTGAAAACTTGTCTTTGCTTTTGTGGTTTTGACAAGTTTGAAATGTTATCAGTTGATGTATCAATCACAACTGTATCCAAACTCGTTGAGGTGGTTGAGTTTGATAATGTTCCGTCTCCGAGATTATGTTGAACTCGACTGTAGCCTTGTTGCAGGGGATCCTCCTTTAAAAATTTATTGAATTATTTTTTAAATTCAGTAATTTAAAAACTTAAGAAGAACAAATGCTTGAGTAGAATTAAAAACAAAAATTTATTCAAATCCACACGCTGTAACGTATTTGATAAGACTGAACCGAGCCGAAAAAAAATCATTTTAAGTAAGCAATAAGCAATTAAATATTTTCTTTCTTTGAATTAATAAAAATTCTTCTTATCAGCACTATTTTTCTTATGCATCATCAATGAGAGTTTCTTGACAAAAAATCGAAATGAAAACAATTATCACTAAGCAAAATGTTCGACTAAACATTAATTCAGAGAGAAAGACAAACTCCAGAGAGTAATAATTAATTGAAATTTATTAATTCATCGGTTGAAAATTGAAGATAAAATCTTCTGAACGAAAAAAGCTTAAATGAGTTTGAACGATAAGCTTTTACAACATAACATTGACCTTTCATAGCATCATGTTTACTGTTTGTATTCAATTCATAATCTTTATTTCAGCTAATTTAATTTTCTCCTTCCAAATAACATGATAAGCTTTCCTTTTGGTCATCTAAAATATTTAATGACATTTGACGTAGATAATGTGTTTACATTGACAGAAAAGTTTCCATTTTCAATTTCATCAACAGAAGTAATCTATTAACGCGATAGCAAACATAAACAGACTTTCATCATGTGACATTGAATTTCTATTGAAGGCTTTTCATTAAATTGAATTCTTAAAACATGAAATAAGCTTCAGTCATGCAAAGCTTTTTCTATTATCTTTATAAGCTCACATAGATATCTAAATAATCAGCATCGGTGAAACTTTTACGTGTTTTCGTTTTTAGATATTTCGTCTCATTCTTCTTCATAATTTTCAAAGCTTTTTGGCGACTGGAAGTCTAGAATTGAAATCGATTTCTGTCGCTAACAGAGTTCTTTATTACACAGATGTTTAAAATATTATTTTCGTTTGCTTATCACTGCTGTCGCTGACTTTAGCTGTAAAGTAAGTATTATACATAAGTCAGAATTTATATATTAGCGTCATGAAATTGTTTATCACAATGAGAAAAGTAATTCCAGCGTGTCATAGATAGATATATGAATGCTCAGATATCTCATCAATCATCTTTGTGAAGTCAAATGAAATGCCATAAATTGTTAAAGTCGTTCCATGTGATGACCACAGCAATGAAAAAGCGATGCCAAAGACCAAAAAATAAATTATGTTACGACTCGTAACACGTGCAGTTTGTAAAGTACTCAAAAACGCAAAATGAAAGAAAGAAAAATAAAGAAATAAAAAATATTCGTCGTTGAATCTGAGCATGCACAAAATGTAATGTTTAGGGTCATTGCAAGCAAATTGAGAGTTTAATTAAATTAAAGCATTGCGCGAGATCTGAGTTATCGAAAATGCGTTGCGGACTTCTGATAACGCGACAACTTTTGTTTATGTTGTGCTAATTTTGCTTGATGGTTAGATTAGCATGCTAATGAATATTCATTTAATTATGTATAGATAGACAAATAGATCAATATGTCCCTTGACATTTTTACACCCGCTCATTCGATCACGAACAATTTTTTTATTCGTCGTTCGATGTGTAACTTTGCAACCGCAAACCAATCAATTTGACTTTGATCTTATTGAACGAACAAATAACTTTTGGCAAAAGATTGTTTTTGCGTTTTAGTGAGTCGAATAACGATGGCCTAGAAAGTGAATTTAACGATCTTGAAGTGACACTCGAAAGAAGAAAAGAGGAAACAATCAAAGGTAATTTTTTTTCCTTAAAGCTCGTCTCATCTTTTACGTCTGCTATGATGTAAATTTACCATAGAATAAATTTTTATTGTCTACGTCAAGCTTAATTTTTTTTCTTCTTGTTTCAATTATGTTTGGACAAACTTACCTGACTGATCCCCTTTAATTTATCCACTATTCGACTCATTGCTTGAACTTCAATTCACTATTTCATAAGAATTCGTTGAATTCTCGATACTTCAGTGTCTATTATTAAGTGAACGATAGAAATGTGTTTCCACGAATTCGTTTTGTTTAAATTTTATTTCTTAATTCACACCACCACAGTAATTAATAATTTTTATATTTATCAGCAAATGTTGGTGAACTCTTTTGTCACTATTTTTCAAATGAGCTTTTTTTACTTTCTTGAAATTTTATTTCCTTCTTTTGGACTTCTGCCACAGTTTTTAAATCATAAATAAATCACTAAACACTCTCAAATCGCAAATATTTTTTCTTATATTTCAATTTGCAAGCTGTTGCATAATATCTTTGATCAACTTCTTTAAAATTGTTTCTCTTCGGTTTCCGAAATATTAACAAGGTCACCGATCGGAACTCTTCACAGTTCTCTTCGAATTATTTTTTCTTATTTTTTTTACTTTGTTTCTGATTATTTTATAATGATGATGTTGCAAATATATTACGCGGTTTATTCTGATATTTTCCAAAAATAAATTCAAAACAAAAATATTCAAGTGAAACTCAAAAAAAGAAAAAAATGAAAACTAAAACCAAACAGTTCTGGTTGCCTTCAAAATAAACTAAAAGATATTTTTATATTTCTCTCACGCGATAGAATATTTTTTGCTATCAACATGACCGTTTGATATCTAAAATTCAACTAAAGACACACTTCGGTCTGTCTACTTTATTTATAGTTTCTCTGAGTTCTTCTGCGGATAAACGTCGACGTCACTACACAGACATGTTCACGTTCGGCTTTTTTCATTCGATGGCAACTGATGAGAGAATAATTTTATCGCCAATTTAATCGTGGCGGCATTTCTACAATAAAATTTAAACAATCTTTCTATTTGAATGAAATTTGATTTATTTTTGGTACATTTCGACTTCTAAGTTCACTTTTAAAGATTTATTACACACAACTTTTCGATATCGTCCACCGATCATTGCTTATAGGCCAACATATAAGCAACATACGAAGTTTGCTTCGTGTCAAACTCGGATAAAATATTGTAGCAAACAAAAGAGAAGAGCGAATATTTGCTCGATATTCCCAGTATGATTGTATACTTTATGGTGCTTTGCTTGCTCAACGAACAAACTAACTCCATATGTGCGCAAAATCACTGACGTCACGTCTCTAGACGAGCCTTCATTCTTTTTGTAGTTTCCACACCAACTGTTCATACCGCACACACAAATGTGCTCTCCGAACTTTTGAGTTTACGAAAAGCTGATGCAATATTCACCATCGACTCGTTTCTTTATCTTAGGAGGAAGTCAAATTTAGTTTTTGGGGGCTGGTTTGACAAGAATTCCAAATAATTTCTGAATCACGTGCTAATAGCAACGACAACAATTTTTATTTCATTGATTCAAATTATTTTCTGATCGATGATTACACAATTTCATACCAAAGTATGATGCAAACTTATTGAAGATGTTAAATGAAATTGATTTGTAATGATCCGTGAATTTCTCTGTCGCTTTTAAATGTTTTCAATCCACCATCAATGTTAAATTATATCGAACGAACGCTATTTTTAAAAGTTTAGCATTAATCTCTATCATAGAGGGGCTTGAATCGTATGGTTTTGTAGGCATGCCTTTGTATGTAGTCGAATCTATACAACTTAAGTAGTTCAGGTGCTATTACGTATAATTACAATTGCATTTTTTATATTTCGAGTTGAATAGAATGCAATTTAATACCAGTCGAAATGCTGACCTTGGAGAAAGGCTTACAATCCGTTGATGAAATGTTTTCATAAATTTATGAACTGACTATGACTGTTAAGCTTGAAACGTTAGAATTGTTGCTTACTGTCTGATGTCATTACATAGAGTCAGGTGATCTATTGAGAAAACGTTAAACACAGCTTTAAATCTTAGCGAATTAATTACAAAAATGTTTGTACAAGTTTTTCATTCATTTCTGCTTACGATCTATGACAATTAAATCAACAACTTTTGACATAATTATTATGATGTTTATTTATCTAAAGTTGATAATTAGTAACAGGCATTAAATCTTCCTCACCAGATGCTTCCCTATGCTTAAAAGCTTGAAGTGATAAAATTTTTAATCTCATAAGTTTCGATAATCAATCGCATTTAATTTTCAATTATCAATTTTTAATTAGTCTACGTTTGGAAAAGAGAAATCTATCAAGAATTCTACATCATACCAGCCCAGAAAAGATTTATTGAAAAGTTTGCAGTGTCAATGGAAAAATACAAGTTTCTTTTATAATAATATTAATAAAAATAATAACACAGCCAGTGACAATTGATGATGGTCGCGAGCCAATTTCTGATCAGAGATTTTTATTGTCGAATAGAAAATTTTTGATAAAGATGCTTAAACGATCTCTAATGATCTGATAGAATAATTAACAAAACTTTCAATGATTGAATGAACTTTTTTTGTCACTGATCTGAGAACTTTCATCTCTTATAATGTCTAATCTTGACACATTTTAAACATTTCTCTTCTTATTGCAAACATCAATCAGTGAATAAAAGTCAGTGGAATTTTCCACTCGATCACTTTTACCCTTGCGCTTTGGTTTTTATTTCTGTTTCAGAACCACGAAAGATATGCATAGAGGAAAAAGAAAGAAATGAGAAATGAATAATGCATTAATTGACGAGGGTCAATGCGAGAACTGAGAACTCAACTGACTTGTTGTCGGATAATTATGAATGTGGAGACACTTGCAGCACTACTTCGCACGCGATATGAATGTGAAAGTCGGTGTCGATATTGATTATTCCAATATTATTTCAACTTGTAGTTTCGATCGTAAAATGAGACGAAATTCGTAATCAAACAGCTGAAGGGAGCGTTGAACCTCAACCTTCATAATGTATGTAGAAGTATCAACTTTTTCAGACGATATTTTATGAGAACAATCCCATGTTTAATTTCTATATACTCTCGAATGATAACAATTGATAATTGAATGTCACGTGACGCTTTGCATTAAGATGAAGACAGATATGTGGAGATGTTTAATGAGTGTCTGGAATTAAAGAAAAAGAGAAGTTTAATGAATTTCACAGAGTTATTCATTGTACACTTGTAGTTCGTTTGTTCACTTTAAATTAACTGTTGATGGCAAGGAATTGTGTAAATGTGATGATGATGATGATGAACGGAATTCCGACTACTGAATAAATCAATTTAATAGGAATGCATGGCGTCAGATCTCCATAAGCAATACAAACCGGTGAGGTGAGTCATGATGGAAATAACTATGAGAGAAACATAATTTAATGAACTTATTACAGACCGACTGTAAGAAAGAAATAAAGAGTTTGATAGTTCATAGAATTGAATATAAAATGATGCTACGAATCTGCGCATTAGTAAATAATTTCGAAATTTAGCAAGAATTTCCTGACCTTCTTTCAATTAAACTGATTTCACTGAATTTAATCAGAAATATTTAATTACATTACAAACACACACACATTGGAATTTGAAACTCTTAATGGTTGAAATCGTGATTTAATTCCTTGGACATAATTAACTCAGCAAGAACAACAGCAACAAAATTGAATGTCTAAGTAGTTGCAATGTGTGAAATGATTTCTTTATTTCCTGTTTGTTTGATTTTAAGCAAACTTGGCAACCAACATATATTTAATAGCTTGATTCCATTGATCGACATGCACACATGCAAGCAAGCTGATAGTTTCTGATACTTATGTGTGCACAAAATTGTATTTGAGAATACATAAGAACAATTTATGCACAAATTGCAACGAACATATCAATTAAATGACATTGGATTACATGAATTTATGTTGATTAGCTAAACATTGACTTCCGATCGTCTTTCTTTCCCACTTGCATGCAATCACGTAGAGTGAAGACAAACCTACAAGTAAAATTTATCTTCGTATTATGTAAACCTAGCGAACGTGATTAATGTCACACGATGTTATCTATTAATTGAAAGAACGTGGACAACGATGATATTTTGAATTTATCGTCAGCATCCAATGTCATTTCCATTAATCGAACAAAATTCTTAAGATTTGAATAAGAAATAGTAAAGAATTGTGTGCCAAGATCAAGTTGTTTACTGAAATTTTGTTACGATTGGTTGATTTGGAAGGCTCGTCCGATATTTACAAAGAAAAGCACCAGCTAAAGACAACAGCAGCGTCATCAAGTTGTTACGATGTTGGAAGGTTAAAACTCATATTCAAATGTATTTATGAAACTTGTTTCAGAAAGCCAGTTATTTTTGGTAACCACGAGATATTTGAACGTGCTGCCTTGTCAGTAATAATAAAGATTTATGAGAATTTAGTGTGGGCTCAACTTTTGGTTCTGTTTTCACCGCTTTTGAATAATTTGCGAATTGCAAAAATTTGTTTGCTTTCCGTTACAGCTCAAGGCTCTTCCTCAACTCTCAATTAATTCAATCAGACTCGATTTCCAATTAGAACTGATATAACAATAAAACTTCTGAAGCTAACAAAGGGTCCAAAGATCAGTTCCATGACCGAGCAATTTGGTTTTCTTCTTGCACTTTATGAATGGAAATTCCCCAAACACAAAAGCAAATTGTTTAACTTTGAATATGATTTGTGGGTGTGTTAAAAGTAAAAGCTTCGCTGTTTAGTTCAATTGAGTTCGAAATTTTGTAAATTTTAATGGTTTTAGGCGGTATACAATTTATCATTTATTATTATATTCGATAATTTGTTTAAAAGTTTCTACGAATTGAAATGATGTTTGCATATGGCTTAACTGAGATATTAACGACTACGCGTCAATGTTTCCTACTTAAATTCTATTTTTAGAAGACCAACAAAAAAAAGAGGATTACTCAAACTCATACGCAAAAATAATCACGTTGATGATATTTCGTGAGAGTTTGCATGTCCAAATGAAAGAAAGATATTGAATTTTGATCCTAAAGTCGTTTGAATGTATTTTCTTGACACATTCAAGCTAGTCAATTAACATGATGATACATATTTATTTCAATAATTAACATGTAGAATTTAAACTGTAAGCTCTTAGCAAGTTTCTGACCACTTTTGACAAGCTAAACTAGCAACTGTTCCTCCTATTTTTCAATAATTCCACACGCAACTTTGTATCTATTTCATCAAAAATTATCTAAAGGAAATTTCTTTGATCAATTTGACCTTGTTTCTGTGCCAAAAAATCAAGTGAAATACGCTAAAATCAACAAATGAACAGATCATTAAGAATCGTAATTAAAACTTTATACTTATTCAATGATTTTTGCATTATGATATGTTTCGATGTGGACATAAATACAAAGTCTCTGAAAATGTCAGTTTTAAATGTTCGCTGCTAATGAGTAAAACGATATGCAAAAATAAATTTGTTATTTTCTCCGATTTCCATGAAATAATAATGTAACGTGAGTCACATTTCTGCTTTTGAAGACTCAAACATCTGCACACAACCAAAAGTGAAGTCACATGGGCGGCATACTTTCAAGATATTTCTCAGGAAATTTCTTTTGCGTCATCGTTTGTTGCACAAGGTTGTCAATAAATTTCAAAGATTTATGCCAATTGCAAACCAGACAGTTTAAATACCAATCAATCAATTAGATATTTATTTAAGGTGATGACATAAATAACAACGATTAGAAGTTTGGTATTTTAATTAATTTTGTTAAACACCTTTCCCAATGCAAATTCATCTCAGACGCTTACGTTGAATTGTCGCATTTATTTATATTGTAAATTTGATTTCTTGCCAAAAATTAAAAAAGAAACGAAGTAGAAAAGTTAATACAAGTAGGGCAAAGAAATGTAGATATTTAAAATAGAGTGAAAGGCTAACAAAGTCATCATATGACTTTGGGACTTGCTTCTTTAAAATTAACTAACTAATTAAATAAATGTGAATGAAGTTTCTTCTTCTTGTTTCACGCTTGCAAAAATATTTCCGAAGAATCTCCCTGCTGATGTTTTGAAGGCTTGGCTAACTAACAGTGTCAGTTGACTCATGCTACCCGAGAGGTCTGTGACCAAGTCAGAAAAAACTTTTTCACAGAAGAACAAATGGAAAATTTGTTATTAAGCACTTGAGACTATTCAACTTTTCGTTTCGTAAAGGAAATAAAAGTTCCAATGACGAATGAAAGTCAGCCGAAAATTGATGGTACATAAATAGTTGCGTTTGACTCGCTTCTAGTCATGTTTCTAATGCCTTTGGAGCAGTCACGCAAATTGAAATTTTTATCAGATGTCAATACACTTCATCAAATGCTCCAATTAAGCAGATCTATGACGTCGTTTGTTACCTCAAAGCATGTGATGATTGCGTCGACTTCCGAATGACTTCAGGTCATAAACAATTGTACAAAATATGATTCTCAAAAGAAAAACAATTACAAATGAAATTTTATCATTTGTCTGGTTAAGTCGCTTTATCATTGTTTTTTGAAGCAAGTCTAGAATGATAAGATATAAAATGTGACAATATTTTAAATATCATCGAACACACCCACGATTTCAATTGTAATAATATTTTCATTTCAATTTAAGTCAGCAAAAATTGAACGACAAATTCACAAATATATTTTTAAAATCAATTTGTGACGTTTTCATTACTTTTGGAATTACTCGAATTGAAATTATTTATCTTATCAGCACATATTTTGCGAGTAAAAGAAACTTTTAGCAGGATATACGGAACCAGACATTATTGAGACAAGTGTTAGTTACAAATTTCAATTTGTTTGTAAATATTCTCCTTGTCATTTTTTCATTTGAAATGTGAAAAAGCAGACGCAAAATAAAAATTAACAATAATTAAGTAAATACAATCAAAAAGTGTGTGTCTAAAATTATTGTGAATATGAGGTTGGAATGAGGTTGAATCAGTTTGTTAGTCATCACAAATCACCAACTACTTAGTTGCTGCATGGCAGTTATCTTTCCTAAATCGATGCCATTGACGTCAGTTATCTCGTGTTGAAGAATTAATTTTATTTATTTAGTTTTGTATATCAATAATTACATTTATTTTATTCTTCATACCAGTAAACGTCAATTATCGTCATTTGACTCAAATGACAACCCTGCATCATTTTAAAATCCTATAACCGGCGTGGCGTCTCCATTGATGATCAAATTGAATCGTTTGTCATTCTCAATTAATACTCATTCGACATGTTCAGCTTCTTTCATTTAACCCAAAACTGAGCACACGCATCGTCGTCGCTTATGCTTTAAATTTGCAACTTGATGACTATCGAAACGTGTTAAACGGTTAGGCTTGGGGTCAAATTAATGAAGCTCAATGAATTGAAAGAAAAGATATTTTATTAAATATTTTGACATAAAATAAGTAAATAAAGATGCTTAAAATTTAAATATTGATTTTTCTTTAGCATTTTGAACGAAATTTAATTTTATAAAAACTTTATCACTGTTTTTATGAACTTTTTGTGAAGGGAAAGTTTCCATATTCATTCTAAGGGAATGGAAACCCCACTCAAATTATTTGCGTATGAAAACAGAATGATTGACCTTCGCTTCCAAACACTGGCCGACTTTTTAATTTAAAAACAATCTCATTCGCTTTATGCCATTGTTTTCTCATCACATGACAATTTGACACATGATAAATGAAGCAGTTGACCATTTTCATTTGTGCTTAAAGTATTTTTTTCTTTTCATATGATGATCAAGCCCCCAAAAATTATTTTCGGATGAATACACAATTTTTTTGTCGCCCATATGACGCGATGTTTTTATTTACATTTTAATTTCTTCTTACGCAGTTAAAGTTAGAAAAAATGTATTTAAGGAACGAGATAAATTGTTAAAAGTAAGAAATTTGTGGGCGGTAGAAACTTGACTCAAACATAACAAGTGTGATGCTTTTATTCATCATGAATTCACATGACACATACATAAAAATTTTGTTTCATCGGCACGTTTCATAAAATATTGAACTTCGTTTGCAAATAAATTAGAAAGAAATAAAATAGTGAAGGAATTTAAAGATTTTTTGTCATTTACAGTCATCCTAAAATTTTAAAAATTTTCCAGATCTTCATCTCAAATTGCTGAGCATGTCAACGTTTACTTCATATTTTTGGTTCGCAAAATTAGACATAAATAACATCAAATCAAAAACAGACTTCACTCTTAATCGATTTCATCAATTGAGTTCAATAAATTTTTATATTCTTCCAATATGTTCGATCTAGGATGAGAAAAATAAATTTCTAATTGATTTTCAGTGTCAAATCATCTTGAAGCTATTGATAAAATATTAAAACTTAATCATATAAATGTTTGTATGAAAACAATAAGATCACAATGAAGCAATTGATTTTGGTGTTGGTCCCTTCTGCACGTCATCAACATATTTCTAAAAGACTAAACGACGCAGAAACTTATGACGATCGAAGAAGAAAAAAAAAATTGCTCCGCTGTTGTTAGAATCAAGGACTTTAAATTAAACGTCAACGAGTGCTTTTTCATACAGATCAAGCAAATAATTATAAATCAGTAGCATGCTTAGTGCCTTATCAAACCTTGAAAAGAAGAGTTAAGAAAATGTAATTAAGTTCAGTATCAGTTTGCAAGTCAAGGATGATATTTCCACGCACGCGTTGTGTTCGTTGTTAAAAAGTTACAACAAAGTTATCCAAAACTTTTACAACATTTAATGGCTCCCTTTCAAGGGTGAATCAAAAGTTCCTTTTATTGCGTATGGCGACTATTAACTGTCAGAGTTATTAGCTCAACAGCCTTGACCTTTTACAATGTTGATGATTTTCAATTTGTTCTTGGCATTGAGGAAAGTTATTAATATTGAAATAAATTTTTATGGCAATGACGTACTTTGATCTATGATCTGGAAGTATGTAAAGAAACTTCTGTTTCTTCTTCAAATGACTTTCTTAAATGAAATTTAATTATTCACAAGATTTGAATTTCACTTAGGTGAATTTTGAAATTTTCATTCCTTGAATAAACTCAAAACTTTGAAATGTGTTTGAGCAATTTCGTGATAATCTGAAAATTACTGCAACGTTCATATCCGTTTGTGACCTTAAATACAAAGTAATAGAAACATTAAAAATGTACAAAAGAATTTTTATTAAGGTCATGCATGATTCAATTATCTTTAATAATGCTTTATGACATTTCAAGTAAAGAATCTTTTATGATTTTGATTTTAAGGATTAAGAAATATTTACAAGAGTCAAAATATATTTAAGAATTGAAAAAGCAGAATTGAATTAAGAAAAAAGATTTAATAGCTTCACTACAGTGAACCTTTATTTGATACAAATTCCGTGTATGTTATGAAGCCATCCTTGTCTTTGTCCATTAATTCAATTACGTGATCAATCGTTGTTATCAACTGTTCGTCAGTATACGGCGCACTTCCTTCTTTCTTGTCGTCTTTAACTAAATAATTGAATCAGATGGAAATAAAAATTTACCGATAATTAAATGCAAACCAACACCAAATTGTTAAGCATCTTCAACCATTTCTGAAACATTTTTGTTTAATGCAAATGCAAACACCGCAGTATGAAGCTTGATTTTGTTTTTTAATGCAGGTTAAATTTCAGATTTCATTTATGGATTTTCATCAGAGAAAATTTCCTATTGCAAAAATTATAAATTAATTAAACCACGACTCAGTTAATTTAGTAATTTATGTTGGATGGCCAAAGATCAAATAGTAATTTAGTGCTTTTGATTACATTGAAAAGAAATTATTGCTTTAAAATTCGAGATAATTTTTCGATTCTGCAAAGGAAATTTTTTGAAATTAATTTTGAACATTTTCATTTTGTTGCGACGTGTCGTCATCGAATCCGGAACCTTCAGGGTGAGGTTGTTGATTTGTTGTTATAAATTCAGCATATGAAATGAAACCGTCCAAGTCGTGGTCCATTTGAGCTATGACTGGGTCAAGCGTCTTTTCAAGATGTTCATCAGTGTAGGACGAGGCTTGTTCCTTCTTTCCATCCTTTTCTAAATAAATAAATTCAAAGCAAATATTTATATCAAAGTTATGATAGCAACAGCAAGAATCCCACCACTTGCCTGACATTAAAAATCACAAAACCATCGATTGAAATATGTGGCAAAATATTTTTATTTTTAATTTGTTCAATCTTTAACAGCGCAATTTCATTTTTCATGTTTTATCAGTGCGCACTTACATTTCATTTAATGTCACGTTTTTACATTTGATCCTTGCTTTGTTCTTTAAAAAGTTTTGCATGTCAACGATAATCAAGATTTATGCAAACATGTTTTGAGAAAATTAAAAGAATTTCAACAGACAAGACTTTTCGACAAAAACATTGACCGTGAAAGTAATTTTGAGATTCCCTTTAAGTAATTAAGTATCGATTTTGAAGATCTCTCAAAAGGCGCAGATAATATTTATAAATAAATTATAAAAAGTATGATAAGGAATTGTGATGGAATGGAATATTTATGACAATTTTCTTTTCATGAAATAAAACAAAACAATTTAACGAAGCCACTTTCTATCTCTCAAGATGAATTTTCTTTCACTCATCTCAGTCTTTGATCGTGTTTTTTAGAAAAGAAATTCAACAAGAATGAAAACAATTTTAAGTCACAACTACATTTAATTATCTCTTGTTTTGATTAGCTGCCGCTGATTTTTGTTGCGCTCGAATAAATTCAGGATAATCAATGAAACCGTCTTTATTGAGATCATCACTTTGAAGAATCGGATCAATTAACGTGTTGAGTTCTTCGTCAGTGAATATTTTTTCCTCCACCTGTGGCACTTGCTGTTGATGTTCGTTATCTTTACTGCCTTGAGCTGATGGATGAAACATCACCATGTAATGAGACATGAAGCGTAATGAAGTGAAATTTTCATGTGAAAAGCAATTAACATTATACGAATATGATTGAATGTCTTTCAAACTTCTAATTCAGTGGATAAAAATGTAAACAAACTCACCATGCCAATGTATCAGTGATTTAATCAATTCACAACCATCAAGCTTGTTGTTATTATCAGCATCGTGCATTTTAAAGTAATGGAATTGAAGTTCTTGGTCTGTCATTTTACTTGTATCAATCGGCACTTCCATGTGCTCCGCAATGTGACTAAAAAGCATTTCAAGGTAGATAGTCAACATCAATTAAGAAAATCCAACATTTAACTTACGCTTTCTCATCTTGAAGATTTCCTGTGTGCAGAACTTGTTGTGGTTGACCATGATGTCCATGATGGTGTCCACCTCCACCGTGTTGCTGCTGAGCTACCGGTGGCTACAATCAAATGAAATTATAATGGAGAACAAGAAATGCAATTTGGATTGTGAATTTTAACTTTTACCTGTTGATGGTGGGAGGGATTTCCATATTGATCGACATTTTGAACGGGTACTTGTTGGTTCGGGTTGTAATGTTGTTGATTAGGATTAGGAGGATGCTGTTGTTGTTGCTGGTAATTTGGTTGCTGTTGTTGTTGTTGGTAATTTGGTTGCTGTTGTTGTTGATAAGCTGGTGGTGCTTCCTAAAAAAATAAAAAAAAATAATGAGAATTATTGTTACACGTAAGCGATTTTTTTATCAGATACCAAAGAAATGTTTTGTAAACATAATGACATGTGTAAGAATGCGGAAGATAAAGAAATTACTTACGTAGTGCTGAGGTGGAACGCCAGGCGCAACACGTTGAGCAATGGAATATGATGCAACGGTCAAAATTATGCTAATAACATAAACTTGCTTCATCGTTAATGAGTTGGCCTATCACAAGGTTGACTTGATTTAGTTTGTTCTTAAGTTGTTCGTTTGTTATGAGTGTAATAATCACGTTAATCTATGATTCTTATCACTCCTAATCAGTTTTATAAATTTAAATTTATTTTGTTCTGTCGGAGGGAATTTAAATGATTAATTCAGAAAATTTCTGGGCCGCGGAATTTTGTCAAAATAGTGAATGAAACCTTACAACAGTCAATTGATGTTGCAAGAATGTTGCATGTGATGTTTCTTGTCCGGGATATTGGCAAGCTGATGTTGTCATTTCTTCAATGTTTTCACAAAAAAACTCAACAACTGGGGGATACAAGGGGGAAATTTGAAAAATACCATTTGGGGGATACCAAGGGAAGAAAAAACACCGTAAGTCGAATAACTTTATGCAAGTGCTGCAAATGTTTTGCCTTAATAACTTTTAATTAAAAACTTTTTAAATAAAATATCGTCTACAAAAATATTCACTTTCAGGTCCTCTATCGGGAATACAATTTTTCCCCTTTTAGAATTAATTTATGTTTGTAAATCAACTTCGCATGTTGATGATGATGATGATGAAAGCACTTTTCAAGAATATTCAAATAATCCACTATGAAAACACTAATCATAGTTTGAATAAGTTTTTGTTTTATTTAAGTTGTGCTACTGATGTCATCTATGATGACATTAACAAATTTATATGTACTTACAGTCTATTTAAAAACTACCAAAGGTAAACTTTTTGAGCATGAACCGGGTAGCATTTCTCAACCAAGATTTTTATATCATATTTTTGTTCCTTTTTTAATTTAAAGCAATTGTTTTTTAACAGATTGATATTTTGATATTTTAGAAGATGATTTCATGTAAGGCAATATGATTTTTTAATATTTACTTCATTAACAATCGTCTGCTTATTTTAGAAGACAATCGTCTGCTTAAAAGCTTCATATTCGATGTGGTGGCACTTGATATGTGAATGGAGCATAAATTGAAAATTATAATAAAATTATATTTTAAGTTACAATAAATTGTAAGGAAATTTGTGTCTCTTTTTTCTATATTAAATGCAGAATTAAATCCCGTGAGTTGGAGAAAGTTGTTGATAGTTAATTATTAAGTTCTTGTTGTCTCATTACTACATAAATTTCTATCAGAATTAAATGGAATTTGAATAGAGAAAGATAAAATTTAAAGTTATAATTTATAGTTTTGACTAAGCTTTTAGGAATAGATTAAGAAAATTCTTTCATCACGATATTTTTAATCGATTGATTTCATCAATATGTTTACTTATTCTTAACTTTGTAATCTAATATCACAAAAGAATTGTGCAATTCCTCGAAATTTTAACGAACTTCTATAATAAAATTATTGCCTTATTTTTGGTATTTTGATTCAAAAAGATTTTCTATTTGTGGTACATGTCAATATCACTTACTTATGTATGATAAAAGCGAAATAGTAAAATCTTCATTGATACACCAGATGTTGCGTCTTCAAATATAAGTATGATTATGATAATTGAGAATTTGAAATTTCAGCTGCTTCATAGTTGTCTCCATTTTCCATTTGTCATTCAGCTTCTACTATCAGATCAAGCTTCTCAACAGTCTCAGCAAATTCACCATCTTTGTCGAATAATGCAGCTGAAAAATATTGTGCAAAAAGTCTTCCCATGTATTGATCTTTATGACCTGGCCAAACACCATCCAAAAATCCTATATGTCCACCACGTGCTGTGACAACAATTGCAACATGAGATGAATCTTCTGCAGCTTTAATGGGGATTGCTGTCAATATAAAAATGATTAAGAAATCAAAATGGTTTCAGAAAAAACAAATCTTACCATCGAATGGTTGAAATGGATCATCAGCTGCTGACAAGCATAAAGTTGGAACTTTTATCTTGTGAAGTTTGTTATGTAAAGTCGCATGTTTGTAATAATTGTCAACATTTCCATATCCAAAATGAATTGATGTAAAGTGACTGTCAAATTCTTTAACAGTTTTGCTTTGTAAAACTTTATCCATATTCCATTCGTGATCAGGATGAAATAAAATGTCGTACTTCTTCACAGTGTTGCATAAAGCTCCAGCTAAATGACTGTTAAGCATTGAATTGAGATATGGTTTAGCAATTGACTCGGCTCCTTTTTCAACATCCCATGGAACTGAGATGATCTTGGCAGCTGTCAAAACGGATTTTGCTTCGTCGGCATGAACAGATAAATAATTTCCTAAGATTAATCCACCCATTGATATTCCTGTTGCACCTTTCTTAACATTTGGATATAAGTTGTGAACATGATTAACGACTTCAGAGAGATCTTCACAATTAGCTGCACAGTAGAGTCGAGGAGTCTTCAAAGAAATTCCACCAAGTCCGCGATTGTTGAAGACAACACACTTAATTCCATTTTTGTTTGCTTGTGTGGCAAGACATTTGATGTATTCAGCTTGAGATTCACCAGTTAGTCCTGGAAGAATAACAACAACTGGAGCGTCATCAGCACAACCAATTTCTAACCAATCGAGTGCCACTTCTCCACCGTCTTTCAAACGAAGAATTTCTCTATAAAAGAATGACGAAGAAATATTGAAAATCTGAAGAATTTTGGCAGAGAAATTAAAATGAAAATCGTAATGATTTTCATCATAAAACTTTACCTGCGATATTCGATATCTGGCATGATGGTCGATCGAATAAATGATGCAAAGACCTAAAAGATAACTTTTTATTTATATATGAACAGTCATAGAAAGTTTTATGAGATTCTTACCGTCTGAGCTCGAGATTCAAAGCACCAGAATGTCGGCCAATATTTGACGTCCAATGTTGGAACATTTTTAAGAAGATATCCTTCGAAAGGTCCTTTTTTGACAGCGAGAAAAGGTCGCTATAAAATGAATAAGAAAAACATGAAATTCAAATTGAAAATTGAATTTCAATCGTGATTTGAAAAGAAAGTAATCGCATGATAAGCAAAACAGAAATTTAAGACTGATAAAAGATATCTGAAATTGACGTAGGTTTTCATGAAGGTCGTTAAGCGTCATTAGTTTTAGGTATCTCGACTTAGAAATTTCCGCCTTATTTTAAATGGTAGGTGATACAGTTTTGATCGATTTTACAATTATTTATTTTGAAATTTATGAACGAGTAAAATGAAATGATTGAAAAAGTCAAGCATATTCACTTTAAGGATCATTTACTTTACAAGAATTGCAATGAGTCTTAAAATGATTAAATTGAGATTACGACACAATTTCAGTGAAGCGAAATATGTTTGGGGGACTTAATTGAACCTGAACTTCATTCAACTGATAACACGTTTTGAAACTTTCAATTTTTGGACACAGCGTAATCAAAAATTGTCAAATGCTTGATTACGCCGTGTCCAAAAATTGAGGAATTCTTTGTTAATGCTTCCATAAATAGAAAAGCCACTTAGGGAGTTGATTAATATTTGATTTCATTTAACTGATATCAAGAGATATGCTTGAGTACTACTACGGGAAGATTCAACTTTTAAAAATAGAATTTTTTCACACTTTTCAATGAAGCAACATAATTGAAATTAATTAATGTAAAAAAAGAACAAGATTCTTACCTTTACAACTTCGATGAGATAGTAAAACAAGTATCCAACAGAAAGGATGGAAAAGAAATGATAACGTGGGAGATTCGACATGTAATTGTACAAATCTACTATCTGCATAACGGCGGGAGAAATTTTTGTAAGAACACGAGTTATAATGGTACAGAAATACTTTTCTGATAAATACGAAACCTTCACACTCTACACGAAAAAGTAGACAGAAAAAATATTTAAGTTAGACTTTGAACTCTGCATCAGAGAGATCGAGTTAAAAAGATTATCATTGTTGACATTATGATGACTAGCCAAGTAACAGCTGTTCAGACAAGACTAATTATGGTACTTGATAAGAAATGGAACAATAAACATTCTACAAGATTCTAATATTTTGTTAATTACCAAGTTCAATGATCTAAAATTATTTCTCATGAATCGTGACGTAACTGTATGAATTATAAATTTTAAACTGAACAAATCTGCTTTTAATGTTTAAAAGCCGGTTTGTTAATAAGTATCAAAATACTTGTTTGATGAATGTAAAAATGTGTCATTAAACGATCCATATGAAAAAATCGATATCAAAAATATTATAATATGTAAGTAGGTAGATAATTTTTCAAGGTTTTCGCTACTTCTGCCTGTCAACGCAGATATCAGAGTATGTACCCTATTTAAAATAAAATTCACAATTATCGACATCAAAACCAACCTCAAGATATTAATTAGAATCTCAACAGCACTAAGTAATTAAATAAATTGTATATCGATCAGAAATGATTTTTTTAAACAGCAATAAAACTTGATACGACCATCTACACAACACAGGAGGAAATCGAAGACTGAGTAGACTGAAAAAATATTTCTCATGTCTTCTCTTGTTTCTCGAGACGAAGCGAGACAGATAGAATGTTGCAATGTATACACATCAAGCTTTCGGTACAGACAATGTGCACACCACATGAGACTTCAATCGAAGTATTGATAGAACAAAATCATAAGTTTGTAAATTTACTTTTAATTAGCAAATTATGATAAACTCGAATATTACTAAAAATGTTTTAAATGATGAACTCATCCCAAAACTTTTTAGAATAATTTTTAAATTTAAGTTAAATCTATTACAAAACATAAAAAATAACGGTTTTGAAATATTTTAAATTCCCTAGATTTTTATGGGTCCAAACATGAGTTATGACTACATTTCATTACATTCTTCTCCTTAACCTGAAACCTGTAACAACGGCACGCTAAATTTCGCCGATCATTTAATAATTAAAACGCGCTTGAATTATGTCGAAATCAGAAGAAGCTGAATCGCACGATCATGACTCAAGTGATTTTGACGAAGGTTCAAAGAAAGGATTGGAGAATCTTTTGTCAAATCCTGCTTATTTAACATCATCTATGAAGGTAAGCATAAAATGCGTTTTAACTTTTTGATGAAAAAAAAAAAACTTGCCTGTCGTTATAATTACAGCGGATTTTATTGAAAGACATGATTAAAAATCTGCCTGAAGGAGCTCAAAAGCGTGTCAAGGCTTTAAAAAATCTTCAACTTGAATTTCTAAAGCACGAATGCACATTTTTCGAAGAAGTTTATCAGCTGGAACGGAAGTATCAGGAGAAGTATGAATCAATTGCCGAAAAACGGAAGGATATCATTGTTGGAGATTATGAGCCCACTGAAGCTGAATCGCAGCTTAAATCTGATGATGAAGAAGAACGTGAAGAAGATGCAATGATGGAGGAAAATTTGAAGTCACTCAAAGCTCCCAAACATGATGAAAATGTCAAAGGTACATTGAATGAATAATTAACATAACTTATTTATGCTTATGCTCATAATTAATAGGAATTCCTGATTTCTGGCTAACAATTTTCCGAAACGCGGAATTGATTAGCGACATGATTCAACCACATGATGAACCATTGTTGAAGCAACTGACAGACATCAGGATCAAGTACGACGAAGATTTGACATACACATTAGAGTTCTTTTTCGAACCGAATGACTACTTCACTGATTCGGTTCTCACCAAAAAATATTTTTTGCGTTGTAAGATTGATAGCGATGAGCCATTTGCTTTTGAAGGCCCAGAAATTTACAAGTGCACTGGCTGGAACATCAACTGGAAGCCTGGCAAGAACATCACAGTGAAGACGGTCAAGAAGAAGCAGAGACATAAGGCGCGTGGAGCTGTTCGTACCATAACCAAGCAGGTGCCGAGTGATTCATTCTTCAACTTCTTCAATCCTCCCGATGTCCCTGAAGATGAATCCAAACTTGATGAAGAATCACAAAACATTCTTGCTACAGATTTTGAGATTGGACATTTCTTGCGTGCTCGCATCATTCCACGAGCTGTTTTGTTTTTTACTGGAGATCTTGTTGATGATGATAGTGGTAAGTGAATTGAATTTCCAATCAGTGAAACTTTAATTTATTTTTATTTATAATTTAAGATGAAGACGATGATGAGGAAGAGGAAATTGAAGAAGAGTCTGAAGAAGAAGAGGAAGCACCAGAACCTCCACAAAAGGGAACCAAAAAGAGATCGAAGGGAGGAAAAGGAGCAGCTACACCAAACCCAGCTGAGTGCCAACAGCAGTAAGCACAACATCATGTTTTGAACTTTGGAAGGCTTTTTTTTCTTCAACTCATCCCCAAGGATGGATTTACGAAGCATCAACGCTTTCCTTTTATCATTACATCATTTTCTTTTCTCTTTCTTCTTAATGTTATGGTCATACTCAACATTATTTTTTTATTATACCTCACACGATTATTTGGATTTCTTTTCTTATTGTCACAAATAAACAAGAATTTCATTACACTCAAAGGTTTAAATCATTTTCTTTTAGTTCTCAGATATTATTTTTATGATTTTCAGAATATTCAATGATTTAAATTAATTAATTGATGGAGAATTAGAAATTATCTACATTAGAAAATGTCTCTGATGTGAGAATTGGTTTTGAATTTTTACTTTTCTTTTTGCAAAAGAAATTTAGAAAAATGTTTTATTGAAGAGAAATAAAATAAATATTACTGAGAAAATACTTAAAAGGGTTTGAAATAAATTGAATTTGGCGAATGATTATAAACATTTCCACAAATTGATAACAAACGACGATTTTGCCTTATCTAAGTATATCTAGATGTAAAAATAATTATTTATTACTTTTATTACATACAATTCTAAGTAGATAAATTTATGATATGAAGTCTTGATTTTGATGACAATTGCTGCTACTGGTGTTTGTTTAAGTATCAAAAATGGACAAAAAAAGTCAGAAATGAAATTTTTTTAAAATTTATAAAAAAAGTCAAGATAAGAAATTACGAAATTTAAAAATCAGCATCAAGTGTGAAAACATTGTCAAGACGATTTGCCATCACTCCAGCTTTTTGATACTCTCCAACTTTCTTTTCGAAGAAGTTTGTTTTACCCTCAAGCGAGATGAGCTCCATGAAGCTGAAAGGATTCTTTGTGTTGTAGATTTTTTCGACTCCCAATTCACCGAGAAGACGATCAGCAACAAACTCAATGTATTGAGACATCAGTTCGCAATTCATGCCCAACATGTTAACAGGCAAGGCATCGGTGAGGAATTCTTGTTCAATTTTAACAGCTTCTGAAATGATTTCGACAATTCGTTCTTTTGGTGGTTTCTGGACAAGATGACGGAACATCAAACAAGCAAAATCACAATGCAAGCCTTCGTCACGTGAAATCAATTCATTGGAAAATGTCAATCCCGGCATCAATCCACGTTTCTTAATCCAAAATATGGCAGCAAAACTTCCACTGAAGAAAATTCCTTCAACTGCTGCAAATGCAATAATTCTTTCCCCAAAGTTGGCATTCTTACTGCTGATCCAGTTAATTGCCCAGTCAGCCTTCTTCTTCACACATGGCAATGTTTCGACAGCGTTGAATAAAAATTCACGCTCTTTGGAGTTTCGAATGTAAGTTTCAATAAGCAAGGAATACATTTCAGAATGTACATTCTCCATAGCTATTTGAAAACCATAAAAGCAGCGTGCTTCAGTAACCTGTGAATCAGAATGATGAGAATAAACAGTAAAATTGTATTCATTTTCAAAAAATTTACCTGAACTTCCTGGCTAAATCTTTCAACTAAATTTTCATTCACGATGCCGTCAGATGCTGCAAAGAATGCCAATACATGTGAGATAAAGTGACGTTCGGTATCTTTAAGGCCATTCCAATGATCAAGATCCTTTGACAGATCAACTTCTTCAACCGTCCAAAATGACGCTTCCGCCTATTGTTAAAAAGAGGAGAAAATTCAGTTAGAATTTCTTTCTACATAGAACTTTTCCAAACAGCATCATATGATTCTTCACCCTCCCTTTTGTTGTTGTTACACGAACATCTGTTTGTTAAAATTCCTAACAGAAGTTCTCAACCTTTTAAAATGTTTCAGTTTTCACGAAACTAACACAAAGAGTCATGAAAATTAGTGTTAGAAGTTCTGGGTAAACAAAATTACGACGCAAAACTTGTTATAACATGATTTTATCGGTTTGTAAGCGAAAAAATAAAAGAAATTGAAATTTGACCTGATTGGAACTTAGAGATTTCTATAAAGTAACAAACTTTTTACTGAATTTATACCGCAAAACTTTAATTACCTTTTTATACATTTTCCAAATGTCGTCGTATTCAATTGGAAAAATGACGAAGCGTCTTGGATTGTCTCGTAAAAGAGGTTCCTTTGATGGATCGAATGTGTAGGATGGTACTCGGTTTGCGATGGATCCAACTTCATTATCAACATCGTTCTTTTCAATATTTTGTCCTGGATGAGAAACATCATCCATTCCTTTGAGTTTTGGTTGTTTAACAGGCAGAACGTTTGCGTCGTTCTCAGTCAATACTTTTCGTGGACTCTGCGTACGTAGAATATTAGAAAAGTTTATTTAGAATTTTGCACAAACACAAAGAAAATGTTTTTCTTTTAGCAAGAAAATAAGATCCAAGTGAGGTTAAAGATTTGGTGGGAAAATTCAAAATTTTTTCTTGTATTTTCTGCATTGAAAAATTTTCCATAAAGCAGACAATTTAAATCTTATTGGAATCGAATTTTGTTCTTTTCCTTGGTAATATTGCAATTAAATAAATTTGATGTTTGCTTACCTTCAACGAAAATTTTTCCATTTTTTCAGAAACATTTTCCTTTTCGATATTATTAATTAAAGTGTTTTGAGACATTTTACTTTTCTTGTTTTAGGTTTTTAAGACTCTTTAGCTTGTTTTCTTGAATTAAAATATTCGTATTTAGTTTTGTTGTCAGTTTACACGTCTGTACTTGTCAACGTCTGAGACCTTTATGAAATGTTAGAAGGAGCCAATGAAATTAAATTAGGTGAAGAATAAAAATGCAAGCTTCGAAAAATTCTAATAAACCTTAAATTGATATAAAAGTTCTTTTAAGAATGAATATATATGATGATTGCTGTAAGCCAAAACTAATTTTACCTTATCAAAATTTATTCTATTAAATAAAACACAAATGATCTGAATTTGATAATTTTAATACAATATCTTCTTCTTACAAAAATATCCCGCGTAAAGTCAATCTGGTACATTTAATTTTTTAAAAACAATCTACTACCAAATCTGGTATGACCTTAAAGCTTTAAATTTAAGTTTTGTAATAGAATTGTCGGTTAGATTTTATAACCATTTGTTAAAAAATGGTTTCCTGTTTTATGCCCACTGAGTCAATCATTTTCAAATATTGTTTGTTATCACATTATTTGTTATTTTTCAAACGATCAAGATATATTCTTACTATGGCCTGTGTTCATGTATGATTTTTTGGTTCATAATTATGATGTTTTAAACCAGAATCAGGATCGTCATAAGGAGAGTGAATTGGAATAAAATTTTCTGGATGTTCATAAATCAAATAAACATAAATCAGTGGTACAATTACGCATAAAGCTAGTATGAAAATCAATAAAACTACCCAATTAAGCTCACAATCACTTCCATCAAACGACATATAGTCATTTCTTGGTGCACCAAATGTTCTAGGATATCCACGAAATTGCCTCGAATTCTGTAAAAGTGGTTCATCAGTACTTTCCTCAACTTCATTCACAGCTTCACATCGATCTGCTGAATCCTTTGATTTTGTTATAACTGCATTACTAACTGATGCCAAAAGAAGTTTTTCTTCAAGTTTTTCTTTTGACGTTGAAGTATTCGAGACAACTGTTTCGGATGTTTTTGGACTGCTTTGTCCGCTCTTATGAACTTTTGGAAGAGTATCGAGAAGAATATTTTGAGCAGTTAAGGGAACTTTGACAACTTTAAAGGCAAATATTTCGTTTTCGTTGTGAATTTTGTTGATTCGTTTGATATCCTGAACTGTGCAATTGAAACGAAGAGAGATTGAAATCAACGTATCTCCTGGAAGAACTTCAGCTTCTAAAGTGTCCGTTTGTCTTATTCTATGTTGTCTGTGGCTATCCGTACGAAGTGGAATGGCGTCTCTATCTACACCAATCAATTCAGAGTAATCACCTTTTCTAAAATAATTTGCAAATATGAAAATAATATACAATGAAATACGTGGAAATTCAATTGTATAAAGTGAAATTTTACTTCGCTCTTAACATTTTTCATCGGATTCTAATATTTTCAGCTTTATATGCGAATGATGAAACAGTTTCTTTTTATATCATAAGGTAAAAACAAAAAAGATTGGTCTTTTTTTAGAAAACTTGATAAATTGAATTTCTCTTTTTACTTAATATATTATGACGTACTAGATTATTATTTAGTTTGCAAATATTTCTTCAAGTACTTCACATCAAGTCAGTTTTGTTCAAATTTCATTTGCTGCGAAATAGGGACAAAAGCTAAAAGAATGAAAATAAATTTTCCAGCTGTGAATTAACAACAATTTAAACAATGATGAAAAGAAAAAATAGTACGGATCTCTCGCGACCATCTAAAAAAGTACAAAAAATGGATGAAAACAGGAAAAAGAGTGACAGAAGATTATGTTTAAAAAATGTTCCCTTAGATTTCACGAAGCAAGCTATAAAATATCATTTTTTTCAAAACTTCCCAGATGTCAGCATTTTTATGCCGTAAGTATAGAATTTACATGACACTTATTTTCTGATTCATGTATCCTAAGATCATCATAAATGTTGAAGTCAGCTGATAAATTCGATTTAATACTTATTGTTTATTTCTGGTTTTCAGAAAGAATACGATTAAAGGAAGAACAAAACTTGTTTTCGTTACTTTTACTGATTATCGTGAAACTAAAATAGCAAAAGAACTGATTAATTTGAAAAAATTTAATCACATCAAGGCTGATTTTCCATTAGGATATGAAGAGAGTATTTCAATCGACGTGCCACAATTGAACTCGATTCAATCATACGTAAAATGTAATTCCTTTGATGATAAAATATGTTCTTTTTGTGGAAGTATTGCATCTTTTGTTTGTGAAGTCTGTTACACTGAAAAAACTGCAACCTTCTATTGTGATGAAAGTCATCAAACAAAAGACTGGCCAAACCATAAAATAAACTGCCGTCCTTTGCCTAAACTCATACCGATATCAGAAGCTGTAGAAACAATCAACAATTTGAAAGAAGAAAAGGCTAAAGTAAAATTTACGATTCCTCATGTCAAATCTCCAATTCTAGGAGATCTAGTAGTGATTACAAACGTAGTGAATGGGCGAATTATATATATAAGGCCATTAAAAGAAAATTTTGAATCATATCTTTTCGAAATAAATTTTGCTGCTCAAAAGGCTTCTAATCTTACTGAGAAACCAAAATTGGATGATACTCATTTTGCTCCTAAAGATGGAAAATATCATCGAGTAAAAGTCATCGATGAATTGAATGCTGAAAGTGATGACGTTGTCTGTTTCTTCGTTGATTATGGATATACCCAAAAAATCAACTGGCAAAGCATGAAAAAAATGCAATATACGATTCGAGGAAAACCTTGTCATGCTTTTAAAGTAATTCTTGGAAATATATTCATCGATTATCTAGCACAAGAAATTGTAACTTACCTTAAAAATTTATGTGAAGCACAAGAAGCGTTGGAAGTTATAAAGATTATGAATAAGTCGGTAGATGCAATGTCAGTTGCTTTGCAGCGAAAATCGAATGGCGAGATTGTCAACGGTTGTATTGAAGAAATAGGAAATCGTAATTTTCAAAATTCGGGCTGCAATGATGAATCAAAAATAATTTTTAACGTAAGTTTAATTTTTGCTATTATTGAAAATTATGAAAAAATTTAAGACTTTTTATCTATTAAAACAGCTTAGTTGTGTGCAAAAGCTTCCACTTGGAAATAAAATACAGCTTCGAGTGCTGGATGCAAGCAACATAAACCAAGGTTTCATAGTATGCATGGCTGCAGAAAAGTTCATGTCATTCCTAGATCTTCGCAAGGAGTTGGAACGCTTTTGTGCTACAAACTTGAGGAAAAACTACGTTAAGCCATCGTAATTTTTTAATTTGTCATTAATCAAATATTTTTTTAATAATTTATGTTTTCTTAACAGATTAGAAGAGCTGTGTATGGTTGAATATCAGGATCAGTGGGAACGATGTGCTGTATCAAAAATTATTGACGTCAACACGATTGAAATACTATTAATAGATAAACACGTAGTTTTGAATGTTCCTCTGTGTTTTATCTATGAACTTCCATCGAAATTTACTAACTTATTTTTTGCACAGAAATGTTATATTCAAGGTATTGACTTTGGCAAAATTCTGGACATTAACGTAGAAGAAAAATTGAGAACAGGGAAAAAATTTATGGCGGATCAAATTACTTTCGATGATGACAAGCTTCGCTATTTACTTACTATTAATTTTGATGACATATAAGATATAAATGATGTAGACATTTGCATGCTATTTTTTGAAATAAATAAAACTAAGAATAAATCCAATATTTAAATGCTTAAATCATTTTTTGAATTCTTTTTTTAATATTTAACGGTGTTTCGAATTTCAAATAAAGTATTTCGAATAAGTTTTCGAATATTTCGAAGTAGCTGCAGAACCAACCTGAATTTCTCGTTCAGAATAAACAAAGAATTTTCTTAAACATATAAATCAAAAAATATAAATCACTGTGCTACTAAGTTTGCTAAAGCTACATTATAATCAATTGACAATGATAAACAACAAGTCTTTTGAGATTCAAAACCAGATACGTCAAAATGTAATCCAAACTCATGAAGATTTAAGAAGTTTAAAACAATGGGAACAAGAAATGAAACATAAAGAACAAGAGTTGAGAAAGCAACAGGAAACGAAAGATTTCTCTAATGAAGACCATGTAATTTAAAGTTTTTTGATTATCATTGACAAATTCTGTATTTAAATATTTTGTTTACCATAGAAACCACCAATTAGAAGCATGATCGATGATTTCCAAAAATTTCAAGAAAGTGAGGAATCTCTTCAGAAAATAAAAGGAATTAGCATTAAAGAGGATAACAAAGAGTTAGAATTACAAAACGAATTAGCTATAAAACGTAAAGATGCAATCGAATTGAAAGATAAAGGAAATATGTTTGTCAAAAACAAGGATTATGAGTCTGCAATAAAAATGTACACAAAGGCAATTGATTTGTGTAGTGATGACGCAGTATTTTACTCAAATCGCTCTCAATGCTACCTCAGTCTCGAAAAGTACACGGAATGTATTGATGATGCTAATAAAGCTATTAAACTAGACCCAACATCTTCCAAATCCTTCTATCGAAGAATGGTTGCATATGAGAAGAATGGTGATGATTACAAAGCCCTACAGAGCTGTCGTAAATTACTTGATTTAACACCGGATGATCAAACTTTTCAGAATGCTTATGATCGAATTCATAATCGCATTATGGATGCTAAAAAAAAGATGGAAACAGAAAAAATTCGCTGGTCTAGACCAGGATCAAATACAAAGATCATTGACTTTGCCTCAAAGCCACCTCACTTGAGTTCCAAAAAGCCAATGAAAAGAATTCCTGTACGGATAAGGAAAGCTGCTTCCCCGATTCCAGAAGCGATTATTGACAAAATTTTTGATAATAATACCGGAGAAAGAATTCCAGAACCTGAAACCGACTCAAAGCTTTTCAAACCAAATTTCCTCATCTCACCATCGCCTACAAAAGCAACCTCAAATATTTCAGTCGATATTCCTGTTATAGACGACAAAAATAAATTAAATGAAACTAATGAAATAATTAAAACTGAAATTAAGAAAAGTCCAACACTGGAAGAATTGGAAGCAAGCGAAACTCGTGTCATTAATGTACCAACCACTGGATCAAGATTTTTCGCAGCTTGGAAAGAATTGAATGACACCCAACGCTTCTTGTACTTAAAAAATATTGTCGATGTTAATGCTCAAGTAGGCAGAATAATTGGAGCTCAATTAAACAGCGAAATTCTTTCTGAGATTATTGAAATTGTTTACAAATTCTTTTTGCTTTACAACGTTCCTTATCTTCATTTGTTGAAAGATCTTGGAAATAATTCCGAAGTTGCAATGCTGGCAATGTTCTTGCAAGATGACGAAAAGAAAAGTAAGTTTGTTAAAAAAAATGCAAAATATTTTGTAATTATTTTTGTTCTTCCTTAGAACTTCACGAGTTACTGATGAGAGCTTCACAAGGCGACAACGCTGAAAACAACATGATTCAGGAAATCATAAAATCTTTCCAAATTTAAATCTCAATATCAATTTATAAGTTAACGAAATGTAGAGTCAGGCCAAGAATAAAATAAAATGAAAAGTCAATCGGTAATAGTTCATTCAATTTTCCTCTTTTATTTCAAAATTAATGCTCCCAAGAAATATTTTCTTTTTATTTTCTTCTCAACTTTCTTATGAACTATAAAGATATAAACTACTAAGAAATATTACATAAAAAATGAATGCATTGGTCATGTATCCATGAATTGAAAAGAAGATAAATCTATGAATAAAACATTTTTGTTCTTCTTTCATGTGAAAATTTAAAATATTTTTTTCAAAGAAGACGAGCTAAGATGTGACAGCTTATTGTTGTTAGTTCTATGCAAAATAATTCTCTTGAATATGTCAAGAAATATTTCGCATATCTATGGTTTTATTTGCAACTTCTGAACAAAATTTTCTCATCAAAAAAGCACTTAAAATAATTGAAAATGAAAAATAGTTTTTAAAGACGTTAAGAGGAGAGAAAACAGAAGAAAATATTAGCAAATAATTCATAAATTCATCTTCTTATTTATTCATGAATCCACAATATGAATTTTATGACCAATTCCTTTTTATTCTTGAACAATCTTTGTTTGAAAAAATATATTTAATGCCTTTAATTGATTTTTTTTTCTCTACAATCGAAGGGATTATCTTTAAATACCCTCACCTTCTTCATTTCAAAAAGTTTTCTTTTCCCTACAGATTATGATGAAAATATTAAAAATATAATTTTTTTTTCTCCTTAAATTTATTAAGTTTTTTTTTGTCGATCATCGCTTTAATTCGAGCTTTTTATCTAACAATGTCATTGTTTTTCAAAAGCCAACAAAAAGCGACAACGATGTTGAAATTTTCCATTAAATTTATGCTTTATAATGTTTTTATTTTTCCTTGGGTTGTTTTTGGTGATTCTTTCATTATTACTCCTTCTATTTTACTTTTCAATGTTAATTAGTGAACCTTTTGAAACAAAACGAGAGAAAATGCGGAATCTCAAAGAGTAAAGAAAAGAAGAAAAAAAATGGTTACGTCGTGCTTGTAATTAGAATAAATGAAAAATTATCGGTATTTTAATTAAGATGTGAACCAGCTTTCCTCTTTTCATGAATTTTCTTTTCCTTACTTTGTACTTTTAACTTTAAATAAAAAAAATTGAAATATCAGAATCTTCTCTTCTTCAAGACAATAATCAGAAGAAGATTCATTCAATTGAAGTTGATTAACGTCGCGGCGTGAAATTCCCCAAGAGTTTCCAAGACAACTTCTAATTAAATAAATTTGAGTTCTTTATAATATGATGAAGGGAAAAATCATGAAACTGAACAGGATATTTTTCTTCTCATTAATCCAAACTTTCTTCTACTTTCCCTAACAATTAAAACATAAACAAAAAAAAATGTTGGAATGATTGAAATTCTACTGTGGCAATAGGTATATTTATTAATTACAATTTTTCTTTTTTCATTTTTTAACTTCAACGAGAGATTATGCCGAATAATATTTAATAATTGGTACCGGTTAAGCTGTGTTTGTTTTAAATTCTTTAATTACGAAGTTTTGGCTTCAAATTATGTTGTGCAGCATTATTCCTTATATATTTCTGAATCACTATTTCTTCATCATCAAGTCTTAAAACTTCTGTCGCATATTGTCGCGGACGCTGCAATGAAAGATGAGAAAAGTCGTTAATTAATTTTCTTACCTCGAGCGTGAAACATGAACAGTAAACAATTTTCTGGCTATGAACATGAAGTGTTCGAAACTTCCGCCCCATCGCATAAAAAAGCTACTAAATTTGATAGGATGATGATTTAAAGGGGAAACTTTTCTCAAAAGACTTTTATGTTTTCTTGGAAAACGCTGCGTTTAAGCAGAACTTGGCAATTTCAATAAATTATTTTCTATTGAATTATGATTGCATTATTTAATCCTCATTCCTTCTGGGCGTATATAATATTTTCCATTTATTTATCAGTGCTTTCAATCAAATCGTTAAATTTCCTTTAAAAACTTCCTTTTCAAAAATTTAGTAACAATAAAAAAGTTAGCGAATGTTTTCGCGGAATATTGATTGAAAATTTCTGATCTAATCTTGAAATCCGCCTGTTGATGCACATTTTATTTCATTAAATATTAAAATCTAATATTTTAATCAACGCATGAAGACACAAGTGGTCTAGGTTGGTAAATATAAATGAAAATTTCTTTTGAACAAATCAAAGTTGAAGAAATCTTCTGATCAGAGAAGTTTAAACAAAGTTCAGAAACTTAAATGAAACCTCTGACTTTTCATAACTTTGACATTTAAATGAAATTTTCGAGTATTAAATGCTTTTCAAGTGGCGATGAAATCAGAAAATTAAGAAAATATTTAAGTTGACTTCTACAAAACTCAGAAAATTGTCCATTCAGTTCATAACTTTCATTCGCTTCTTGTAATGAATACGTACTTTTGAAACTAAGATATAATGAAATGTGAAGTAGGAAAAAAGTTTTAATTAAACTTTTCCTGTATGATTTTTCCAGAAAGTAATATAATGTCGAATGAGCACGTTCGAGAGCATGGAAAATGCGATGTTGGATTATTTTTTGCTTTATATTTTGTATGTGAAGTTTTCCTTTTATTTTCTCCCCGAAAAAATGCCATATGCAAATGATGAGGAGAAGAAAGAATGAATCTTTGCATAAAACTTCAATTAACTTTTCATTTGTGTTTGTTGCCTGCAAAACTTTTGTTGCTTTCCATTTTTCTTTCTTTTCTTCTTTCCCAGATTGCATCGTAGAAACGAAGCAAGGAAAACTATTTTTATGTTATGCTTTATAATATGTTTCGGCTCTCGTTTTATGATATTTAATTTTTTTTTTAATTTATGAAGAACTTTTTTTATTATTAATATTTTATGTGAAGTGAGATGAGAAGAAACTGCATGTTCTTGCTCATGTTTATTTCGTTCCATTGCGAATACTGAAATTAAAAGAAGGAAATATGTTTTAATTATTAGAATATAAGTTTAATTAAGTTGATTTTATTTTTCTTATCAGGGCTCATTCTTTCGTCACTATTCAAATTTTATTTTATGTTTCATCATCATGTTGGATCGCAAAGGAATTTCCTTTAATGTTGTCTTCAAAGCATAACACGGGAAAATTATTTTGATTTCTCATCGCCACTTTTTTCCGCATTATTTACTTGGAAAGGAAATCTTTAATTATTTAATTATAATTAGAAAAGGAAATTCTTGGACAACTTAATTGAAAAGAATGACTTGGAATAAGAGACGAAGCTAAGAAAATTTGTTTTGAAGTTTCTTTCAAGATATAAAAAGGAATTTATGTTGATTTTATGAAGATCATGATATGTATTAATTGTTGAGTGATAATCTCATGTAATAAATTATATTACAAGGATTATCTTTGATTATTATGCGCGAAGTCATTTAAGATTAATTCGAAATAATGTTCATTGATCTAATAATTAATACATGTGGCTGCTATCCACCATCACATGAAGGAGGAAAACATAGAATTATGTTATGTATTTGAATTCATAAGAAATTAATCCCCGAGTTAAACATAATCATCATATTGTTGCCGCTTAACATTCGGCTGTGTGCAAGGTAAACCTCATAAATCTCCAAAACCTTTTTTTTTCCTTAAATCTTTTCACGTTCTTTTTTTCAGCTTTTTCAATACAACGAATTTTCCTCCTTTCAGCACAACAGTGCTCATTTCACAATACACTAATTTACATCCTGTTTACACTTGTTTCACTCCCGCTCTGTTTCTTTTAATGTATCGTTGAGTGTTGATAAATGGCGGCTGGCATTTTCCTGCTACTCTGCCCATTTAAATTGAATCGATAATTAATTTCCATATCTACGATACAATTCCAAATGAGCAACAGATTAATAGCCAAAACACCGCCTGTGCTTTTACTCAAATACAAAATGTTCCATCACCACCACGCACTGCCTTTTAATTCACACAATTTTTTTATTTATGTACATGTTTTAACTTCAACTTCGCCTTTCAAATAAAAAAAGCCACCGACGTACCAAGAGAGAAAAGTAGAAAGCGCCAGTGGGAAATGATTGATGATTTAAAGTTATGTAGAGGTTAAGATTAAAATGCCACTCTGAGCACAAACAAAAGCATTTACTGAATTGTAATGAAATTATGTAACCACGACGCGCACTTTATAATTAATGAGTTAGTGTTAATAGTTCTTGTTCACTTCACATTCGTTTTGGTTATTTTACATTGATGATCACAGCACAAAGCAAATTGTTGTTATTAATCAGAAGAATATTAGACAGCGATAGGTAGAATGTAGGAAATTTATTATTATTTGTTTTATTTTATTATTATTATTTGTTTTAATGTTATCCAAAAGATGAAAAGTTTTCAGATGTTACGGCAAACTTTGTAGAAAGACGAGAGATTTTTTGTTAATTTCCAACATGAAACAAAACCATTGAAAGTTTTTTATTTTTAATTCTTTCAATTAATGTTTTATCAAAACAACAAAATCACTAGTCTTCCATACAAAAAACATTTTTGCCATTGTTATTGCGTGTTATCAAATAGAATGATAGCAGATTTGATTCTCGACATCCAAGCGGTGGGTGGAAGGAAAGATGATATTTATGCGGGGTTGTATTAATTATTACGGATGCTCTAATTTTCATATTTATGTTGGATGCAAAGCATTTCCTTCACTAACATGAAATGTTTTTATTTATAAAGAAGGAAAAAAAAAAGCAGTTAACAAATGGTTATGGAGAGAGGTGTTTTGCACAAAGTTTAATGGCCATTATCACGACATTCACAAAAGCAGTAGCAGCAGCAGGAAACACAATGTGGTCAGGAAATAAAATTTATTATCACATTATCTTTTTCTTAAGTTATTAATTCCAGTTCATTGTTCTTCATTAGGGCAAAAGGAGAAGTTAAATATCTATTGGAGATATTTCGTTAAGCATCATCAAGCTTTTTAATCTTAAGGAAAGAAAATCACTGCTTTAATCAACTTTTCCTTAACCCCCTAACAAAATGTACGTGACATAAAGTCGTGCCAACAACAGCCCCGACCCAAATTTAACTCACAAATCTTTTAAAACTCAATTTAGCTTTTCCCCCTTTAATGTTATTCGTCTTTTACATTACCACCTCAAGACTATAAACTTGGCCACGTTTCACATCGAAATGATGATTTATGATTATCCACCAAAGTAATTTCTTGTCCCCAAAGCAACAACATATTATGAAGTTTCAGAAAAAAAGAAGAAGGAAATTTCCTTCTGCACGGTCAGTCACACAAAGAGATTTTCCAATAAGTAAGTTTAGGAATTTGGAATTTCAAGTCATGCGAACAACCAAAAATCAACCGTCTTTACTGGTTCTTTATAGATTAGTAATGATATGTACGCGACATGAATATTTATCATGTGTGATGAACAAATATCATTCTGTTGCGACTTTACGAGAATAAAAAGATGATGAAAGTTGATTTTTGTTAGAAATGTTAAAACAAAATCTTCTGACGACATGAGAAACATAAAAAAATTGAATTTCAATTTATTCAAGATTATTTTACCTCTGCTGAAGCATATACTGAGCTGCTTGGATCTGTTTCGGTGTACCGGTAATGGTAATAATGCGATCTGTTGACCCGGGCAATGCTTCATCGATTTGAATGAAAGCGTTCGATTCTGATCTAATGCGACGAATACGGCCGCCACCTTTTCCGATGATTGCACCAGCCAGCTGTTTAATTCAAAATATAAATTTTAACTTGTATTTTCGCTTACATCTTAATAACCAACTTACATCCTTTGGTATTGTGACCTGAGTCGATGTCTTGTCCATATCCATATTGTTTCCACCACCAAAACCACCGCCATTATTTCCATTGTTTGGTCCACTAGTGTTTCCCATATTCATGCTGTTCATGCCATTGTTGCTTCCATTTCCAAGTGTGAAGTTGTTCAACACTCCACCACCACCACCGCCGCCGCCCATCATAGGACTGTTTCCATTATTGCCATTGTGAGCCCACGGATCGACATAGTCACGCATTCCAACATTTCCACCGCCACCACGACGATCCATGTTACCATTTCCACGACGATCATTAAAACCACCGCCGCGATTTCCTCCACGATCATTAAAACGTCCGCCGCCACCACCTGCTAGGCAAATGGAAATTTATGTGTAAGCATAAAAATTTACATAAAAAATTTATCTAAAAATGCAAACCTCTGTCGTTTCCAAAGCGTCCTCCAGCGCCTCCACTGTTGTTTCCACCATTTCGGAAGCTGCCACTGTTCATCCCACTTCCATAACCACCATATTCATCAGCATAGATGTCATCGAAGTTATGTGGATCATAATTATGGATTGGACCTTTAATTGGCGTCTGAACATGCATAAGAAGATTCATTTTAAATTAAAATACGAAAATAATGTTTGAAATTCTTTTCATCAACTCACGCTTTTCAACAAATCCACAATTTCTTTCAAACATTCAATGCATTGCTCTTCTTTGCCGATGATTTGAGCGATTCTGTCTGTACTTTGTGGTGCAATATTGGAGAAAATCTTCAAGCGACATCCAATTTTCTATAAAGGAAAAAAATTGAAGAAATGTGAATTAGAAAATGAAAGAGAAGCGAAGACAAATTTATGAAGAAATTTAATTTATTTTTTCATGGAATCTTCAGATAAATTACTTTGAAGATGAAATTCAATCATTTTATCTCAATTTCCTTTTCCCTTTCTATGAATTCATATTGAGTAACATTCGATGTCGAATGAAATGCAATCGAGAAAATCAGGAAATCAAACGTTTCAATGAATTGTGAGGGTGGTTTAGTAATAGATAAGACGCTTCGTGACATCGTTTCTTTACTTTTTTCACGGGCCGTTGAAAGAAATATTGCAGAGTAAACGAAAAAAAAATTAAATTTAGAATAAAGCAAAAGAAATTGTAAACCGGATTGGAGTTTGTGGGCGAATTGTCTAACCCGAAGATAACAATGATTGCTGTTTCTCACCCTCGAAAACCTCTTTTCCCGTTATTTGATTTTCTTTCTTTCTTTCTTTGCGAGAAAACTAAGACGAAAGGATCATTTCCGCTTTCTTTCAAGCAGCAAAACCACTCAGCAACTGCAACATCCTGCATCAAATTTATTTCTTTATTTCTTTACTCGGAAATGATGAGTGCGAAAGGAAAGAAGGAAATTTTGAAAAGAATCAAATCAGTGGCTGTGTAGAAGAACGGAAATAACATAAATAGCAAATAAACATTCGAATCGAAGGAGAAAAAAATCTCACGACATCAATTCAAAGACCATATGAGATGAAATAAGAAATACGAAAAAAGTAAAAGAATCGAGCATATGGTTTTGCTTTCTTTACAATCAATTGACGAAACCTGATTGTGAGCATACGTTCGTGTGTGTGTGGATTTATTTGGAAATGATCCCCTTATGCTATTATTAAGTTTCATTCCTTCTTCTTCACTTTTTTTTACTTCACATAAAAGCATCATCTGCTTTTAAATGACTTGCACCGGTTTAGAATCATCAACATTATCAACATTTTGTAGTTTTCCTTTTTTTCTTCATCTTTCAAAGTAGATACGATGAATGATTTAGTATTTCATGAACAAGATGCGATGATGTAAAGGAAGAAAAAAATTGTTGCAAGAAGCGTTCGAAGACGTAAAAAAGTTCGACTTGAAGGCAAGAAAGAAGAAAGAAAACTCATAAAATAGATTTAATCTCCACCCACTAGTAATTTGAATGAACTTGGTAGCTGCTGATGCTCACAGTCAAAAGAATTGAAGAAAAAAAATTAATTTATCGTGTCGAGAGGGAACAGGAAGTTGATGTTAAATTCAGGCACAGGATGAGAACAGAAAAAATCTCTTAAAGCATATATGAATGCTGTTTAAGCCACAAAATCCCAAACTGATGATCTTTCTTCCTCTGTTCATTGAAATAACGTATTAACTTCCTTTCCTTCCACATAAAGAAAGAAGAAGTTCGAGGATTATCTCGAGTAATTTTGTTTAACGGATGTTGGAAATTTATTCGAAATGCAAACTTCAAAACCACAACGAGTGAAACCCTCAAAATTTTCATTTCACTGTTGGCTCTGATTCATAAATACGAAAACTTAGAAAATGAAGTAAACATGCACTGGAGTAAAGCTGATAAAATTTCATTATCCGAGTGCTTCTTCTTCTTTCTTAATTTACATGCTCTTCCTCCGGTTACACGTATAAAGCATAAAAATTATGAAACTTGTGCGGGTGTTGTAACGTCTCAGATTACGTTTTCATTTTTCTTTGTTCTTCCACAGTCTTTTCGTGTTTATATTTTTTTCTTTTGCTATACTTTCTTCAAACAACGAGAAAACAAATGAAGTTGGAACGTTTATTAACATCAGGCGCGTAAGAAAGGAAGTTAATTTTTTACTCAAATCTTTTTCATTCTATCGCCTTGCTTACGCTTAAAAAATCCACAAAAGCTTTCTTCTTAAACTTTTTATATTTATCACAAGTTTACTTTTCTTTTCATGGATTTTTCCAAGCACGTTAGAATAAAGGCAATTATCAGTCCTTTTTGTAATGCCTTCTCTTGAGAACTCTCCGAAATCAGCTTTGAGAATCTTTCAATGAATGTCAAAAACCTGCCTTTGAGAACACTTTTTCACCGAATTTTCTTGTGGGCATTAATTTTTATTTCCGTCCGTCCATTTTCATATAAGTTTATAGGAAAATTCCAAAATGAAATTAAATTACCTTCGGCAATATGCATTCAGTTTTGATTGAATTTTGAGGGTTGAAAATTCAAACTTTGTCGATATTTTTCCATCACGGAAATCACGAAAATCACGAAAATTTTCCAAAGATGTGTTTCTCATAATAAATCCAATCGGGAAATTTATCAAAATGGATTTCTATCCTTTTTCATCGATAATCCACATCATGCCATTAATTCTCATCACAGATTCAGACATGCAAATTTTAACAATTTTTCATTTTCGTTTTCCTTTCAACGACTTGAAATATGTTTTCAGATTTTCCATCGAAAATCATCGACCTTCTCGAAAACATAAACTGTTTTCCTTTCTCATTTCGTTTCTGCATCGAATTCGATTTTTTCAGTTTAATTTTATGGAAAGCACTTTTATCGATGCGATAAAATTGTATCTCATTTTTGTCAAACATTTCATTCTTCTTATTTATAGCGACACTTTTTATTGTTGCTACGATTAAGTATTCAATTTTTCACTTTCAATCAAAATCGTGTCATTGATGGTTTTTCCAAGTTTTTCCTTTTCTATTTTTTCTTCTTTTTACATTTTTCCAAATGGAGAGATTTCACAATTCAAGGAGAAAATTACTCTAACGAATTCTCAAGACTTTCAAACACAATTTTCACATCATACCGAAGTCAAAATGTTTTCCTCGACTCCACTGTATCATCTCACACTATGCTAAATCTTACACCACGTTGAAATTGGTCTCCAGTGCAAAATGAAATGATGAGTATGTAGTTACAACTACTTTAATTTTCCTTTTTAATATTTATTCTTCTTTTGACTAAGCTAAAGACGCACAAGTTAACTTCACGACATCACCGACCCGAATGGAAAATACAATGAGACACACAAAAAATGTTCCCTATGTAATCAGAAAAAGAAGTGCAAACAGAACATTGAAATGCGAGAGAACGACTGGTACGCAAGCGTTCTGTGCAGGTTTCTTTTATTCCTTTTTCGAATGTCATGAGAGAGTTCGCTTATTTGCGAGAGAATCCATAAAATGTGTGTGTGTGTATGTTGAAAAGATGTTTGAAAAAGGATCTTGTCAAGAAGCCATGGAGAGTAAATTTCTCTGTGCATTCAACGATAGTTTTCAAGTATCGATAGCTAGCTGTATGAGTAACCAAAATACACAAAGAACGAAACGGATGTCGAATATCCTTTTCAATGAGAAACAGAGCAACACCAACAGCAACAACCAAAAAGAAAGAAAAAACTGTTTCTGTCGCTGTTGGACTTCTTCTTATTACTTCACCATTCGGTGGATGAAGAGGAAATTATATTTGAAAGTTTATATTATTTCTTTATACTGACAGCAACAAGAACAAGAAACTAATGAACATCACATTTTTTCCTGTGTATGTAGGTAGTTTGATACTTTTATGAGCTTGACAATAATCTCAACGTGAACTCAAAGAGCATTAATATATGGTAATAATAATAACAAGAACAACAACTTATAAGTTTGAGATTCTCATTTTCTTGTCATATTAAATTAGGACACCAAAAAAAGAGAAGAAAATAAATACAATAAGCGATTTTTGTCATGAATCATGACATAGAAATCTCAGGGAAATGGAAGAAATTTGCGATGTTATGTAATGGTAGCAATGAATAATCCAAAGTGTAGGCGAAGAAGCTTTCATTTCTCTTCGCAACTCACCGACAAACTGAATTGTTATTAAATCTGTCTTTAAGAATGACATTTTGCTTCTTCTCGCAACAAACACTCAGATACAGAGACTGCAGAGACAAGACTTCCTTTACCATTTACAAGAAGACATCTGCTCATGAATAATGTTTATTTGCCTCATCTCCTTCTTCTCCACAAATCTCTTGTGTTGAGGAAAAAAAATTTCTGATCTCGTTCACCTTCCGTTTGCTTGACAGCACTACGAGGAAAATGAATTACTTGGACGCGGAAAACTTCGTAAAGGAATTTTATTCATCAAATGAATTGTTGGAATTTTATGTCTTTGCCTATGAATAAACGCGGGCGATGCTCATCCACCACCTGTCGTTCAAAGTCAAAATATATTCGTTTCTCTTATCGTTGCTGTTTGCCTGCTTCCTTATTGCTGTTGTTGTTGTTGATGTTTTCTGTTAGGCTAAGGGTGAAATTGGTAATTTATCTGACGGGAAATTGGAGTCAAACCAACAACAGAACAGAGACTACATACAACGAATAAAAGAATAAAATAAATGCGCTCGTCTAAAGCTTATAGCATAAAAATTGCTAAAGTAATTTAATTAATTTCTTTTTCTGGCTATTTTCCCCAAACTTGAAACGTTTTTTTTTTTGTGCGCTTTCATTTTTTGTTCATTTGCGTCATGTTCACTGCCAACTCTCTCCTATGGGAGGCATTTAACAAGAGCCAAACTTATTTCGCTGGAAAATTTGTAAAAAGTTCCGAGAATAAATAAAAAGAAGAAGTGGAACGAATTTTACTATTTGTTGATTATGTTTATTCAAAGAAGGAAGAAAATAAAACTAAATTAACGTGTGGGTAAATGCGTTGTCTATCTTGTAGTTTCTGCCAAAACTTTGTTAAAGAGAGCAACAAACTAACGAGTTTAGAGTGCCGTTGAGTCAGTGTGGACGACACTGTTGGCATGAAAACGACTCGTTCCCGACGACATGAAGAAGTGGAAAATTTGTGAAAAACAATAAAAGTCGGTTAAAGGATTTTTTTTTCCCTCTTAGTCATCGTCACTCTCTTTTGCGCCCTTTTTCGCCCATCCACAAACGCGCTCTATCGTCTATCGAATGATAAAATTACTCTTCACAAGCACACATGGAACAGGTTTAAGCACTTTTCATGCCAAATTGACGGATGGGGCGACAACATCAACAACTTTGAACAGCATTGTAGAAATAGAAAAAAAAATCCAAAAGATTTAGTTGAGTTGTAAAAGAACTTCTCATGAAAAATTTACTTCGTTTGAGTTTGATTGCATAACTGAAAGCAGTCAGACGAACGATGTAATTTGGATGAAAAATGTTCAGAGGACGACAGAGAGAAAGGAAGTTTTATGGATCTTACAACTTCCACCATTTCATGCTCTGTTGAAGAATATAAAAGATTTTTTTTTACTTTGCATTTGCTTTCAATAATCCATCTGCCGTTCATTCGGCTTTTCTCTCCTTCATCTCATATTCTTCTTATTCATATTCGCATCCATTCCATGTTGAGCGAAGGGAGAAAAGCTGAGATATTTTTACTTTTCTATTTGTTCAACTTCACTCTTGAAATAAATTTTCTATGCCATAGCCTTAAGGCGGCTGGTAGCTGCTGTGCATAGAAATATGATGTTCACTAGTGAAGTATAATCAACCGATAAAAAATGGATGTGAGAAAGGCTCGACAATGGATGTGAAGTATCATAATCCATCTATTGAAATTCTGTTGTTCTATGTAATTACTTTTTCATTTTCTATCACTAAGTATAGCTTTGGTGTTGGTTGGCATGTTTTCATATCATCATAACGTGAACAACCTCATGGGATTCATCATAAAGTTCTGTCTGAAAGGATCCTTAAAGGAGTTTCGAAATCATTGACTTGCTATCTCTTCTCTTTTCATGTAAAATAAGCCAAAACAAAATTGCTAACAATGAAGCTCTTTAAGGTGAAAAGCAAGAGAAGTGAGTTTCGAGATAAGCTTCAATTTTTTCTCATTCATCTCCTTTCGACCTCATTTTTATTCCTGCCAAAACATCAATTCAACGTAGAAGCATTTACGAGAATCATTGCGAAAGTTGCGAGAATAAAGGGAGAAAAAGAATGAAACTCGATGTTCTTGCACTTTTCCACAATATTTATCGGTTCTGTTCCATTACTCACGAGCAAACAGAGTTTTATCGTCACATTGGAAATTTATTGCGATTCTATTTTTCTCCTTTTCAGTTCACGATGTCCGTGAAAGAACTTTTATGTATGTTAATTGATGTTGGAATAAAAAGTTTTCTTTTTTTCCTTTCTGCGAGGCAAAATCTATTTCTAAGTATTTTAATGATTTTCCCTACATCGACGGGCGTCGTTTGGCGCTCAATTATTATAATTATTTGCCGCCTTATAGAGCGAATATTATTGAAGCTCATTAGCTCACGAAAACAACATGCTGTTCAAATTGTTCAATTCAATTTGGAACTCTCATCACTTGAGATACTAAAAATAATGCTTTGATGAAAGCAAATACTTGAAGTTTCATTGACACAGTATGAGACACGTAATTTCTATAAATCACGAAAAACAAATCCATTGTTCGTTCATATTAAAGAAATTCCAGCAAATTTGAAAAAAACCGGATTTTAATTTCAGTTCAAGCTAAATATTTAACAAGTTTGCTTACTTTATGAAAAGAATTTTTGAATTATCAATCAAAAGCCTTTAATTGAAGTTAACGACAAACATTTGTTTTGTACTCTCTTTGAATTCTCTTGAATGTCAAAAGAAATAAAGAAAAGTAGTTTGTCGAAAATGATTATTTTATAAGCTCAAATAAAAGTAAAGAAACTCATTCATTGTTAGTTCCATGTCGAGTATTCCAACTAAGCTAAACTGAAATGTCGATTTAGTACGTTTGAAAAAGCTCATTGAGATCATTTCTGAATCACAATTTTCCAATTTTCTTCATTGTCATGACCCAAAAAAAATTCCAAGTTTCTAATCGCTTTTTAAGGCACATTTGATTGGATGGAGAGAAATTAAAGCGGGTTTGAATATATCAACAAAAATCTATTGTCAATTCAATTTCATTTGAATATTTCATTAAATTTAAGGCTTGCTTTAATACTTTCAGCGAGGAGAAAAAGGCCGAAAAGAGAAATGTATGAAAGGAATTGGATGGGGAAGATATAAAGGCATACAATTTACGGCTTTCCCACTTGATTGATTAGCTAAACCCGATTTCCAATTAATTTTATTGATAATTCTCGTGTCGAAGCAATTCTAAGCTATGGAATATTTACTGCCAACCGATGGATGGCATTGCTTCTCCATAAAAGACACAACATTGTGAGAGCCAAGCTAAATCATTAATTTTCTCTCGTTTTCGAGACGAACGAAAATATTATGAAAGCGATTTTTAGATATTTTCATTCATCGGATAGATAGAATCCCTTCGACCTTCCAAGCGAATGAAAAACAAATATTGGCTCAGGTTTCGAGACTTAAGCTCTGCATTGTCTTGTCCATTCTAGCTAATGCACGGAGAATTGTCTCCTTTGTATACAACGATAATTCCTCTAACTACAATCGTTTCCCCCAACCAGCCCTTTCAATTAAAATTGATTGAAGCTTTACTTGTATGATTAATTCAAACACGAATATTTCATTACATCAGGCGATGGTTGAAGACTAACGCGTAAATAGCACAAACAGTTTTTCCTGCTGTGGACTCATTTCTAACTTCAAAAAAGAGTGGAAACCTCGTATTTTATTCATTAACACTGTAATTACCCAGAAGAAGCTAACAAATACCAACAGAAAGGAATACTCGCGCCTAAAACTCTTAACATGAACATTCAAAGCTGCTTCTTTTCCTTTACTTTCAAAAGTAGAAATATAGGACTCCAGGTGCTTGACAATGGCATGTGCTCGACTTCAGAAAATGTGAAGAAAGAAATCGAAAAAAAAATTCTTTTCATTAAAAACAGAACTTTTTATTTCTCTCTACCCGAAAAACATAAGTTTTATCATTGGCAGATGGTGAGAGAAGACAGTAAGAAGAAAACAAAAATGTTTATGAACCTTCGTTCGTTTCACCAGTTTGTGATGGTTAATGGAGCAAATGCCGCCAACAACATACAATGGCACTAAGTTACAGCACAAAATTTTGATTCTTTATCTTTTTTCCTTTCTTCTTCAAATATTTCGTTAGTCTTTCGATCGAAACGAGTTTTGTAAGGATCAAAAAACTTACATTCTTCTCATTTTATTATTGTAAGAACGAATTAAAAAAAATTCCTTTTTCAACTTTGACTGTTTGCAGAAATCTTTCAAAAGAATTTTATTTGCACAACATGCGATGAACATCGGGGTTGAAAATTGAATCCTTAAATGTTCGCAAACATTGTATTGTTAGTCTCACTCAAACTGATTTTTTTTTTCGTATAATTGACGAGAGAGAGAGAAAGAGAAAATGTCAGCATCGTGTCAAAGAAGTCGACAGATGAAAAAAAACTGTCAGATGACATGAATAAGAAGAAGACATGTAGGATTCTCAGTGACACCTTTGGGTTGTGTATCGTCGAAACCAACGGCATTATCCTTCACAACAATGTAAGCGAAATAATCATAAAGTTCTTTGAACATGCAGCCCTTGTAGTGGAATTAATTGTGCAATTATTGTTCGCTGTTGCATGGAAATTACATTCTCGTCTCTTGGTCGTTTTGATGTTGGGTGACATCTGGCAAATGATTTTAGTATTTTCAACTCATACCGCAATTCAACGTCCTCAAAATAGAGAATGCTGAACATATTTAAAAATGTTCATGCACAAACACACGACATCCTTTCAACTTTTTATTTTTTATGACGAGACTCAATTCCACGATTCCTGTTCCCATTTTCAATATCTCTGTTTTAACATCGACATAATTATACATGCAAGGGAACAAACAATAAATATCGACCCACTGTCGTAACACAAACTCTAGCAAGCTGTTATAAGCAACCTCGAAGAATAGAGAATAATCGTCGAATCGCTTCACATTTCATTTCTATTGAAACCCAATTTTGTTTGAACACAACCAACTTGTCACTTGTCCACCAACGCCATCATGATTCGAACAACAACAAATAAAAACTTGTACCGATAACTAAAAACGTTCTTCACTTGCGTGACCTAATTTTTATCTCGATTGCGTACCAATTCGTCTAGCCAATTCAATTTAGTTGATTTGATATAGTGCGATGTAGCATCAACTAATGTAAATATCATAGCAGAAACAACGCTTAAAGGATTGTCGTCTGGATTAGTTGTAAATGTTAATTTTATTTATAGAGAAAACTTGATTTACGGCCCTCAATACTTTTGATATGATATTTATGAGAACCAAATGGGATCCACGTGGGAATATGTTTGAATATTGATAAATTAACATAAGTTTCTTCACATTTCATACTGCTGATGTGTAAGTTCATGAATATTCAGATGAATCAATTAAGGTTCCGAATTTCAGCAGGTGAATTTCAACTATTGATGTTTGTTGTCAAAGTGAAAATCATTCAGAAGGTTAATTTATTTTGCTAACTTCTAATTTAGACACTTGCGTATGAAGAATGTTTTCCCTTCTGTTTGATTGACAACAGAAACGATGATCGACTTCTGTCCATTAATTCTACAACCCACACATCAATCAATAAATAAATGTACAGAATTTTTTTTTATTCTCGACCAAATCGAAAAGAAACGTTAAAATCTAGAAGTGTCACGTAATGGTGTTGTCAATGGATACCAAAACAAATGATACAATTACAGCGGCATCCCTTATCAAAATGTTTTCCATTTATTTTCAAAAATAAATTCTGTATTTGACAGAAATCGATTATAAGCTTTATTTGAAGGATTTAAACATCTGACTAAATTGAGTTCTCTATTAAGTTGTGAAGTCAAAGAATTATCGTAAAAATTTTCAGAAATAACGAAAAATTTCAAAGTTATGAAGGAAAACTGAAAACGTATCTTAATATGCCGGTTTGTGAGTGGAAGAAATAATTAATGACAAACAAATCTCTCTCTTCATTTTAAAGGAGTTTTCAACATCATTAAATGTAGAATTACAAAATTTTTACAAAACCCATTGTCGACAAAGTCAACGTCATTATTAATGAAAGCAAAGTAAAGAAAAATTGTCACGATTTTTGCTTCTACAAAGAGTTTGGTTCTTCAAAGTAGAGCCATTAACAACGATTTCTCTTGCATCATAAAAAATGTCATTATGAAAGTTTAATTTTTATACTCACATCTTTAAGCTCCTTAATTTTGCTTCCGCCTTTTCCAATGACGCAACCAGCCAAGCTCTGATGGATCAACACTCGTAATTCACACTCGTCAACATTTCCCTGTGAAATGGAAATCAAATAAATGAAAAGAATGAAAAAAAAATGAAAAACACAAGCATATCTCATCCATACACATTTGAACGGTAATATTTAGTGTCGCCAGAAACTCGTAAGCTTTTGCAACGTCAAACACAACATAACGACAACAGGGAATGAAGATTATAATAACCATCCAATTTAAATGTTTAGAATAGTATGAAAAATTCATTGTGTTAGCGTGTAAGCGCGCGTAGAAAGAGATTAATTAATATCGATTATGACAACACTGTTCGTCCCAGTGGAGCCATATTAAAACGTAAAGCTTCTCCACCTCTCCGTAAATATCTCCCTTTTATCAATAATTTTAATTAAAAAAGCATCATCACCTTCGTGTAACGCCACAACAACAAAATATTATGTTGTTAACCATTGCTGTTGACTTTTGGGAGTCATTTAAATTATTTAAATTTTGCTAGTTGTGCTCAAACGAAGCGATCATTTCGAGGTGTTTCGCCGTATTCATTTTTCATCACACCATTGCAAGAACCTTTAATTATATTGTTTAAAGTGATATTTCACGATGATTTCTGCTTTTTCTACCATCAGACAAACAAAAAAGTAACCAAATTAAAAAGAAAGAAATGAAGCATCGCCAATGAAATGCAAATGAGGCGCTTTCGTAAAAAAAGGGAGCTTCATAGGCAGCCGCTGTTAATCGAGCATGAACAGTGAACAACAATTTAAAAAGCAAACCACTTTTGGGGGAAGTGACGAAGGAAACCACATTTTTCAAGCGACACTAAAAGCTATTTGTGTTTCTGGTTCTGGGGTCAAATGGAAACTAAAATTAATAACAATTTTCTCACGTGACAGACGCCAGTTGGGACTTTTTCACTTTAGGCGCGCTTAAAATTTTATACTTTAACATTTGAAAATTTATTTTGTTGAATCAACAAACAGCATTTTGTTGCTTTGTATTGATGTCAAAGACGACAACTAAAAGTTTAAATGAAATTATTTGGTAATGACTTATTGTGGGTTTGCATTTCTTTTTATGATGAGTAGGTGAATGAATACAGAAAACATCATTAATCTAAAGATGTTACAACAAGGCTATAATCCGTTAAAAGAGGCAAATTATTGAAGTGTATCGAAACAAAGAAATAAGTTTTATGTTTAAAATTACTGAAGCATTTCAATTTGAAAGCCATGAAACCAAAAAGCATTCAGCTCATTTAAAATGAAACATCCTTGTGGTTTTTTTTAAAGTTTCGCACGATTGTTCGTTCTAGTATTCTGAGAATGAAACTACAATTGTTGCAACACGGAAGCGACTTTGCGTCGCCACTAACTTGCATGCCTTGAGAGCTTTGGGTTCTTGTATGTTTAACTCCCATTTTCATATTTCCTTTTTATTTCGTATAATTATCAAAGAAAACACGCAATTGCAGGATGGAAAATTACTAAACTGCATGTTCAAAGCTTTTTAATAGTTTGCCTTTAGCAATTTTCTATTTCCGAAGAAGAAGATAAAAGCTCAATTATTGACTTTCAAAAAGGTTGCCAAAAAGATCAAAGCAGACTCATATAGATGGAGGAAAATGTTTCCTAGCTTCGAAACAAAACTATGCATAGCTATGGAAACTTTTCATTTAAATTTTGACATGTTAATAGAGAAAATTACTAATTTTCAAAATTAGGTTTCAATTCATATTAAGATCCTTTGCAATGTGATTTCATTTCTTCTCTCATAATGAAGTTAATCAGAATCTGATTTATGTTGGTAAATGTCGTTTTCTGCCATTTGAAATCATTTCATTTATCATTAAAATGTTAGAGGATTGACTTAAATTCCAATAAGCATTAACTATCAACCTTTGAAATGGCATAGTTGGAACATAATGCTGTTCTGCATAAAATTATCATGAAAATTTAAAACTGTTAGCATAACTTAAAATAGATGAAATGACTGTTATTGAAATAGTAATTCCATACATCTATTTTATTATTATTATTATTTTTAATTAGGCGTATATTAGTAACCGAAGTTATAAATGAAGTTACCCGGAAAAGCTTCATAAAAAATTGAAATTTACAAGATTAATAATCAGGCTCAGTTGAATCATTTATTCACACATAATTAATGGAAAAAGCCCTAAAGGATGTTTAAATGCCTTTAATTTGAATCCTTTGAGCCTCTTTGGGACCAGAATTCATTTCAAATGTTTGTTTTCTTTATTTCATTATAGTTAGCGTTTATTTATTTAATTCAAAGCTCGGAAGCTAAGCAACTCGTCGGAATCATCACTCATACAACTCACGAAATTCGTACAAACTTTGGTAATTTTATAAACACATAAAAAAGTTATTAAAAGAAAACTCACCTTATCCAAGTGCTTTATAATGTCCAATATTACATTACAACATGTATCCAGATCTGCACCGATGGTGATGACACTACAAGTTGTTTATTTTGATGATTTCAATATTTTAAGTGATTTTTTATGGATGCAAGAAGAAAATGTGAAAAAATAGAAAATCGATTAGAATTTTACAAATATTTTTGTTTGTCTTGCACGATTCATTTTTCTTTTTACTTAAAAGCTAACAAATAATTTTGAATTTTGCTTTTCCAAGAATGATTAAAAGAAGAAAAGTTTTCATATAGTTGTTTCGTAATTACTTTGAGTAAGATAATTATGAAGTCAAATAAAAAACACAGCCAGGAGCGAATCGTAATCTGAATACAAAATTTAGCAAATAACTTTAAGAGACGCTACTGAGCAAGACTAAAATGAAAAAAGTCTTCTTGTCATTCTCATGAGAAATTTCGAGAAGCCCCAAACAATTCCTGTCATAATGTTTTCACTCTAATGCACCTTTCTTAATAAAATTCTTTTTCTTATTCTTCTCGGAAAAACAAAATTCAATTTTCTTAATTCACAAGTTTTCCTGAATTATCAGCAATGTATATAAAAAGCTTTTCAGATATTCTTTTATTTTGTTTTTATCTTTTTCTAAAATAAAGTTAAAGGAAAAAAAACCATAAATGTATAAAAAAAATATGAAAGAAAAAGTAAAATTATAAACACTAACAATTCTGGTTAATCTGCTTCTTGCGGGGTAAAAGTTGGTGGTATTTAGCATTAATTTTTAATTGATTTTCAGCTAGAACAACAGCAATTATCGATCGATCGAATTTAATAATTCATGTTTGGACAAGGAGTAATTAATTCATTTGCCTTTCGCTTTTCCACTTCTTCCTTGTAATATCATTATTCTCATTTTGTGTGAGGGCACATTGTTTCCCTTCTTTTCTTTATCGGAAAATGTCCGGGAAATTGTTCATTTTCCGGTTACTTTAAAAGTAGCCTTTTTCACATTCATACATTTTCTATTTCATATCCACAGCCACAGAATAAAGTTTAAGCTTCTATTACATAATTATATATGATGAAGATATCTCTTTATTCAAAGCTTCATTTCCCTCCTCCCCCACCTTTTCTCTCTCTCTCTATGCTGGCTTGAAACAAGCGGAATAAACGTTTCCCTTACCTTTTTTCTGCTCCTTCGAAGCATTATTTGTGTTTGTTATGAAAGCATAAAAGGTTAATTTGCATCTCTCATCTTTTCACTTAACTAAATTATTTCTCATTCCCTTAGAAATATTTCTCGTTCTCGTAGAACTTTAATAACGCATTAATTTACATTTAGGTTGAAAAACAATGTTTTTCATCATCAACATAATTGAAGGAAAATTTTAGTTTGGTGGAAGTGAAGATATAAATTTTTGTTTGCAAAATTGCTAAACATTCCTCCGTATAAATAGATAAGAAGATAAAATCTTTCATGGGACAAACTACAATTATATTCTGACTACACAATTTTCTGCTTCTCTCGTTTCGTTTGCATTTCTCTTGAATAATGTGTCAAGACAATGAGGAAGTCTCTTATTAAAATGTGGTGAAACAAGCTTTCGTTATAAACATCAACAATAAATTGAGAAAAGTTTTTTTAATATAAAAGTTTTCAAATTTTTACTCTTTTCCTTTATAATTCTCTTTCTTCATCATCATAATTGTAATAATGTTTTTGTTTATTTTGAATCAAAACCTTCTTCTTGCTGAATGTAGATGAAGAAATGAAAGTAACTATGGGTGGTTTAACTATTTCGAAATGAAACGAGAGAAAAGTGCCTAAATCGATAACAAATTATGATTAATATTAGAATATATCTTTCGACCTCTCCAACTCCTCAAGCTTTTATCCCTTTCTTTCTTTCCTTTCTTTTCCACCCCATTCAAGATAATATCATAAAACTGTGTGAGAATGAAGGCAAACAAAATGTTTGTTTTACGACATAAAATTAGTTTTTTCTCTCGTTCTCCATATTTTCTCTCTGTTCACAGCAAAATTATATTTGCCGAAAGAAAAATGAAATATTAATGAAGAAAAACTATTGTTCTTCGAACTTTCTCACACCGCACCCACGCAAGTTTATCGTTAGCGACATTTTTTCCTTCTTTTCTTCTTTTACTAACGCATTGCTTAATGATTTCAATTTGAATAATGAAAGCATTAATTGTTGTTCTGGTTGAGAGTCACACGTTGTTGACTTGCGAGAATTCATGTGTGTAAATTGAGAGTCGACGTAATGAAAATTTATTGATTTTCCCCAATGAATGTAGTCATAAAGTTTTCATTGCGCTTGTAATTCAAGTCAGCGGGAGATTGAAAGGCGACGCTTTGGAGTTAGATAACGTAAGTGGAAGAAAAAGCGGGAAGCATATCGAAATATAATCAAATTACATTTTCAATATGTGTCCATAAAGCATTAAAATTAACTTCTTTTCATAAATTAATTATAATCCTTCTCCAAGTAAGTATTATTGATGATCGATAGAAGTGATAGGAAATTAGAAATGCCTCGTAATTTATTTAATTGCAGATACCTATTTGTTTTTAATTTCTTCCAAATTATAATAAAAGTTATTAATTGGCAATTATGGTTTTGAAAGTTCTTTACAAATATTAAATATTTTGTCCTAAGCTTAAAAGGCGTGGTTTTGAAGATTACAAGCAATGGAAAATCTGTTTGCGTTGTTTTTCAACATCAAAAAAAAAAATTCAGAAATTGTTGAAGTCCTTTTGTGGTCGAAATCGCGAACAGAAAAGATTTGTCTGTGGGCTTTTCTGTTTCCCTCCCTTAGGAAAGAGACATTTGGGAGAATTTTCATTTAAAAAACGAGCCCTAGGATTTAAGAAAGAAGATTCGTACGAATGTTTTAAAGAGACCAAGAAAGGACAATCGAAACCATTAAGTCGATATAAAAAATATCTCGTTTTGCGAACATAAATTTCTAGTGAGTAGCAACAACAGTAAAAATACTAAAAAAAATCAGCAAAGTTAAGTGGCAAAATCTTTCATTGTTCAGAAAGAAAAAAGGCTGCTGCTGTCTATCGACTCAAGCACTTTACGACTTACATTGAACTTTGTGCTGATGTTAGACTTTTTATATTTTTTTTTTGCTTTAAGACAGGAATGGATGTCTAAGGGAGGCAATCTCATAAATTCAAAAGAAACAAAAGTAGCTTTTTCTTTCTTCTTTCCAAAGAATTTTTCGTCTTATCACAAGAACAAGTATTTAAGAGAAAAAAAAACACAAAGGCAAGGGAGATACTTATGCAATAGTTCTTTGCTGACAGTGAATGAACATGGAAAAATCTATCAAAAATTTTCGTTCGTTTGACTAGCATTTACTTCATGACATTCTTTTTTGTTCACAAAACATTTCTAAACATAATCAAATCTTTTCTTTTTTGTAAAGGCATAAAGGAAATGCTATTCAAATGAACTTTGGAATTTATTGTTAAAAAAAGTATTTTATACTCAAACTGAGTATCAAAATACAACTTTTTTCTCAAAAAGGAACAATAAGGAATTTGATTTGCAAAAAAATTACAATTTAAGATTCTCGAGTATTGTTTCATTTGATTTTGTTTTGATTTAAATGGTAAATAGGTTAAAGATAATGGTTTTTGTTTATAAGATATTAAAAAGATATATAAAAATAATGTTTACCGTTCGGGACCTTGACAATCGCCGACATTCACTTGGGCTTTATACTGCTCGATTGAACATTTTGGGCAAATTTATAGTTTGTTTGGTTCGATGATGTGTGGTAAAAAAGTATCATAATGCAGTCAATTTATTTATGAGATGTAAAAGATTATCAGTCAGTTTGTAAATCACACAACACCAAATGACGCACGATATTTGATATTTTGCGTTTTCAATCACATTATAATGTTTTTCATGTTTATGTTTTGTTTTTATCCACATCATGTTGATAGCAATCAAAGAAAAAGAATGTAAGGGAATAAAAATATTTTAGTTTATCATATTTTTTTCCGATTCGTAGCACAAGAATTTGTTTTTTTTTGTTCGGTGACATTGTCATATTTTTTAGTTTCGGATCATTATTCAAGATGGCAAATGTTGATTTAGATCAATCATGTTAAAGATGTTTTTTTTAATATATTTTTGGAGTTTACATTTATCAAATTATATCAGCAACATCAACCATACGACGGTTCATTAATAATCACAAAAGTTTGACGAATAATTTTCATTACATGTCATTTTATCATCGATGGCCAAAATATAAAAGTTATTTTAATGATGATGGTTTCATATAGATTTTGTTTTGATATCCAACAACATTTCGTGGTGAATAAATATGTCGATTAAAACATTATAAAATTACGTGCGTTCGGAGATAGGTGGGTGTGTGTTGATTGTGTGTCATATACATCGTGACAATCCAAATAATAAGATAAAGAATGAAGCATAGGATATTTTTTACCACAGGATATTTTTTAATTCAGATAGATGAAGCGTTGATGTGTGTTCGGCGTCGAGATTATTTTGTAGATTGTCGGTTACAGATCAGATGGTTGGTGGGGCATTTTATTTGGTTTCAGATCATGGACGAGCATCGATTGTTCAAAATATTTTTTTGTTCAGAAAATTGAATTTTTCATTAAACATTTTCATAAGCACAGTGTGTGAAGGTGTAGAGGTGACGGACGAAGCACGGAAGCCGGGCACGGCACAGCGGGGCACATGAGTGTAGTAGCAGGGCACGATGGTGAGTTGAGATTTGATTTTGGATATTGCGACACATATTCGATAATCGGGCAGTGTATTTAATCGCAATTTGGTATACGATTCGAATTCGCAACGGGATCAAGTGGTTTCAACAGATTCGATTTTTTAGTTTTTATTTGGGTTTATCATAAATATGTGGGGGAGAGAATGAGAAAAAAAATCATATATTTAGTGAAAATAATCTAACAAAAAAAAAAGAAGAAGAAAGTAATATAGAAAAAAAAATAAAAAAACATACAGAAAAATTATGAATGAAGAGAGTGAAAGAGAGATAATGGGAAGTGTTTCCTTCAACTTAAAAAACATACAGAGGCGAAATATTTATTTTAATTTTTTGAAATTTTCAAAACAGCTCGACACGAGGAAACGGAAATAACAAGGAAAGCTCAAAAAAGTTAAATCGAGAATACATATAAGATGAAATCAAATAGGTACAAGAATTTTAATTCAATATCAAAATCAAAATTCGAAAATAAAAAATTGAGCTTAATAAATTTTGCTTGCAGCAAGATCAAGCAATGATCATAATTTATGAAATAAAAATAAACCTCGAGCGAATTAAATAAAATGAAAATTAATTTGTTAAAATTAATAGGTTAAACAAAAAGCAATTAATTAGCGTTGCGATTGCGATAATTTTCAAGTATTTTTAAAAATGTTTTTGTCAAACAAAGTCGTCAATCAGTGCCTAAACATTTATTCAGGACACATTTGATTGCATTTGAATTGACAATGAAAATTTTAGCATCCAACACCAACTACTTCAGTGAGTTAAATTAAATAAAAAAAAAACAGTAAAGCGATAATAAATTAAACTTAAATAAAATGAGTCACATAATTGAGTTCTCTCATATCATTTTATTGTCGGATGCAATTTGAAATCAAAAAATTAAAATAAACTTTGGTCTTCGTTCTTCAATCTACTCCTTTTTTCTCTTTTTTTTCTTCTCTACTTTACTACAAACATGGGGATTGTTCATTTACATAAATGTCAGGATAGGAAAATGAAAATGGATATTGAAAGGAAGTTTTATAAGACAAAAAAATGATAACGAAAACGAAGAAAAATAAGTTCTAGGAAGTACTTGTTTGGGAGTGAAAATCGAAATATTATCGGTACATACCTCAGCACGAAGCTTCTGAATGTTGTGACCACCTTTGCCAATCACAGCACCGGCCATCTTTAAAGTGTTTTTGATGAGATTGTTTTTTAAAAACAGTGAATGGAAATGGGGGATTAGCAAATGAATATTTAATTTGGATTAAATGCAAAACAGCGGAAATTAAAAATTGTGTACCTTGCTGGGAATTAAAAGACGAATTTCTTCGTCATCATTTCTTCTTTGTCGTTTGGGTGGGTTTGGTCCGCCGCCATTGTCTTGATTATTCTGGTTGTTAAAGTTGTTAGTATCATTAGTACCATCTTGTGAATCATCTTGATCTGTGTTTTGTGCTTGTTGTTCATTTTGATCAGAACTTTGCGGTGGTTGTTGTTGCTGCTGCTGATCCTGGTAATTATCTTCGTTTTCACGTTTCATATTGTCTGTAAAAAACAAGGGAAAATGATAGAGAAATTCGATTCGCTTTACGTCGTCTCCATATCAATTTAGATCAATCACATTTTGTGTCATACTGCGTCGAGCCATTAAATCAAGCACACAAGAGACAAATTTATCATCAAAACGGAACCGAAAGCTTGCGAAGATTTTTTTTATATCGGAATTGCCATTGAAGCATAAAAATAACATCAAACATATATCAGCATCATCATCATAGTCACCCCTCGCCCGTATCGTACTCAAAGAATATCAGCCGCATTTGTCAGAATGAGAATAAAGCAGAGAAAAATAGCTTTTTATAATGTCAATTGGAAGCAATCATTTAAGTAGAAAAATGGGAATTTTCTCTCAACAAAGTTGGATTTGAAAAGCTGCTTGTAGCCAGACCACCCACGTACGTTCCCATTCTATCACTCATTTTTTTAGTTATGTATTTTGATATTTCAATATTTTTTACTTCTTGTTATTTATTAGAAATTTATTCAAAAAAATTCATGTTTGAGTGTGAGGAAGAATTCTTGACGTTTCTTCCTTATTCACCCATCTCTTCAAGAATTTCACATTTATCGATGTCAAAATCAAGTTAGAAACACGATTTGCTTCCCATCTTTCTTTTTTCTTTCTTTCTTTCAAGAACTTCTTCATTTTAATGCCGTTGGGCCACGTCAGTTTTGAGAGCTTTCCAATGCTTTGAAAGCTTTTATGCACGGAAGAATGGTTTAGGGATCGAATGAGGACGATAATAACAATATTCACGAATAATAACCGTTTCCCTCTATGTAGCAACAACAATACACATTTTTTTTTATTTAAGCAAAAGATTTTTGTGCTGCATCATCTCGATCTGTATCCCATTTATTTTGTTGTTTAAAGAACACTGAAAAGTTCTCCTTTCTCATCCGAAATTCAAGATCGATAAAGAAAGTTTTTTTTTAGGAAAATGGAGATTTTCATCAAGGTTTTTTTCTATTCTTGTTCATCTCCCCTTCGGCGCTGTTTTCTTTTATGTGTACTCATATTGAAAAATGGCAATATATTTCGTGTTATATTCGCTCAGTTGTTTGGCTTTGTTTGCTGTTATAGATATTTTTCATCAATGTCACATAAGAGAGAAGGAAAAGCAAGAAAAATGATTTCATTGCAACATTATGAGCTTTTAAAAAAAATACGAACAGGCATTAGTCGTTTTGCGGCTTCGATGTGGGATACAAAGTTTAAGATGATGAAAAATTGGAGTTGACATTTAGGTTATTTATTACACAACTTTTCCACTAAGCATTTTTCTATATTTTTTTTCCTTCTCTAGACTTTCTGCCTTTGCACGTCAAATTATTCTTGGCTTTTCTCTTATGTGTCTTCTGATGTTCCATAAAATGGATTTTCATTTAGAAAGAAAAAAAGAAAAATGCAGGATGAAAGTTTAAATATAATAATAAAGGATGGGATTAGTTAAAAGTGCAGTCATGCAATCTATTTCTTGTTTCTTCGCTATATTAAAGAGACATTTATAGTCTCATAAGAAGAAATCTCGCTTGATGTTCGACTTCAAATTTTTAGACGTTTCTTTCATGGCTTTTTTTTCGCTTTTAATGCAAACTCATGCTTTGTGGCAAGGCTGCTATTGAAGTAATAAAATTTTCATTTTATCATTTAATGGAGCTTTTGTGTCATAAAGTGTCGTTTTCTCCGTAAGCTCAGAAACGACAGAATGAAAAGCTATTGCCAAATTGGAAAAGAATGAATAAGAGGAACTTTTAAAATTCATACATTTAGCAATAAAGATGCTGAATCTTGCTTGGATATGCATATGTATGCGCACATATGAGAAACTGGAATTCGAGACTGCCTCAACGTCAGTTATAATACTGAAAAAATGCTTTTCGACGGAGATTCGGTACAATAAAAAAATTCCAGCCATTCTTCTTTCCTTTCTTGCCAAATTTGGCGAGTTTTGCTGCTTTTGGGCAATGAATTTTCAAGATCAACAGACGGTTTTTTATGCCGAAATTTCGCTTTCAAGCTGTCGTAGCAGGTTTTCTTGTTGTCTTTATGTCTTCTTTGCTAGTCCAGCAATTTCATCCGCCCATCTGACTTGTTTACTTTTGTTTAATACAATGCAATTTTAGCTTCTGGTTCATGTTGTATGGTAGGAAATTTCGTTCCATGTATGATTAATGATTTTATTTCTTCTTTTGGCATTCAGATAAAATTTGGTTGGCATCGACATTGTTTGGGGTCGTTGAAACTCGTTTTCCGTTTGCTTTTTGGCATTTCGATGAAATACAAAATAAAGAATAGCTGTGAAGTCATCGTTAATTTTTTCGTTTCTGACACTGTGAGATTTAGTGTGGCCTTTAACATATCATACCACAACGATGTCTGACGTACTTCGAAGCACAAGAAAAAAAGAATTTAAAAATTTAATATTTGCTTGAGACTCTAAAGCTTTATCAGCGTACAATGTGCTTGAGATGTGCGAGATTTGTAAAAACATTTTCATGCTTCGAGTCAATTTAAATATTTGCACAACATTTTCCCCTCTTTGCTTCCTTCACTTATCATCTATGTTAATGCCAACAACACATTCGTATGAAATTCTTTCTGTACACTTCTTTATTTTATAACAAGAAATGTATATATTTTTCATTAAATTCTGCTTTTTTTTATTTCTCGTTTCTTTCACATCATCATCCACCAAAGCCATTAAGTACTTGAGCTTTAAACATGTAATCCCAACATCAGCAATATGAACAGTAAATGAAAAAAAAATCATTTGAAGAAGTTCGTACAATACAAACGTTTTCGTTTTCGAAACATTTTTCTAGCCACTCTCATGTCTAACAAAAGCAAAATTAAAATTTCTCCTCGAAATTGCACTTAACACAACGATTTATTCAACAGTCCCGAAACTTCAAATAATTAGAAGTGATTTTCTAGTAGAGTTTGATGTTAAAAGCTCGACGTAATTAAACCAACTAATTTCAATTTCATCTGTTCATTGTAGCGCTAGCAACTTGTCTCAAGATCTGGAAAATCATATGTATATGTACATACGTGTTTATTTTTAACTTCATCAATGAGAGTGAGATTTGCGCTGAATCATTTTAATTTTATTCCTCGAGTCCCTCCAATTGTCGTCCGTAGAAAAACAAACGTATCATAGAAGAGTAAAGAGTTAGAAGTTTGCTTTTAAATGAGTGTTTTGATAGTTACATAGTTTCATTCAATGAATACTTCTCAGAGCACTTTACGCGCGCAAAACTTGATGCTCGTTGAATAAAAAAAGTAAATAGACTCAAGCAACAAGCTGATTACTTGTTAGATGGTGTGAATGAAGTTGGAATTCGATCAACTTCCATATCGATCAAACTGGTTTAAATTTTTTTACAAGATACTTGTGGGTGTGAAAAAAGTACAAAAACAAAAAAGTCATTCTTTGGACTTTTTGTTTACTCGCTAAAAATTTTTTTTTTCTGTTGTTGATCGAAGCATATTATTAGCGCAAATCGTTCTTATATGGGCACCGGTATAGTGTGGGTCAATTTTGTTGTTATAACGCGTGAAAAAAGACACAAAATTGATAGTTTCTCGATGCGATTTAATTTGGAATCAATTTGGAATCACGCGAGTCGAAGCAGGTTTTTTTACTTTGTTGTAATTTTAATTGACGTATTGAGATCTTAATGTAAAGATTTTTATGCGAATTACTTGTGAGTGTCAAATTTAAATTCCATTCGAATACATCTTAATGAGATTTGTTTTCTTCACGCCAAGACGTCGATCAATTTTGTGCTCAATTGATTGAAAATGTCTGCAATCATTCGTTTTATTTTGTTATTCGTTGGTGCAAAAAAATGAAATGATTTATCGAATTTATGATAAAACTAACTTGAAATAAAAGTGCGACTTAAAAAAAACCTTAAATTTTCGCTATAATTTTATTCTGGTTCGCTTGCACAGCATAAAGCTTTTGCAGCACAATAAATTTACCAGCTCGTAAAAAGAATGGAAAAAAGAGTGTTCAAGAAAATTCCTTTTTCCTTCTCTGCAAACATTCCATTATTCAAATTATTCAAGCAATAAAAATGTAAACAGATTCAAGATTCTTTATTAATTCAAATAAATCAAAATTCATATTTTTTTGCCTTTTTCCGTGTAGTGAATGAAATATTATGAGCTGCTTTTCATGTGTTTCTTGTGTAAGTTGCAATTAAATAGGTTAATGCTATGAATATCTCTCCGTGGCAATTTTGAATAAGTAAATTTGTAGGTGGTGCCCATAAGGCTGGCAGCCGTCTCAACACAAAAGCGACAAGCAAATTATTTAGATTCTTCGACAACTCAACTTGCTACAAATACAGCACCTGCTTGTCGTTGAAATCTAATATCGCTAAGTCATTTTAATAATTTTTTTTTGAAATATCAATTTCGTAAATTTATTAAACATGATTGCACAACATCACTTAATTGCATCAGTTCGCAAGTAGGAGACAAGCAAGAAACGAAGTCTTGAAAGGTAAAACGATAAAAATTCAGTTGCACTAAACCGCACAGAATAAAGCGAAGTTTTGTGTGTTCGATTGTCATTCAATTGAATAACATTATTTAGCTTGGCATCAATTACCCCACATCAATTGTGCTCCAGAGCTTGATCAAACTATTTATGGATGGAAATCTTAAAAGCAACAAACTTCCACGCGACTTTTAAATTATGTCGTTCAATTTGATTAAGAATGAATAACATGTGAAGAAAGATTTCTCATTGTGCTTAATTTTTCAAGCAAATTTCATATGCATTTCAATATCTTAGATTGAATAAAGTTTGTGTTGAGCTTCTTAATATTTTTTAATGACTAAATGTATGAAGTTGGAAATCAATAGCAAATTCCTTGATGACTCCTCAAGATTCTTCGTAAGGGACTGAATTAGATTTCAAGATTTGTTTTACGTACACATACTTAGTATGCACGATTGGATCTGCATATTTTTATATTCTTCCATACACCATAGAATTGCTGCCTTCGATGCATTTATTTTTTATATGCTTTAAAAATAAATGCATTTGTAAGTTTTTTGCTTATTTTCTCGTTTCTTCCGTCTAGTTGAGTTTCATATCTCGCACATTTTGTAAATTGAATAAATTTTTATTGCTTTTGCATGTTGTTGCACGAGCGCTATGTTTTGCTTTATTAAGCTTTCCGATCTAAGGGTTTAAGGAGATTTAAGGTACCCTTTGTTCATTCTCATGATTCGCCAAAAGCATTGAAATGCTGAATACTCGGAATTTTCCACCAAAATCATTTCAACACTCGAATGTACATAAATTTAATGCAATTGCACAATTACTTAAATGTTTTCCCTCCTTCTTCTTCTTTTCTTAACCGCTCCATGAGCGAGACGTCTTCGACTTCATTCTCTTCCGACAAACTCAATGCAATATTTTTATACCATATAACTGAAAAAGTTTTGTCTTACTTCGCGAAATACTGGTTACGAGTATATAAAGGAATTCCGTTCTTCCGATGTTTCTTTCACTCTTTTCTTATGGAACTTTTTTTATATCTCTTCGTGAACAATTTAAATACTTAAAATAATAAGAATTGAAACAAGACAATGTTGGGTTGAAAATCTAATCTCCCGCTTTATTTTCCGTCTGCTTCTATCAACTGAATGTGGAGAAGATGCTTACTAAACTAAAACTCAATTGAACTCAAGCACTGAGTTGTGTTGGAGACTGAGAGAAAGAAACTAAAAAAAATATAGAAATAACTTGAATAAATACAGTCTCAGTCTCAAACTCTTTTTTGTTTTCTCTTTGAGAAAAGTATTTTCTTTCATCTTTCATATGCATTTTCTTACTTCTTTTTAATTTTTTTTCTAAATGTTTTCAGAAAAATATTTTTCAGTTTGTAAGTTCTTAAAATTTTTAAATCAAGTCAATATGAAAATGTTGTGAAATTTACAAATTAATAAACTTTCTCGTTTAAAACTATTTGTAGTTTTATCAAAAGAAATTGCCTCAACTCATATGAATACAATCAATGAAGTAAAGTTTCTCATATTCTGTTTATGAAATTCTTATCCAGATCTGACTTTTTTCCACACACATATCTCTAAGAAAGGTAAAAATTTTATGTTCTCCATAGCAGAAGAAGTTTTTTATGTTCTTTACAATAGGTTTTTTAACTTAAGTGAACAAAGATAATTGCAATATATGTTAGAGATGGTTGAACGACTATTTACCAAGATATAAAATGAGTCTTATGCAGTTATTTTTCTTGCTATGCTTATATCGTTGATTTTTTTTCTCGTTCAATTAAATATTATTTTTTTCAGATCATTTTCCCATCTCTTTGATCTTTTTATATGGAATCCAAAAAACTTTTTGATGGATCGATTTAAAACAGTTTATGTTAACAACTTTCATTCAAAACGAAATCGTAAACAGATTTTAATTCAAGCATATTTTGCCTTCTACATAGAAAGGCTCATTAAAATGATATTAAAATTATAACATAAATAGAAGCGAATAATTCTTTGCTTACCGCATACCTCAGCTCCGTTCTTTGACATCTCCGTTGAAAATTCAAGTAAATTAGCATAGATTTTCGTAATACTTAACGAAAAATCATAAAGTGGCTCTTAGGAAATTTACGACAAATGAAATAAGAGAAAAATTTTTCAGCAATTCGATTAATTATTTAAAAATGTTCAGCTTAATCACATAAAAGTCGAATCTGATTCTTTTCAATAAATTTTCCTTTCTTCTTGTTTGCTTTTTTCTTAAAAATCGATGATCTCGATTGAAGTGAATGAATTGCTAGCTTGAATGAAAAAGCAGATTATTTCCACTGATCAAGCATGAAATTTTTCGTCTTTTTGTCTTTGCGTGCCACTTTAAATTTAGACTTGCTTCGAATGGAACAAAATAAAACAACAAAAAGTTTTGACTTTGAGAAACTTCACTTATTTAACTGAATTTATATAAATTTTCATTACTTTACTTAATGAATTTAACCAGTTCAATCGAGTGTTATGTCTTAAACTGATAGAAATTTCTTTCAACCACTCTTTTATACCCAATAATTGAATCCTTTAAGGGGACTATTTTAGAACAGCTTCAATGGTGGGAGCTGCCAATGGGAAACTCGCTGCTTCACATAGACAACAATTTCAATTCATTTCCTATCTAATTCATATTTCATTTTCTTTGTGATGTTAGTGAAATCAATTGATGTGGAAGTTGTAAAGGACATTCACGATAGCTCGCGAGCCTCACGAAGAGGCAAATATTTTCCATTTCCCCGCTTTGAACTTTCAGTAAAAAAGTTTGAAACATCGGAAAAATGATAATAATAAATTAATGAGCTTCAAAGTCCCCAGTAAGTATATTTATGTTTTGTTGATACCGGTATCGGTTGTCCGGCAACCGACTTAATGATTACGGACGACCACACATAAAGTGCCACATATCGACTTTTTATCCCTTTGAGAACATTATTTTATCGCCTTTTCGACTCCCTTTTTCTTCGACCACAACAATATTCCAACCAATATATTTACAAAGTGCTTTATTTACTCAACTTCTTCGGGCCACTTGTCGATAAAAGTTGTTATTTTTTTTCGTCATCAATAATTTACTGCTGAGTCTATTTTACTAAGCTTTCCCTCTTTCAACTTGGAAAATAACGATTGAGATGGAAGGAGTTTAAACGTATACGTGGCAAATAACGTTTTGTACACGTTTGCTATTCGATATGTGGAAAATTAAAATTCTTATCTATATTAATCATCAAACACATCCCTTAGAAATTCTAACATATGACGTTCAATAGTTTTGTTTTTTTACTTTATCCTCTTAACCCAATTACTTAGTTCTACAGTCTTAACCCGAAAGTAAGCCGCAGGCTTGCTTATTCGAATACAAGCCTTTTTTGGTCAAAAAGGCTTTTATTCGAGTGCGGCTTCTATTCGAGTTTTCCGATCGAATTTTAAGCCGCAGGGCATTTTTCAAGCAAAATTCGAATAAAAGCCTGCGGCTTACGTTCGGGTTAACACTGAAAAGGCTTTTATTCGAGTGCGGCTTCTATTCGAGTTTTTCGATCGAATTTTAAGCCGCAGGGCATTTTTCAAGCAAAATTCGAATAAAAGCCTTCTTTGGTCAAAAAAGCTTTTATTCGGGTGAGGCTTTTATTCGNATTCTTATCTATATTAATCATCAAACACATCCCTTAGAAATTCTAACATATGACGTTCAATAGTTTTGTTTTTTTCTTTATCCTCTTAACCCAATTACTTAGTTCTAGACACTTCGAGGGCTGTGTTTTGGAGGTGTAGAAAGCGATAGAAAGCAAGAAAAACAGAAAGTAATAATAGCAATTAAATTCATTGGCACTATGGCAAAATGTACATATGTACATTGAAAATAAAAAGTAATTAATAACAGTCTGCAACTTGTTGATGACAAAGTTGAAGGCAAGGAATACGCAACAATTTTAACATCTCAACTTCATATTTCATCTTCACGCTCTCAGATTGTTCTGAGGAAAAAGAAGGCAAAACATTTGTGACACTGACAACACATTTTCAGTCCTTTAAAAACCTTTTTTTAAAGCATCGAGTAATATTCTCATGATATCATCGATATGAATATTTAATCGAGAACATAAAAATTCTGAGACCGAACGGTGTCTTTATCAAAAGCGTGAAGAAATAATCGAACGAGGACGAAACTTTCTTCTTCTTTCTTTGATTTCTGCTTTCAACAAGTGATGTTTTTCTCACAATAACTTTATTCGAAGGATATTGTATGTTCCGAACGATTAAATTGACTGAACTATGTCGACATAAATGTCGCTTGATGGCTTGTAAAATAACAAGAAACAAACAAAATAAATTAAATTCAATTAGCATAACTAATTTGATGGGTTCAGAAGTCAACTATTACTGGTTATGACTGAGATAAGTAAGTAAAATGGAAGCGAACTAATTAATTGAAAGGTTTTAATTGCGAAGCGGAACAAAAGTGATGAAAGTTTGCTTACTTCCGCTCTTGAGGATATTCTCAAGATATTAACAATCGTAAAAACTTTTCTTTAAAACAATCCTTAAGAAATTTAGACTTTTTAAAAATTTATTTCTCAAATCAATGTAAAAGCGTTTAAAAAAATTTCAAATTCGTTTCCTTCATTTATTCATCAGCACTCGTTTTCCCTCGTTTTTTCCTCACTTTAATGCTAAGTGACATTTAGACATTTTCTTCTCTTTTTCTTTCAAACTTAAATCATGACAATGAAATTTTTTCCAATTCGTTCTCAAAAGATGTTTGCGAGAAATAAAGAAAAGAATTCGCTTCTGGTGCAACTTGTAAATGTTAATAAACAATCTTCAAGTTGCAGAAGATTCAAGAATAAATAATCTTTACTTATTACGTGCGACTTCTCAACGAAATTGTGAAAATTTGCATATCGTTGCAATAAATAATTTCGTGTTAACTGCTTTAACTTACATAAATACAATATTTCAGCTTATTTCAATGAAGGTATTAATCGAATTTTAAACCTTAATAAGATGTTAAGAACCCCACGAATTTTCGACTCAGCAGTTTTATCCACGTTAGCCAACAATTGGAAAGAATTAACGGACTTGCAAAGGTTGTTGACTCTCATCATCTCAAAATTAAAATTCATTTCATAAATTTTTAATATATTTTCAATTTTCGTTACAAGTTGTAACTGCGAATGGTAAATATCATCTTCCGGCAATAAAGTTAATCGCTATAATTTGATTTTGACACTCTACCCGATTTTTGATTCGACTTAATAAATATATTTTTCACGTTTACAATTCAAGCCTAAGGGCATGAAAACGCGTGTAGCAAAGTGGAATGCGATGACATTGGATCAGTTTCCCAGTTACCTAAATTAAATTTCATGGCATGAAGTGTTATGCAATTGAAATTCACTCTCTTTTACTTCAATATCATGATCTCCATTTATGGTAGTGATTCAAACTCGTTTCTTCATTTTTTGGCATCGCACTTGCCCGATCATGAATTTGATTTTGTTTTCTTTCTTTCGATTTAAATCGACCTTGAAGCATCTTTTGAAATAGGACTCACGTACGTGTTTATAAACAAGTAGATAAAGTAAAAGAGAAAGAAATATCAAAACATTATTGTATCATCAAGCAAATTCATAGCTCTAAGATGGGAAACATGGTTTTAGCACGATCATCATAAAGACATTCAATTTATTTTTCTTGAAAACTGGGTTGAGTTTAATATCTTCAAATTAGATTTCTAGAATCTTTCAGAAATCTTCACAATTAAATTCTAAATTTTCAGTATGCTGCAACCGAGAGAATGATGAAATAAAATACCAATAAATGCTCTAAATTTTTCTTCTTCATTTTTAATTTAAACACCGGGAAAAAGCATAGAAAAATAAACAATCATTGATAAATATTTTTTTTAAACAGTCATTTTCATAAATATTAACTTCATCGCTCATTTAAATGCGATCATTTTGAGTTAAGACAGGTGACGATACATCAAGATCTTTTAAATAGATGGGAAACTTACAAATATGATCACGAAAAATGAAATGAAATGAAATCAACACCAGCTTCAGAAGAGGAAGCATCAACGACATTATCTATATGTGAGACGATGAAAAATATTGCTTTCTTTTTATTCCCTCATGATGAGTCTAATTTTTTCGTGTTTATGTTCTTTTTTTTCGTTCCGAACAGTTTTCGGCGAGTCTTAACTAATTAAACGATATATTTATTGCTTAATTGGCGGGTTGTTTGTCTTAGGAATTTCCGATTTAATAAAAGATAGCAGTTTTGAGATTGCCACCTCATCTGAAGTCACATAGCAACAACTTAAGTGAATATAGAGGAAATATTTTGGACTTATGAATGAAGCCATTAATTGTTTGCCGACTGTCACGCATCGAATTCTAATTTCAACTAGAATGACTTTATCATGTTGACAACAACGAAAAGAAAACAAAAATTTAACCTTTTTTTAATGTGGCGAGAAGAATTATTGGGTGTGTAGCTGATGAAAATGTGTGATGTTTTCACTACGAAATTCGTTTGTTTGCTCCTCGATACGTGAAATCTTCTCACATGACACACTTGACGAAAAATAGTAGATTTGAGAAGACATCAAAACAACATTGTCATAGTCTCTCTACATTGTTATTTGGCTTCTGCTAACTTCATACATATGTACCAAATTTTATTTACAGAAATTTATTCAAAAGCTCAGAAAGTTTCTTCACGCATATCTTTCTTATGAGCTGTAACTGTTTTCAATAAAATGCGCTAACAGAGCGAGGTAAGAAAAATATCAACAAAAAAAGTTTTGCAGACACAGTTAGGGAGACATTCAAACATTACTCCGTACCATGAGATCATTAAGTAAGTGCTTGAAGTCGACGAGACAAAGCAAACACTTTAAAATGACGCAATGCTTGGAGAATCCTGAATGGCGGCTTTTATTTGAAGAAAAATTTCTTTAAAAGTTGTATTATAATTTGTCTCTTCTTAATCAACAGAAATCTTTTATCTCACGATATTGAAAATTTCCGTCATTTCATTTTTTGTAATTCAGTGCTTTGTATGCTTGGAAATGTTTGACATCGCAGCATTTTAAAATTTATTCAAAACGCTGCTATAGTGACAAAAATAGATATGCATAAAAAAATAAATATAAAATGTGTTTTGAAAATTTTTTCGACGTCTGAATGTTCATGTGTTCCTTTTTACGGTTATTTACCGATCACATACGCGAAATCTTTGCTTCTTATCTTTGCATGAATTAATTATCCAATATTACGTGATCTTTATAAATATCAAAACATTACTGTAAGCTATCATTAAATGAAAGTCTGAATGTGTGCAAATTTAAGATTTTTTTCTTCCTCTATTCATCAACTTTTTTATTTTTCTAATGAAGATTTTATTTCTTGATAAATGCTGTAATTAGTTGAGACTTTGCCGTTATGAATCAAATTGTTTCAACAAGATGATGAAGATGATTAAAATTGGGCTGAAATATTTTTTCTTTGTCATTGTTTGGCCTTTGTTTTTGACGAGGTGTGAGCGCATATCTAATTATTTGTCATTTTCTTCATAAAATTTTCCCAAAAACACTCCAACACAAAAAAAATCAGTGAAGACCCAGAAAAATGGTTACCAAACATATTTATTTCTTCTTGCTTGAATTTCTTCATTTCTAAGTAGGTTCGTTCATGACTGAAGCAAACGATCGTATATTGTGTGATAATCAAAGTCAATGGCCTTAAAGTTTTTTTATAAATGTGTAGCTCGTGCTCGACGAAAGAAGACTTGTCCATTCCAAACAACGAAAAATACGTGTTTTCGCATTAAACTTAACGATATCAACTTTCAACTTTTTCTCTCTCTCTCTTGAAGAATTTTCTTCAATCTTTCCTTTTTCCAACTCTCATTCATCAGTATAATAATTTAAAATATTTAAAGCAGTAAGCAAAAGGCGGAACATAAAAATTTATGGAAATTTTTTGCATCAAAAAACGCTCATGCAACAATAAGTGAAAAAACTTACGACTGCCAAAGTCATGGTACGAAAGGAATCAAAATGAATTAATTTAATTTCCAAGTTACGAGTGGGGAATAATAAGAGATTCACGCGATAAGACTGAAAGCTTTATTTTTCTAAGGAGTTAATTTTATCCAAATATTGATTTAAAACTGTTTCAAAATCTTGATTTAAAACTTTTATCAGTCATGACGGAAAGAAATAAAAAATTAGAGTTTATTATCAAATCAGATTTCCCTTCCTTAAATTTAAACTTTTAAGTGCAAATAAACAAACTTTAACATCTATTTAAGGATCCGCTAAATTCGCAAGACAACAGAAATATTATTAAAGTAATAAATTATCATAAGGACATTTAATCTGTTCTAATTAATTGACTTTCATGGATAAAGGTGAAGAGATATTTGATACATCATATATCAATGTTAAAATAAATTTTATGACATGAATTTTTGAGCAATTAATTAATTTATTGAATTCATCTCGCTCTAATTACTTTTATATAAAATGTCGGGGATAAATTTAAATTTTTCTTCTCTTTCTCGTGCGCCGCTTCTTGGATCAAGCACTTTCCTTAATTTTCAATTGTCTACATGCTTTTATTCATAGTAATTCAATTTGTGTTTATAGATAGCGATTTTATTTATAAAGAAAATGCTTCGTCATGAAATCAAATTATGTTATTTAATGTGATGGGTGGAATCATAGACTACATCAAAACCTAACTGGTCTCGCTCATCTTTTTCTACCTAAATGGATAGCTTTCTTTGGCTTCCAGGCTAGAAGCCAGTGTTTTCAAGTAATGATGATGACTTCATCGTGGATTGTTACCAGTAAATTATACAATATTACGAAATAAATTTCGTCCTCCAGGAAACAGATTTTGTTAAATGAGTAACATTTTACTATTACGAAGTCTTTACGAATGTAATTAAATATTCCTGCGACCATAACATTTATCTTAATAATAGATAAAGGACAAAACCAATGTAAATCAAACGCATTATGACATTCAATTTGATACTCATGACGATTCATCATTAAGCAATTTACGTAAAAAAGTTCTTTTCAATCTTGATTATGTCGATATGGATTTTTTTATGTCCATATGTAGAATTTTACTAAAGTTTGCAGACTTAAAATCAAAATAAATTCAAATTCCATTCAACTTTATGCGAGGACATTTTATTTAATTAGATTAAAAGGTTAGTTTTAAGAAAATCATGCTTAACCATCTTTTAATAACAACTCTTATCGTTTCCATAAAATTAAACGCAACTCTCTTAACTTCTTTATTCTGAAGACAATAAAATAAAATTCATCTCTTAAACGTGAGCTTTCATGAGAACAATTGAGCCTTTATGGTCGACAATTCTGGTTACGTTTGCTCATTTCATAGTCATTCTCTATAACAATAATAATGATTGCAAGTTACATTGTAATGAAAACGCAAAAGTCAAACGGGCTCACATGAAACAAAAGAAAAAAATCGAAATCCTTTAAAAAATTCATTGAAAATGCCTGCAAAGTCCAACGACAAAACTGTTTATTTCCTTTTCTTCATCCTTCTATCTATTACTCTCCTTCCCTCCATTCATTGCGCGTTCTGATAATCACACGCAAATAGTCCATTAGATGAAAAATAAGCATGTAGAAAGTTCGTATGTCATACACAGCTTTGTTGAGTAATTATTTTGACAACGACAGTATAAAATTATACAACTTTTTTTTAAACACCAGTTAATAGATAATGAAAACCAAGCAATAGCAAAGGTAAAACAAGGAGGCAAACGCGGACAGGGCGTGGGAAATGGCAACAGTAAAAGGAACGCAAAATTGTTAGGAATGGCTGGCATGGCATGTTAAATGTTTTATTATCTCTCCATCGAACGATAAATGGAACTTTTGAAAAATAAAATTCATTTCATGTTATTAAAAACTTTTAACATATCTCTCAACTCATCGATTAATTATTCAATTTGATTTTTGTCCTCGCTCGCAATGTAGATGAATACAAAGAGATGGAGGGGGGTGGAGATTGAGATGGAGGTGGAAGAAAAGGAAGAAATAAAACTAAACTTCGACATTTGCTATCCTTTCCAATCGATTTTTCCTCTCTCACTCTTATATCTTGCTTTACTTTGACGTAGTAAATTGAGGGTGCTATCAATAAATACTCGATGGGGAAAATGGGATTTGACACAATTTGGTTTCAATGTGCCCATAATTCTCAGCTCCCACATTTTATCTTATGAATATTTAATCGATTTCCCTTCGTATATAGTGTAAAGGCTGATGTCGCTTGAAAAATTGTGTATGTTGCCTTGTAATTTGTAAAGCAAATCATTGAATGAAAAATGTGTGACACGAAAAGAAATAAATTACATGTAGGGAACGTGGTGGCGCAATAACATGTTAATTTCATCTGGCGTTCTCCCTGTAGCAGAAAATAAATTCTTTAAATTATTTATTCATCTGCAAAAAGAATTTCAATTAGCAAATTTTTTCATAACGTTTTGGAGATAAAAAATGAATTATTTAATTGAATGTTTAAAGGTGTAGCAATTAATCTGATGTTTGTTTTTCAATCGAGAAAGCAAATGGCTTCGAGTATCAATATTGCAGTAAAAGTGGTGAATAGATTATTTATCTATTATTAACACCAAAATTCACAAAACTAGTTTTAATTAGCCTGTTTCATTTCACAAAGTTTTCTTTTTTTGAATTGCCTTGCAAATGAACTATTGTCAGGTATGACAAAAGATTGAAGGCAACTTACACATTTAATCACGAGTCGACACTTAAGCGTTCCACAAACGTCGGAGATTCGGTTGAGATTGCTATTTGAAAAGGCTTTTAGTGGAAATTTACTTTTAACAATAAAATGGATTGTTCAAAATGCTCTTGTAAACGTGGTTTGAAGGAAATAGGCGATAAAAAATGATTGAGGAATATAAAAGTGATATGACACTTTATCATCTGAGTTTGAAAAATAAAGGGTTTATAGAATCTTTTTACTTCTTATGTTAAGCCTACCGCACTTGCAGTGCCTCATGACAATAAAAGAATCATTTCGCGCTCTTATTTCGCTTCTTTTTTTTGTGAAGAATGACATTTGTATTTTCTCATGTCAATGATATATTTTGACACAGAATCATTTAGAAAAGCATTTCGGAAGTGAAGACGACAAATTTTTTTCATGACATGAGATGTTTGCTCATCTCTTAGGAATCTAGAATGTAATACGTCGTGTTAGGTGGTTTTTCCTTTCATTTTTCTATTTATCTAAAATGCTTTGAAACTCGTCACTGTCGCATGTTTTTCATTCATTCACAACTTGAATACTCGTTGTCATTGAAAATGTGAAGAGATAGAGATCATTACACTCATGTTGATGAGAAGCTTGCTTTTTGCTGCTTTTAAATAAGATGAAACGATATCTGTCAGCTAAGATAACGCTTGAGTTAATATGTTAAAAAAATTTTGAAGCATCTTCAAGCGACAATGGACGAGAAACTTGATCTGTTTACTTTTCGTGAGTCTTTAATCATGAAGAGGCTCAATGTTTTCAGTAAAAAAAGTTCAATTCCATTTCTTTCTTAATGTCCATTTGATTAATTAAATATAAATGTTCCAAATACATATTTGAAATAAATTTTTACATTATCAAACAAAAGTGAAAACTCTCAATTTTCTGTTTGATTTTAGATTGCTTAACTAAATTTCAAAACTCATATTTTTGCCCATTCGACCATATTCAAATATTGTTAACATTGGCTTATGACTTGAGATTAGCTTCGAGTAGAAATGTAAATAAAAGTTTTTTTTTCTCTGAGTATGGCTAAGTGTTAGTGAAAATTAGAGTAGAAATGAAGAAGAAAAACACCAATTCTCACTCCACACAGGTGGTCGCTTTTTTATTCCATTGTGCGACAAAAAGTGACAAAAATCTAAAAAAATGTTCCTACATTGTTTAAGTATTTCTCGAGAGGTCCTATCGAACGCACTTGAAAATCAATTTGTTTCATTCAACGCTTTTATTTTCATTAATTATATTATTATTATTTTTTCCTCACATGAATAATTTAGCTCTTCACATTTTAAGAGACAATTCGGTCATTCTTATGAATATAATAAAATACTAGGAAGTTCGATATGCGTTACGTGATTCATGCTGTGGATTATTCAGGGTCGTTTTATGAATCTTAAGTGAAAATATCTTTGTGAACTAAATCAACCTACTGACAAAGCAAGTCAGTCAGTTACATTTAATTTTATCTGATGTGAATGCACTCAAAATACAGAAGAAAAAAAATACGTTAATCGTGCCCTTAACATTAAAAGCATGAACTATTCAAGTTTTTTCTCTTCTTTTCTTTTTCTCTTCTTGATCAACATTCGCTTTTCATTGTAAGTCGCAATCATATACACATGTGATGAAGGCAGAAACCATAAGAAAAAATCTTTTAATGACCCCTGAAAGAAATCGAAATAATGCCGGCTTTTTTTCTGCTCGCACGATGCCATTGAAACATGTTACAGATGTTATTATGTGAAATGTTCAAGAACAGGCGCGGATTTCTTCCTTCGCTTGCTTTTATCATTTTTCTCTTATCCTAGATGATGCGATCATTGAGTACCATCATCACAAAGCTATTCAACTCCCCAAGGAAATCGATTTTTTTATTATTAATTTCCATTACTTCTTGCCATTGTGTTGTATGTTTATTCATGTAAATGTAGAAGTTTCTCTGACTCTTCCCTTATATTTTTTGTTTGCCGTTCACATGACAAGCGGATTTCTTCTCATGAATATGTAAAGTACAAGAATGTTATCGACAAAGCAAAGTGATTTCCATCTTAACGTTTCCATTTAATTTTGTTTCCAACATCGAAAGCTGGATTGAAGTGTTGGAAGTATAGAGGAAAGAAAGGTAAATAACAAGAAATTACAGTAACATCTTGTCTTAATATGGCAATTTTACGCAAAGAACAGTTAATTATTGTAAAAAGAACGCCTACAATCGGCGTTGTCATCATATTCAAGCACCGCGCGAAAAAAAGAAATGAGTATGAAAAAAAAGTTTTGCGCTTGTTAAATTCCATACAAAGAACCCTTAATACACACAGCATATCGCTGGAAATATATGAATGTGGAATGTACAGCTAGACCGAAAAAATAAAAACTATAGCGTGAAGGAGAAATGACAAAACAATCGAGAAATGGCGTAAAATTTGCTCAGTTGATTTCCATGCCCATTTATTCTCAACCTTCAATTACAACTCTTAATCATCTGATAGATTTCAGCCATAGAACAAATTTTCTTATGTCTCACTTTTGCTTTTCGGTATCAAATTTCGTTGTTGTACAGCGGGGAGTTTTTTTTTTTCATTCGCGTGAGTTAAAACTTAATTCAACATTTTCTTTGTGGACATAGATCTCACCACTCAAAAAACATGTTCATGGCACGCCATTCAATAATAGTTTTGAATAATTTATGTCACTCACCCAAAAGAATCTTTCTTTGATTTTATTTTCAATATTTTTTATGCGACTCACTTTACTGTTTGAAGATTTAAGAAACTCTTTTACTACCCCTGAAACAAGGAGAATATAATTATACTTACTAGTGAAAGTATAAAATTTATGCTCCAAGGGGTATAGATTTTTAAATTCTTGAAAAGCGTTATTTTTCATAAGTCATAAAATGAATGAATACATTTTTAAATGATTCAAGAATTATTTGCTACTGATAATTATAAAAATCAGCTTCTAGATTTCACTAAAATATTTATTGACATCATTTTAAAATTTAATTGAGATCAAAATGAATGATGTTGAGAAACTTCATAAAATCTCTTTACCCCTTAAAATGTTATCAGACTTTGCAACCCCTCGGGTGTAAATCTTAAATGTTTTTGTCAAAAGTATAATAAGTTTTAGACATTTCACGATCATGCCTTGCGAGAACTGCAATGCTTCGTTCAATATATTTAAACGAAAAAAATCATGCTTCTCGTGTCAACGTTTATATTGCACTAATTGTTTGGGAAAACGCAAAAAAAATGTTTGTTTTCGTTGTGAAATTTTTCTTCAAAGACCAGCTCCATCGAAAAAAGAACTTATGGAATTGAAAACAAAGGTGAATTTAGAATGACCTTCCCAAATAAATAATTATTGAACCTTTAATTTATTGCAGGACTTGATATTTTATTTGCAATCAAAGAAAATTAATATTGCTGGTATCGTGGAGAAGGAAGAATTAGCTAATTTAATTATTAACCATGTTAATTCTAATTCGTATTATGATACTGCCACTGGTCCATCTAGTACATCAACAACACCAAACCATGACTTTGATAATTACCAACAAAGCTTTGATCACCTGAAGCAGACTTGCCAAAATCTCTTCACTTCAATTTCTGATAAAATTACGTCAGGTAATCAACTTGATGAATCACATCCGCCCATTTATATTTACATTTTTGTATTTTTGTTTTTGTTGTTGGATTTTTAGATTTCCAGAAAACACCTTATTTTAATAATAATCAACAAAGTCAGCAAGCGAATGTCCCAACGACACAACAGCCTCGTCGAACCAGTCAAACACCAACAGCCCCAACACCAAATAGTACGAATTTCATAAATCGTCCTCAAGAATCACGCGCACAAAACTCATCAAGGCCCTCAAATCATACTCAAAGTTCAAGGACATCTCATGTTCACCAGAATCAAGATTGTGACTGCTCAGATGATGAAATTGACGAAATTTCAGAAAAACGTCAAAGTATATTTGAAGGAAATCCTGGACCGAGTGGTTGTTCAAATAATCAAACTAAAATGAAACTTCCAAACAGTTCAAGTTCAGAGTCGTCATCATTCGAAGAAGTAGAACCAAAGTTAAGTGACGATAATTGGCAAGTAATTGAAAAGACGGCATCAAATGGAATCACAACTGTTGAGAAGCCACCAGATACATTATCTATCGATGAATTCAATACAACTGTCGCCTCTAGTCCCATGCAAACTTCAAATTCCAATGACATAACTCGATCATTCATTCCAGACACTGCTACAAATACAGAAATCAGAAGACTTACTCGAAGACGCAGTGACAGTTCGTTATTGAGTTTGAGAAAGTCAAACAGCATAACAATCGATGCCTCGTCATTAGATACAAGTCAAGTGAAGAAATTGAAAATCTCGTGCAATAAATGTGGCAAAGCAAAGTCAAAAATCAAAAGTGAAATTCTAAAACTTAGCGAACAACTTAAAGCATCAAATAAATCTGAAGCGGAAATAAATACTAAAATTAAAGAATTTCTAGACTATTTAGAATCAAAAAGTCAGCCTTCGGAAATGACCGAAACGGAAAATTCACAAAATCAAACAAATCAAAATGAAGAAGACGAAGATATGGAAGGTGCTCGATATATCCCACATTCCAGATCACATGATGAGATTGAAGAGAATATATTTGATGAGAATGAAGGAATTAATGTTTATCCTTCAGTTATTGAAAGCGAGACTTTCATGCAAGCATCAACGAGTACTCCGAAACGTTTCATTTCTCTCAGTGACATCCAATCGAGGTAAGAAGTGACATAAATTGAATTAAACTTTTCCTTTATCTTTTTTAATCTTTACAGTGATGAATTGGAAACTTTAAATGTGAAACAATTGAAAGAAATTCTTATGCTTAACCGAGTTGACTTTAAGGGCTGCTGTGAAAAAAATGAATTAAAGGAGCGGGTTTTGAGACTGTGGCAAGACCACATAACTGCACCTCGTAAGTTCACAAGCTTTAATGGCGATTCTCTTGATAAAATTGATTAAAATTCTTTTTTAACAGCATCAGAGAAACTTCCCAGCGATGACTTATGTAAGATTTGCATGGATGCTCCCATCGAATGTGTCTTCCTTGAATGCGGTCATATGGCAACCTGCACAGCATGTGGAAAGATTCTAAGCGAATGTCCAATTTGCCGAAGCTACATTGTTCGTGTTGTTAGAATTTTTAAGTCGTAAGTTTATTCATTTAATGTCACGCAACAAGTTCATAACGTTCCTTAGACTTTGTTATTTGTCAATAGTAACACATTGACTAATTTTGTAAAATTCTCTTTCATAATTTTCTTTGCGGGTAATTTCCTTTTAATCGAATGATGTTGGTTTGAATTGTAAATTTTTCTATTTCAATCAATTCCAACATCACCCAAATATGTATGCAATTAAATGAATCATTTCCTTCTGTTTTCGAGGTCAGTTTCACTGCTAGTTGCAGAGATGTTTGTTACCTCATAAACTTTTTTGTGCCATTTGCAAAGCATTTGTTGAAAACACAAAATATATTCCAGTAATCGAATGGGGTGCTGTGATAGACGAGACATCATTTGTTAGATGATTATTCAAGATTTGAATAAGACGAGAAGTGAAATTCTCACAAAATTTTCCTGCTTAGCCACTTGCGAATGATGTCTCTGGTCATGTAGAAAATATTTTGTCAAAACTAACATTTAAGCGCCTCTTAGCGTTGTTGTCTAGATTTTTCTTTAATGAAAATTATCGTTAAAGAATTAAAAAAGAAGAATTTTAGACTTTTAACGTTTAATGTTTGATTTGCTTCCTTCTTAAATTGCATAGCAATTTAACCAACATAAATTAAGTTAAAAGTTTTCCCACTTTTTAAAGAGATTTCAAAGAAAGGGAAAATTTATTTTAAACAATTATCCAGAACAAGTAAAAGGGAAATTTTATTTTTAACAAATAAATCAACATTAAACGTCGATAGTCCGACTCAATCGTATTATCTAATCTTTTATCATTTGCTCTCACTTTCTGATGTTTAATGATATTAAAATTTTAAGTATCAAAGAAATAAAATTTCATTTTAAAATAAATGTTCAGTTTAACTTTATTTAAAGTAAATAATTTATTAATTTCACAATGAAAGCTGATAAAATAATAACAAGAAGCTGAGGTGAAGATGAAGCAGCAAAACTTTTGTCGATAAGAATGATTCGTTCGGCGATATTGAAGTAACCTTCATATTCAACAATGTCTGGTGTAACGTCGTAATGATAGTGACCACCGTGGTTATGTTTCGAAAAACAGTGAAAATGATGATACCGAAGTTTAAAGTCTGTTTGATGTGATACAAAGTTGCCAAGTGCTATAAGTGGTGCTGGCATTTCATGAAATGTCAACCAATTGTTCAATTCTTCGTCGGTATTTATTGGATTTTCTGAAAACCTATCCATCACATGAATATTGGCAATTCCTTTCTTCATCACAAAAACTCCGCCAAGTCCAACAACTTCATCTTCCGAATATTTCTCTGACAATCCCAATCTCATTGCTGAAATAAAATTTTCTTCTCCAGTTCGATTTTTAGCGATTACTTTTAAAACTTTGCCATCATTTCCTTCAGATAGAAAAAGATTTCCCAAAAGTGCAGCACGAGTTTCATTGTTTGGAAGTTTCAAAGTTTCTGTGCCACTTCCTTGAGTTCTTGCAATGTGGCTTTGATTATCAATTGTGCCGTTTTTAAACACTTTCATGTTGTAAATTCCTTCACAATTTTGATCGTAAAGGGGAAATGGTCCAGCCCCGGCACCACAAACATAAAAATTTTTCTCTTTATAAGTTTCAATTTCACGAATCGTCGGAATCAAGTTGTAAACTTTCGATTTATCAACGAGTGGAAGGAGATAATCATCATTTCCATATTCAATTATTAAAGGATTGCCTGATATTCCTGACGATGCAAGATAAAATGGTTCACTTTTTAAATCGGGATTATCGACAATCTCCACAGAAACTTCATTGAAATTTTTCTTCAATGCTTCTTCGAGAACTTTTTAATGAAAAACAAAAGAAATTGTTTAAATCATAAAACAAAATTTGATAAATTTCTACCATTTCTTATTTCATCTAATGACGGTTTGTGAGTTTCCTTTTCTTGATATTTTAAGTTTATAGGATCCAAATCACCACTTGCTTTCCATATATTTACACAAATTAAAAGAAATATTAAACACTTCATGTCTTTCGTACTTACAATCTTGTTTTAACTTCTGCTACAAAGAATTCACTCGCTTTTATCTTCTTTCTAAATTTCCGCAATGATATTTCATTTTTAGGTAATCTTATCGAAGATATTTTATTGAGTGATTAAACTAGACACATTACAGCGATATCTCATTGTTTTATTATCGATTACAATAATGCTTAAATATGAACATTTTTGAGTTTAAATTCTCTTATCAAAAATATATCAACAATGACTTTAAAAAAGTCAGTCAAATGAGTAAACAGATAAGGCAGCAGTAAGTTGATTTACATAAATGTTTGTGTTATGCTTTTCAATCTTTCTTATCATTCTCTCAGAAATTGAATTTCAATCTCGACCGACCTTATGGGTCACCTAAGAAGGGGAGCAAAATAATTAATTCATAACACGACAATTGACAAGTGTTCAACTCACTTCAGGCTTATCAATCCTGATGATTCGTCTTCCGACAGCGAAGTAGCCTTCATACTCAACAGTATCTGGTGTAACGTCATAATGATAATGACCGCCTTCACCATGCTTCGAAAAACTGTGAAAATGTTGAAGTCTCAAATCTAAGTCAGCTTCATTGGTGACGAAAGTTCCGACTGCTATTAATGGTGCCGACATTTCATGGAATGTCAACCATTTATTAACATCATCTTCAGTGTACAATGGAACTTTAGAAAACTCGTCCATAACGTGTTGTTTTGCTTTTCCCTCTTTAATGAGAAATGTTCCACCAAGACCAACAGTCTTATCATCAGTGAAGTATTCAGCTAATGCTAATCTCATCGATGAAATGAAATTTTCACTTCCAGTACGTCTTTTTGCAGTTACTTTTAAAACTTTTCCAGCTTTACCTTCACTCAAATATAAATTACCGAGCAAAGCGCATCTTGTCTCTTGATCAGGAACTTTCGATAACTCAACACCACCAGGAACAATGCGAGCGACATGAGTTTCGTTTTTCAATGTTCCATCCGATCCAACACGAATGTTCAACATTCCTTCACAGTTTTGATTGAATATAGGAAAAGGACCAGCGCCAGCACCACAAGTAAAGAATTCTTTACTTTCATAACTGCTGATGTTTCTCAGCAATTCGACAATGTCGTAGATTTTTGACTTGTTAACAAGTGGAAGTAAATAAACGGGACTTCCAAACTCCACCAGAGTTGCATCTCCACCTAGTCCGGAAGATGCAAGATGAAAAGGCGCTTGTGATAAGTTAGGACAATCCACAACACTTACAGAAACGTCAGAGAAGTTTGATTTCAATCCCGTTTCAATCACTAAAATGGTGAAAGTTTTTAATGATTTTGAATAATTTCTTCCAGACTTCACTCACCCGAGCAGAGTGTTTCCATCTCAGGCACGAAAAGCTCCTTCTCTTCATAAGTTAATGTCTTGACGTTTAACGCACTCATTTTGTTCGATTATCAATAAACAATGTTCAGTTGTGAATTGACTTAACTAAAGACTTTCAAGTAGTTGATTCCATGAGAAATTTGTTGTCTAACCGCGACTACTTGATAACGAATACACTTGAAAGATGCTACGTTTATTTAAGATAAATGATTATTAAATACAAATGAACATTTATTTATTATTAAGCCCTGCAATTATCGGGTGCTTCAAAAAGTTTATTTTTATTCATTGAAAACTTTTTAAAAGATGGAAGCACTTGTTGATTCGTTTGAATCTCATTCCAGTTAAGCTTTTTCACTTTTATAGGAAATGAAGTTCATTGTATGTTTGAAAGTAATTTTTATGTTTTATCATCAAGATTTCATTGAAAGATTATCGATCATTGAACCATGTTTCTCATGAAATTTGCCTTTTCTTGATCTTTTGACACAATAATGTCATCAATTAAGTTTCTAAGGTAATCAATCGGAAAACATTTCTTGTAAAATTATTTTTAAATTGTTATAAATAGAATCATGAAATTAAAATCTAAATATTCTTTAGCTTCATCATCAAAATAATTCAAGACCATGACCTTTTCAATACAAAATGTTTCCAAAGTACAACAATCTCATTTTTTGTTAAAGAATCGTTCTACTCAGCTCGTTCCTTGAGTCCGACGCATGATACAAAAAATGATCTGTGAACTCCAAATGAATCAATTATGGAACGCAATTTGGATGCGCTTAAATCTGGAAATGAAAGCGAGAGAAGATCGAACAAGATTAAATGAGAACAAGTCTGTCATCACTCGTCGGAGAATACGAAAAACGGTTAGCAGAACCACAACAAAAAAATTAGCGTGGATAGAATTTTCAGTTTGTATGATTTTTGCTTGCATTGCTTATAACTTTTGTCGTAGAATATTTTTTGTGTGCTCTTTCTGTCATTGACACAACACAACCGGTTATTGTTTGGAAGAAGATTAAAAAATTAATTGCTCAATTATGATAACGCTTTCGTAATCGCCACGCTTCGTCGGATCAAATAAAAATCTCATGACTTAAATTTGTGAATGTTTTTAATTGTCAGGTTCTTCTTTGTTTTCATAAACTAGTCGTTACTAGACTTTTAATCTAATCAAGTAACAGACAACATGATCGAATACAATTTGTTAACAAGAATTGCAAGAGTTATTCAGCAAAATTTTAGGTGTTTGACATTCGTCATAAAAATGTGATTGTAATGAAAACTGTCAGCGGAAATAAATAAAACTTTAAATTGAAAGAATTACAACCTAGCATAGATAACATATTGAATTAGTTAATTAGTTCATTTCATGATGTTCATTTATCATTTAATATAAAATTCAAAAGAATATTTTTATGAAACAGTTTTTCAAATGAAATGAAAAATAATTTGAAGACAAGCGCATGATAAGATTGAACATAAAAGTCATATTTAGTAAAATCAATATCTAATTATTGTTTGTGATAGAGAAAAACTTTTGAAACGCAATAAGAAACTTCATTTTTTAGCAAACTTACGTGATCATTCATTAATTGTTTGAAAAAGTTTCCATCGTGCCCTGAATTGATAACAATTTTTTTTTGGGTAAGGTTATAAGGCTTTTCTTATTTATTCATGATTTAATTTGTTTATAAACATCTGTCATAAATGATTGTAAAATTATCAAATATAATAATTAAAGCGATTCTTTCAACGAATTAAACTTTAATTAAAAGTTTTAATTCTCTATCAATGTCATTCTTTTAAATTGAATTTACCTAACATCGAACTCTTTCAACGACTGCTTCGAATTCATTTCATTTCTCTTTACATTGTAAGTAATATTTAAAATGACGATTTAATACAAAATCATTTTTTTCTCAACGATAAAATAAATGCAGGTACACGAAAACATTAAAAAGGGTGATCACATTTACGAGATTAAAAAATATCTCACGGTACCCCAAATTAAATGATTCGAGAACTTCGCATTTCTTTTTCTCTTTTTTAAATTCTTCTTTTAGGTAACTATCACGTGAACTTCTCGTGGCTAAGTATGTTGGAATGAATGCTATTTATATATGAAAAATGCGATGTACGTCGATTCATGAGCAAATATCACGCTCTAGAAGAGAGCGAGAGACCAACAAAGAATCCGAGCGCCATGTGGGAGAAAATGTATTTATGCGAAAGGATTTTTCATTCAATGAATGAATTAATCTTTTCATATCCCACGCTTTTCCATATGAAGCATAAAAGTTATCCAATGAAGAGGAAACATGAAGAAATTTGCGTCAATGAACATCGTCAAACTTTCTATTGCAATTTTACGAAAAAATTTCAAATGTATCGCAAATATGTAGGACTCGTGTTAATATGTTCAAACATAATATTTGTCGATCACTGTCAAAGAAGAAATATAGAAGAGTTATTGCATCAGAAATTAAGGTAGCAAAAAAAATGCCAATAATTTGAACTCGTGTTTGATTCATGATTGAAAAATCAAAATTTCGGGTTGCAATCGCTTAAACTTGAATTAATGAATAAAACGTTGAAGAATGGTAAGTGGGTGGATCAAACCCCAAAAGTTTCACAGTAAATGATTGGTTAAAATGACAGCAGAAAAAAAAATGAAAAAAAAAACTTTAACCATCGTAGCAGCGTTAAAAGAAAAAAAAAGAAGCACGCTCAGTTGTGAATTTTCTTTACTCATTGCTCCGTTTTGTATAAAATATCACACGTTTTCTTCAATACAATTCATTCGAAATTCATTCGTTGAAGTCTACACTCGATTGCTCTTACTAGATTTTTTTTAATCATTATCGGTCTCAACTGAAATAAAAAAATATTAAAAATATTTAAAAGTGCAAATAAGTCAGACATTTTTTCATAGAAAAAAATTAAATCAAATACGACTTAACTATTGCGTTGGAATGTCGTTGTCAAAGTGCTACGAATCTTGAATAAAAAAAATATTTAAGAAAAATTATTCAATTCAGAATTTAAGAATTTGAATAAAAATCAGTGAAAAAAAACTTTAAACATTAAATTATGATAATTTCAATAAAACAGTTTTATTACAATCTAATAATCGAACTGAAAGTTAATTGACGCTTAAGAAAATAGTAAATAAATATTTGGAAAGAAGTAGCTTGAAGTTAAAAGTTTCAGCATTCAAAAGTATGAAAATAATTTCTCGAACGATCACAAGTAGATTCGAGGAATATAAATACGGGTTATCCATAGAGTCTGAAAGTGAACCGGAGTTATTTTGAATTTACATTGATAATCAAGACGAAAACAAATCATTTGTGAACCCCGAAAAGTGCAAACGACACGCGAAATCGTTCCCAGATAAGGCGACAGTTTGTCAGAAGCCGGAAGTAAATAATTAAATAAAATGCAGCATTTAATATTCTTTTTCCTTGTGATGGCTGTATCATTGGTGATAGTGTCACCAGCAGAAATTGGATATCGCCACCACCGTGAAAGACATCATGGAAAGCACCACATGAAAAGAAAAGAAAACTCATCCCAAGATCATAAACGCACACTGCCACCAAATATTTGGACCTTGTTGGCAAGTAATAAAAGCGATGTCGGTACAAAGTACAACAATGACATCGAGCCAAGCCATGATGCGAATGAGATCGTTGATGATTCGTCGGACTTTGAACCATCCGATGATGCTGACGATGAATCAATTAAAAAAGTAGCAGCAAATTGTCCAAAGTGCAAACAAAATAGTGTCAAGATGAGTGAAGATGAACTGGCCAATTTACGTATTGAATATGTCAAGAATCAAATTCTTCATAAATTAAGAATGACAGAAAGACCAGCGCCAGTATCAAAGGATGAACTTCCCGAACCAATACAGGAAGGTTATGCAATCCAAGGCGATGACGACACTGACTATCTGAATCGTCATCTGGACGACTACTTTGCTAAAACTACACAAAAAATCATCTTTCTCACTCAAGGTAAATTTTTATTTCTTTATTAATATTTGAAAACAGAAATATTGTGAAATTAAAAAAGAATCAAAGTTTCAAACTCGTGATGGAATAAAAATCTTCGAGAATCTTTTAATATCACTCATGTGACATGAGTTTTAAATATCAATGAACCGCGCTTATAAGAGTGCGACAAAATTTACTTGGAATGAATGAATTCTGATTATTTATTAGACGAGAAGAGAGAAAAAGAGAATTTTGAACATTAAATAAATAAAAAAATTATCATCTCAAACTTTCAGAGCCTGAAAAGTGTAAATCACATGAATCCAATGAGTATCCGTCGACATGCTTTTCATTCCAAATTCCATTTGATGTTGATGTCAGCACAGTTGAATCAGCGCAACTCTGGTTATATAAAGAACCTGGTAAGAATTTAGTTTTCTTTTTCTTTAATTACATTATTCGCTTATCAGTGTCAAGTCACTTGACTAAATTGTATAAATATTTCACGTATACTGACTGATAAGCTACAAAAGATCGTCACGTTCATATCACGTTTTCATAATTAACCTCTCATCAAATTTTATTTCATTTTTAAAGATAGCCCTGATTACGGCTCAAAGCAAACGTTTCTCTTATCAGAAATTGGTCATTGGGGGTCTAATATGAACTTCACCAAGGCTAAACCAATTGCTATCAAGGAAATGGATTACAGCGGCGAGGCATGGGAAAAGATTGACATCGCATGGCCCGTGAAAAATTGGGTTGAATATCACGATTTATCTCACACAATTCAAGTTGCATGTGAGACGTGCAGTGCTGGAAGTATTCCAATTTCCACGCACAACGATCGCAAGCCTTTCATCGTCATCGACACATTCCCTCAAAGAACCTTAAGTCGTCAATCACGAAATGTAAACTGTGGTCCGGGATCAAGTGAATGTTGTCGCGATTCGCTCTACATCGATTTTTCTACTATCGGATGGGATGACTGGATCATTCACCCGAAAGGCTATAATGCTTATTTCTGCCGTGGAACATGCAATCGAGTAGCTTCTATCACTAAAGCTGGTACACATCACAGCACTGTTCTGAATGTGAGTTCGATCAACCTTCAACTGTATAAACTTTATATTTATTAAAATCTTTTCTTTTTCTGTTACCGATAACAGAAATTTATGCATCATGAAAGCAAAGGCAAGAAAAAGAAGCTCGAATTGGTTCCATGCTGTACAGCCACAAGATACACTTCACTTCAAATATTTTATCTTGACAGCAACAAAACTGCCACACAAGTTACACTTCCGAATATGATAGTAGAATCATGTGGATGTTCATGAGATTAGCTTTTAAATTTATCATACTTAAACATTATGTTCACTTTACACATTTTATTTATAATTTTTCTAATGTAAGTAAGTTAAGTAAGAAACAAACATGCCACCATGAAACTTTGCTTAACCATCAGAATTGATTGTGAAATTATTCAATAATTTTGCTATAATTATTTAAACATTTCATAGTGAGCTTTCTTAATTATCTAACAAATTCTTGATAAACTTTTTTCTTTGTCTTGTCTCGTCTGTTTTTGTTTTGTAAAGCTTTCATGTCTAAAACAATTGAACACGAATATTTTATATTATTGAAATTGAGAAGCTAACCGCCATAAAGAAATTAAAAATCGTGATAAGAATTCAATTCATTGATAAAAATGAGCCATTCAACAATTATCACGAGAATAGTCGAGAAACATTTAGATAAGGTTTAAGATTGTGATGATAAAGTATTTTTTTATGATACAAACTGACGAAATAAAATGCAGATACAATTAAGTGTTAGTAGAAAACTTAAATTTTGATTTGTATCAGCTGCTAAATTACTTTTGCTTTCATTATCTACACAAAGGGGATTTTTATGTGAGACTGGACCAACGCAACTAGCAAAACTGATAACATACGGAATATAATTTTGCTCGAACACTCCTTGAATCAATCTTGACCCTGGCCCGATTGCGAACACGCCTACATCTTCACCCGAATGCGTGCCATCGGGCATAGGGATCAAAGATGAATGCATGTAGGTTGGCGCTGCTCGTTGGCTATCAGAGAACTGAGTTATGTTAATAAATCTATTCGTGTCATTTGAAACATGCATGTAATAGCCTGGACCAGTTGAATAGACTAAAGTCTCATACGGCTCTGCATCTGGTTTATTTCCCATTCCGAAAATGTCACTTCCTCTTGTGGGATATCCATTGAATACCATGGAATGTGCGTGATCAGCTGTCACGATTATCAGGGTGTCGTCTGAAGTCATATCAACAGCTTCCTGTATTGCTCGTTCAAATTCAACCATTTCTTCAATAGCTAATCTTGCATAATTTTGATGATGCGCTTGATCGATTCTTCCACCTTCAACCATTAGTAAAAATCCGTTTTTGTTCTTTTTGTTGTCAAGTATTTTTATAGCAGTTTTTGTCATTTCTGTCAGAGAAGGTTGTCCATCCGATCCTTTATCACGAACACTTTCATAATCCATTTGATTATTTGAAAAAAGTCCCAGAACATGATCGATGTCGTCAATATTAAGAGCAATCATTTCTCCCGAAGTTGTTACGTATTTGACATTTGTTTTGTTGTCAAATTGTTGAAAATATTTTTCAACCAAGTTCTGAGAGTCATTGCGATTACACGAAATCTCAGCAGTTCCACTGAACTTGAACTTGCTTTCTTGCTTTTTCGACGCTCCCAAAAAGTCTCTTCCACCACCAAATATCACGTTCATACCTTTGCCTGGATAATCTTCAACGAGCTGTCGCGCAATGTCTTTATAATATGATCTCATAAATTCAGGAACTAAAAAAATCATAATTCATAAATTTGAATCTATTTTTAACTCTTTCAATTCAATCAAGAAAATTACCGTTTGTATCACATTCGTAGTTTCTTTTTGCAGCATAAGCATAAGTCGCTATAAAAAAAATTATTTCTAAATTGCAACCAAAGAAAAGTTTTTTTCTTTCATCAATTTTCTTACCCGCCGGTGTTGCATGTGTTATTCTAGAATAATAAATCAAAATATTTATGGTCAGATTATTATTAAACTTTTTGTTGTATGAACATTATCATTATTATCTCACAGAATTTAATTTGAATGTTCTAATATTTGTAGAAGTAAAAATGTTTAAAAAGCTTTGCTCAAAAGCATTTTAAAAGCTCGCGATATATTGAAATATGAAATAAATTTGTAAAAAACTGTGTAACCAAACATTACTCATTCACATCAAGTAGACTAAAAATATTTTGACAATGATAATTGAGCAAAGTCGCTAAATCGGTAACAAAAGCTGTCAAATATGAAATAATTTAAGCACTTTTTAATGCTTTTATGATTAATTTAAATATCGAAATGATTGATTGTATTTACTTATTATTTCATTCTCTGAATCGCCAGAAAAAATAAATGATATCAAACATAAAATTGCCGGTATGTAAAGCAATTAAAATCCAAACTGTTTGATGATATTTCAGACACGATAATTAAAATGTGTAGAGACACGTGACTAGATTTATTTTTATTAAATTAAATTTGCTTGACTGTCATCGAAATGTTATCTACTCAGAATCACAAAGTTGTGTTGCCTTGCATCTCAATAACATTTTATAACATTTTCATAGTTAAACTAAATGCAATGTCAATAACAACTTTTATAGTAAATTTTACATCAATTCTTCAAAATTTTGCATTTGAACGCAAGCAAATCGAAAAAACGAAATGAAAAGAAGCGATCACTTTGTATTTATGCGCAAATAAAGCCAAAAAGAAGACGAAGCACTCAAGTTCAATGATTCTTTTATGAATTTTATACCTTAAAATTATGAAAAGAAAATTTACCTTGTTGTGGTCACGATTCCTGTTCGCTTTTTCATTGCTTGTGCCCAATCAATAATGCCCTTCATGCGATCGTTTGCTGTACTTTCGTCACTTGCAGGATTTAATCCAATCGCACCAATGATTGTTTTTACACCAGTGAATAGTGCAGTTGCAGTTCCGGCCGAATCTGGAACTTGTTTATCAGTATTGTAAGTCTTTGCCATTCCAATATGTGGAAATGATTCAAATACTAATTCGGCCTCTTCTCCAGACCTTTTTTCCATTTGACCTTTTAACACTCGTCCAGCTGCAATGGTAGCAAAGGACATTCCATCGCCAATGAATAAGATGACATTTTTTGCTTTATCAACTCCTTTGATGTCTTGAGATTTAAGAATTTTACTCAAATACCTTTCAGCGTTTTCTCGCCAAAATGCTTGATCGTCATTATTTGGCGATCTCCAAACATAACTTTCAACAAGAATTCCTTGTAATAGAATCAGCACAATTAATAATAAAAACTTTTTAATTTTTTCTTTGAAATTATGCATTTTTGTTATAAGCTAAGCTATCAAATATTGATGTTTCACGACCGAGCTTCTGTTTGCAACTGAGAATTTTACATATCGATGGAGAAAAAAAGTTTCCATAAAAATATTTATTCTCATGTCTCTTTTCTCATGATGTATAGAATGAATATTCTATTGTTAAGATATGTTTTCTAACTCATTTACATTGATAACACGGTTTTCTCGTATCTGACGAGAAAAAAAGATCAAAGCTTAATCTGTCTTATTATCAGCTGCCTCATTTAAGTTAAGAGTGAGCATTCTAAATTGATGTTGTGATGATCAACTGCTGGTTTTGCTATTGTCTACCCTTTTTAACAGGTTGACTTTTATGGGAATTTCTAGTTGATGAAATATCTTACGACAATTTAAAATTATTTTAATTAGTCAAGGTATTCATCACTGATATTTTTTCTCTTTGTAAAAACAAGCTTATTAAGAATTTCATGTACAAACGAGATAAAACAAATAGAACTTTGTCTGGGCAAATAAACTCCAATAATTTTAAAACAAGAGTGATCATAAAATTGTGGAAAAGCCCTCAATATTCTTTGGTAGTAGCAATAACCTTATAGATCTTATTTCTTACTAAGTTGTCAAATTATTTTATATTAGACAAAGATATGCTGCATCAGAAGAATTCGCCTGCTATTGTAACCGAAATGTACAAATAAAAATTAAATAAATTAATATTTATATACTTCTTGTTATTTGTTTACCTAACTAATCTCGATTTATTAGAAAATATTAAAGAAGTAATATTTATGGATCTAAATATCTCTGGATTTTTGATACACTAATCATGACACCATCGCTTAAGAAAATAGTTGTGGAAAAATTGTGTCCTTTGAATTGCTACTTAGTTTAAGATCGTGACCTAGTTAAATTGTTGTTCAGAATCGATTTAGAAAAATTAAAGAGTTTCAGATATTTTTGTTAAAAAAACTTAACTTTATAACTAATTACGATATTCAGCATGTGTCTTGTTGAATGATTTTAACTTTAAGAAAGATAAAAGAAAAAAAAGTGTCAATATGAGGCAATAGACCTCATTGAGAATTTGCTAGGAAAAACCGTGATTATCTATTATTAACGAAATATTTAAATTCAAAATATTCTACTACAATCTTTTGTCGTTCATCTGGTACTACAATAAATGTTTGAAAACCTTCGTTAAGTCTAAGTCCTTTCGTTTCTATTCCGACGTCAGAAGTAAAAAATAAATAATTAACGTTCTAGATAAAATGAACATTAATTGTGTAATTTGTTCGGATTTATTTGTTTCATCGGACAACATATTTACAACACCTTGTGGGCATATCTTTCATTACAGTATGTATAAATTTGTATTCAAGAATTTTATCTCTCTGCAACTAAAAGCTTGTTTGTAGAAATATTCAGAAAATAAACCATTTTTATTTTCAGCCTGTTTAATCCAATGGTTGGAACGTTCTAAATCATGTCCTCAATGTCGAAATAAATGCAACGAAAGAAATATATTTCGTATCTATTTTAACAATGCCGTTAATTTGGATTCTACTCAAACAAGTCCAGAAAATCTTCTTCAATCGATTGATGAACTTACATTAAAAATCAGAGAAAAGGATCATTTATTAAAAAAAATTGAAGATCAAAGTTCAAAGCTTGAAAATGTTTTGAAAACCAAAGAGTGAGCAAATCTAAGTAAAGTGAAACAATTAAGCATTAAAATTTCTTTTATTTCTTTTTAGCAAGCGAATAGAAAAGCTTGATGTTTCAAATTCTAGAAATGTGCAAATAATCGCAACATTACGCCACGAAATGGACATTCTATCAAGTAATCGAGCTAATTATAAAGCAATAGAAATCGAAAATGCTGAATTAAAATCAAAACTGGACTTGATGTTGTCAATTGAAAGTGTCCTGACAGCTTCGCAAAAAGAAGTTGACGAGATTCTTAAGCAGAATTTAAATACCAGAGACTTATCAGTGATGGTAGGAACATTGAGACGTGAACTTAACAATAATGAAATACGTAAAAATGAGCTGAGAAAGCAAATACAAATGCTTAAGAATGATATTCGTGAAGAACAAGAAGAGATAAGAAATCTCAAAGATAAACAAAGTTCTTATGAGAGTGAAAACAACAGACTCAAAATAAAGCTTAGAAAACTAATGAAGGAAGACACGGATGACTGCGGTTTTGAATCACCAGGACCTTCAAAATCTTGCGTATCATTAGTTGTCAGTGAAGGCGATATAAATACTCCTTCTCCATTGTCAGAAAATGAGTTTGCAAAAAGAGTTAAACTTGTGAAGGAGTCAGAGTCCCCATACTTAAAAGTAAAGTCAAGTAACATAGCTCTAACATCAATTTATAAAAGACCTGCTGATTACTTTAATCTCCTGAAAAAACCGAGTTCTTCCAATGACTTGAATAAGTTGTCAATTTTTAAAAGACCGAGAATTGAAATGGATACGAAAAGTTCGACAAATAATTCAGAAAACGTTGTTTACAATGGTCTAGGAGGAACGACAAAAGTGCTGCTTTCTGATCTTAAGAAGTCTTCATCAACATCTCAACTTTACGATCTTAAGAAGTCCTTAATACCACCTCAAATTTCCGTTGTGAGTAAAAGGAAAAAGTTATCACCAAACGTATTAGGAAAATAAATCATTCAATTTTCACTTCTTGTAATAAAATTTATGTTTGTTTTTGCAAGAAACTTTTTGTATCTTTTATTTCATTTTTTGCTGGAATCAACGAAGCAGCTTACAACTTGATAGATTGACGTTTTTTGTCCTTGTTCTCTTTGGCACGTTTGTCTGCTTCATCACGTGTTACGTTGCCTTTCTTTGAGAAACGAAGGTTACGAACGAATTTAGCATCCATCTGAAAGGAATTCATACATTTAGAATATTTTTCATTTTAGATTTTGCTTTTCAAACTTACACCAATTGATGACTCGTGGCGATTACGAGCTGGACGTTTAATTCCATTTTTATGAGCCTTTTGGTTCTGATTATGATTGGTATGATTCTTTGACTTGGCCATTGTTTATAATTATTCTGTAGGAAATGATAAATTATAGAAAAAATTAGTTTTTTGGTTAGAAAATTGTAAAATATTTATTTTTGAAATATCTCCAATCATGGAGCTTATTTCAAATGATATTTATAACATTTTTATTGGAAGACTTTTTAACTTTTAATTAGAAATTGTTTTACATTAACAACTATTCTAGAAACTCCAGTAAATAAATAAATTTAAGATTTATGAAATAATTTTGTACCTCCAAGCACGACGTTCGAAAAAAGAGGAAGAAAATTTGATTTTTCGAAAACGGTTAAAAATTTATTATTAGGTAATATACAAAAAAATTAAAAAATTCATTAGTGCAATTTTTAGAATAAATTCTGATGAGAATAAATTTTAAAATGAAAATGTTTTGTTTTCTAAATAAGATTTACTCATTGGTGATTGGCTTTTCTGCAGTTCCTTTCCATTCCTCTTCTAAATGAATTTTAGCTCCCAAATCTCTTAAAGCTGCTTTCGTGTCATGATCAACTGAAGGATGATTCTTCCGAGCAAGGCTCAATACATCTTCAGCTCCCAAATTCATCCAAGTTTCACATTGTTCTCGAGATCGTGACACCATATTACGAATAGCCCATGCGCCATTTCTCTGCACTAATTTATTTTTCTCGTGAATTTTCAATGTCTCAATGACAGTTTCAGCTATGCCAGCTTCAAATAACGCTGATGAGTTATCTTTCACTCTGAGAGCTAATGTCGAAATACACACGAGAGCGCTCTTTGCAATGGTTTCATCACATTTATGACGATTTAAAGAGCTTTCAATAATAGGAGCGATGCCGCATTTTATAATATCTGCTTTGACTTTATCATTTCCAGCAAGTGCTTTAAGAAGTTTAAACGACTCACGAATAACTTTGATAGAATCTTGAAATTCAACCATTGCATCCATAATAAGAGTGATTCCTCCAGCGTCTGCAATCATTTCGCAGAATTCATTTCTTACAGTTAATGAAGCTATTGTCAACATTAACTCTGATAACATATCAGGATTTGATTTGAATTTGGTCATCAAACTTGTCAACTCCACTAAACATTCTTGAGCGATCATTCTTGCGTGCTCATGTGCTTTTCCAAATTCTACTCTTATATCATCATCAAGAATCAAATATCGGAAACAAATCGAAACGTTTTTAATAATTTCAGTTTCATTTCTCTTTAAAAGAGGCTTCAAATGCTTAACAAGGATGTCTTCATTCACAATCAACTGACGGTTCATTTCATGGAGCAAACACGCTTTTTGAATCCATTTTAAGACATCGCAAATGATGTTTTCATTTGTTAATGAATCAAGCAATCTGATGGAAGAGAAATTACTTGTAAAACTTTTTTATTAAGCTATACATATTTATTTTTTCCACTTACTCTAATATCACGGACAGCGATTTGTCGTCGAAAATGTCGGGATTTTTATTCGTCATTGCGTGGGCGCTTAAAATCAATTTATGCATTATCTTAAAATGGAGAAGATTTTTAAAATGTGCAATTTAATGTTTCTTTTCTCTTCAACCTACTGAATTAGCGCGATCACTATCATTTGCCCAAAGCTCAGTTTTTATGAGTTTTAGAAGATAATCTTGGGTATTATTTTTTGATGCATTTACTCGATGTGGAACTGACTTGCTTAGTTCTGATATCAGAACATCCAATGCTTTCTCTAAATCTCCATCACTTTGATCATATGGGTTGTTGACACAATTCTTTATTTTCTCGATAGTTTCACTTAATATAGGTTGACCTGTAGTTTCATTTATTGTTAAATCTTTAATGATGTTCGCTAAGTTAACTCCTTGTGCTTCAAATTGTTTGATTGTTTCTTCTCTGGATTCTTCAACTGACATCGAGAATTCTATGATGTTTTCCTTGATGACTTCATCGTACGTTTCTTGGGAAATTACCTTTGCCATCTTCTTTTTCAAGCTGTTAATCTCTAAGTTTCCAATGACTAATTTTTTAAGGGTGAATGAACTTTTTAAGTCACTGAATGTGAATGTTTTGGAAGGAATTGAATGAGTAAATAAGAATTTATGATTTTTTTTGAAAGAATTCGAAAAGAAAAGTGTAAAATTAATAATTGAATTGTGTTTTGTGTTTTCAATAGGAGATCGTACGGAGAAAATTGTGAAAATGAAAACTTTGATATTTTTTTGTGTTGACTTTTTGTTCGAAAATGACGTTCGGACAAGAATGAATTTTGTGAGTGATTTGCGAAAATTCTAGAAAGCTAACATTTTATCGAAAATTTCAAGGGAAAAAGAAATTACACGATTTAATCGTAAACTTTCTTTTGTTTCTATTTCTAGCAACTAGTAAGAACAATTTTTTTTCGAAATGGAAGATGATTGGCGTAAGTTTGAATAAATACTACTGATAACCGAAAATTTGAAATGAAAAGAGACAAAAAGAAGAAAATTAATTTTTTTTTGTGTTAACGTTTATAGAAAGAATAGCTGATGACAGCATCAAACCAACACCAATAGTTATTCCAGCTGATGTTAACAAGTGGGCAGGTGAAGACGAAGAAGATGATATCAAAGTGGGTTTATTTCTAGTCATTATTCCTTTACCTGATGATGACATTTAAAATCAGGTTAACTTTCACTTATTATTGTTTTCCTTTTTATATCATTGGAACTTATCAGGATAGCTGGGATGCTGAAGATGATGATGAAAAGAAAGATGAAGAGAAAAATGATAATGCACCACTATCAAAGCCTAAGAAAAAACTCCAACAAAAGATATCAGAAAAAGAGGTGAGTTGTCTCATGTCTTTATCTCACATTCATTTAAATTCGTGAAACTCATTACAAAAACTTACAGAGACAAAAATTAGAGCTTGAAGAAAAACGTCGGAAAGAAAAAGAAGAAGAAGAGTATGCTAAAATGACTCCTGAAGAACGTGAAGCCGAGAAAAGGCGATTGCAGAAGCTTCAAGAAGAAGCTGACACGAGAACAGCTCTTGATACGTTAGGTTTGTCATCATCATCAAGTGCCACTATCGACTCGTTCAATCCTAAAACTAAGGAAGATTTTATGGAATTTGCTGAATTACTTAATAGAAGAATTCAAATACATAAGTTACACGAAGAATATGTTCCGTTCCTTGATGAACTTGTGAAAGGATTATGCGCCGGATGTAAGCTAAAACAAAATATCAAAAATATTCCTTTATTAACTTTCTTTATTAATTTTATTCAGTGCAATCAACGAATATTAAAAAAATTAAAACAACAGTAGATAATCTATTCATAGAAAAGCAGAAAATTGAAAAGGGAGATAAGCCGAAGAAAAAACCTGCGGCAAAAATCAAAGCCAGGCTTCGAATGGAAGGAGATGTGAGTTGATTTAAAAGGCAAAGAAGTTAATAGCGATTACATGATTGTTATTAATATTTTTTAGGATGATTTCATGACTAGAGCTGGTGCTTATGAAGCCGATGATTATGACGACTTCATGTAAATAAAGCCTCTGCATGTCAAGTGATTTTCATTGTTGAAGCTCAAAGTTATCGTTCAGTACCAATTTTCGGTATATTTTTAATCATGATCATCAGCAATGAAAATCACATAAACACACACACAAAATGGAACTCAACGATCGCTTTGCTTCTGGTTTAAAGTCACACGTTAAAACTAAATGAAAACTTCATTTTACAAAAGAAAAAAAATATCTCTCAATTTTTCAATAATTTCACATAAATTTGGTGGAGATTTCACTTTAATTATTGAAATTAATAGATAAAGTGATAATCCTACATCTTATTTTCAGCTGAAAACATTTCATTGTTGATATATGAACAATTTTGTTAATAAAAAAATAAATAAAAGGAATGGGATGAATTTTGAAGTCAATGAAAATTTATTTTTTTATTCAAAATCTTTTCAGAACTCTAATAAAAGTATCTCGAGGTACATTAACGTTTGCAATTGATCTCATTTTCTTTTTACCTTCAGATTGCTGCTTTAACAGTTTCATTCGTCTTGTGACGTCACCACCATAAAGCCACTGAGTCACGTCCTTGCGATAAGCTCTAATTGTCTCTCTCGCAAGAACTTTTCCACCCACAACACCTTGAATTGCGATCATCACCATTTGTCTTGGAATTAACTCTTTTAATCTTCCAACTAAATCTTTTGCAAAAGTCTCAGCATTTCTTGCATGAACAATATTTGAAAGCTCTTCAACAGGCACTCCATTCAAAAGTATTTCAAGCTTTACTAAGTTTGTGCTTACATATTCTTTCTCCTCGAAATCAAAGCTCGCAAAGCCTGAGGATAAAGACTTGATGTGATCGTGAAAATCGACTACAACTTCTGACAATGGTAACTGATACGTCATCATAATACGATTTTCATCGAGATTTATCGACGACTTTTGAATGCCACGCTTCTCAATACATAAACTGATAATCTTTCCAATATATTCGCTTGGCGTTATGATTGTGCCAAGAACTGTTGGCTCAAAATATTCTTCAACATGATTTGGTTCAGGAAGAAATTTCGGGTTGGAAACAGAAATAATTTCTTTACCTCCGTGTTGTTTCAGAATGTTTTTCATGTTTTTTAATTTAATTTTGTAGGTAACAGAAGGTGCGGTGATAATCGGCTCTGCTTGATATTCTTGTTGAAGTCGTTGAACGAATACTTCAAGATGCAATAAACCGAGAAAGCCAAGTCGAAAGCCATGGCCAAGTGCCGGACTTGTTTCGGGTGCAAATGTCACAACAGAATCATTCAACACGAGCTTTTCAATTGCACCTCTTAATGCAACATGTTGTGATTGTTCTGAAGGATAAATGCCAGCAAAAATCATTGGACGAAGTTTCTTAAAAACTTCCAATGGCTCAGTTGGTGATCCTTTCAGGTGATAAGTGTCACCGATGACAGCTTCCTTGGAGTTTCTCATGTTCATTCCAATTAAGCCAATTTGACCCGCGATTAATTTCTTAACGTTCTTCTCTTCTGGTGTTAACAACGAAAGTGACTTAACAATGTAAATTTTTTTGCTCTCACATGACACAATTTCCTGACCAAGTTTGACTTCCCCATCTTTGATGAACATGAGATTAAGAGCGCCGCGATATTTATCGTACCATGAATCAAATAAGTGAGCTCTGAATGCTTCATCTCTACATGATTCAGGGGGTGGAATTTTCTTGATTATATGTTCAAAAACAGAGTCAATGCCAATTCCAAGTTTTGCTGATACTCTCAGAACATCTTCAGGAAGAATATCAAAAAGAGAAAATAAATCTTGCTCGACTTGCTCTGGATTTGCATGTTTCAAATCAATTTTATTTAGAACTGGTACAATCTTAAGATTCTTCCCAACTGCTAGATGGTAGTTTGCTATTGTTTGAGCCTGTACGCCATGATTTGCGTCAACTAACAAAATCACGCCTCCCGACGCTGAAAGTGAACGACAAACTTCATTTGCGAAATCGACATGACCAGGAGTGTCAATTAGGTTCAGAAGATATGTTTCTTCTTCATGTTTATAAAGGAGACTCACAGCATTTGCCTTTACTGTGATTCCTCGCTCTTGTTCCACTTCTAATGCATCCAACACTTGATTTTTACCGGAATTTTTCTTTTTTGCTCCTGTCACTTCTAAAAGACGATCTGCTAATGTAGATTTACCGTGATCAACATGAGCAATTATGCTGAAATTTCTGATGTTTTCAACTTTGACAAAGTAATCTTTAGTATCGTCATCTGGAGATGATGAAAACTTTCTTGAGCATGATCTGAAAATAAATAAAATTTATTACATTTCGTTCAATGATTGTTATTGATTCGAAAGAAGTTCAAATGTTACTTTATTATTCTATAGTCTTTAATTTTAAAACCTTTTCTATACTGATTACTAAGCGAATAATTTAAAAATTTTCTTATCATATTTTTTTTTAATTTTATTTTTAATCACATTTTCGAACAAACATTCGAACCTCGAATATTTTGAAGTTTAAATTTCTGGAAATAAAAACTATTTTAAAAGGAAATGAAAGCCTTTTTTAAGACCTTCTTTAACACGACTTTAACTTAAATTCTTTCCTAGAAGCTTTGAATATTTACTTTCAGTATCGGAATTATAAACAAATATTTTTAACGGCCTTTTTAATTTTAAACTTCATTGTTTTGATTTTCGAAAATTATTTCGCAATGTAAACAAATAAAAATCTCTTCATATTTAAATGAAAATATCAGAAAAAGTACACTTCAAACTGACTTAAAAATTATTTAAATATTTTATTAACAGCTTACAAAATGCGAGCAATACCGAAATGGGTTGAAAAAATCCACGAACAAAGTGATAAAAGTGAACTAGCGAGGTAAAGATAGCTTCCTTAACTTCCCATGTAATTTATCTTATTTATCTATTATTTAAAGCATTCATGCAACATGTTTCCATCCAGATGCACTACAATTAATAGTTGGTGCAGGTGATAAAGTTTTGGTTTACGATGCAAGTGATGGAAATTTGATCGAAACTTTAAAAGGTAAAATCATTGAAATAACAAAAATCGATATTTTAATAAAATTAATAAATAATTAATTTACTTAGGCCATAAAGATATTGTTTATTGCCTTGCTTATAGTCGAGATGGAAAACGTTTTGCAAGTGGAAGTGCTGACAAAACAGTCATCATTTGGACACAAAAACTCGAAGGTGTCCTCAAATACTCTCACAACGATGGCATTCAGTGTTTGGCATTTAATCCAGTATCACATCAGTTGACAAGTTGTGCAATTGGTGATTTCGCATTTTGGGCATCTGAGCAAAAGAATGTTCAGAAATTCAAAATCTCAGCAAGAATTAATTGTTGCTCATGGACACTTGATGGTCAATACATAGCTTTGGGTTTGGCTAATGGAACAATCAGCATTAGAAACAAACTTGGTGATGAGAAAATCAAAATTGATCGAGGTAAAGCGCCAATATTTGGTCTTCAATGGGCACCAAAAACAACGTCACCGAATCCAGGCCCTGTTGACATTCTTGCTGTTGCCGATTGGAATCAAACTTTAAGCTTTTACACAATAAGTGGTCAAATAATTGGGAAAGAACGCACTCTTGGGTTTGATCCACTTTGTCTGAGTTTCTTCTCAGATGGGGAAAGTTTGGTCGTGTCAGGATGCAACAAGCAACTTCAATTATTCACTCGAGAAGGAATTCGACTTGGAACACTCGGCGAACCTCACGACTCATGGATTTGGACAGCTTCACCACATCCCCATGGAACTGCAATTGCTGTCGGATGTCAAGACGGTTCTCTGGCTTATTATAATCTGGCATTTAGTACAGTTCATGCATTATATCGCGAACGTTATGCATATCGTGAAAACATGTGCGACGTGATTATTCAGCATTTAGTGTCAGGTCAAAAAGTTCGAATTAAATGTCGCGATCTCGTTCATAAAATTGCAATTTATCGCCATCGTCTCGCAGTGCAACTTCCAGAGAGAGTTGTTTTATATGAATTGAGTTCAGCTGACAATCAACCGATGCATTATAAAGTAAAAGAAAAGATCTCAAAGAAATTTAATTGCAGTTTGCTTGTCGTTTGTTCTGAGAATCTTGTCTTGTGTCAAGAGACGAAGTTACAAAGTCTCGATTTCAACGGCGATTTACAACGTGAATGGATAATGGATAGCTTCATTCGTTATATTAAAGTAACTGGCGGACCAGCTGGATGTGAAGGTCTCATGGTTGGACTTAAGAATGGTCAAGTTTGGAGAATTTTTCTTGACAATTCATTGCCAATTCTTGTCACAACAGTTCTTTCATCTGTTCGATGTCTTGATTTAAATTCAACAAGAACAAAGCTTGCTGTTGTTGATGATGCTGGTCGTATGATTGTCCGTGACTTAACAACTGACAGTTTGTTGTATCAAGACGCGGGTGTCAATTCAGTTGCATGGAACACAAGTCTCGAATCAATGCTTTGTTATTCACATACAAATGGTGGTTTAAGTATTCGTGTCGGTTCTTTACCACCAAAAAATCCTCAAAGCATGATTGGCGTTGTTGTTGGACTTTGTGGTGCAACAGCTTTCTGTTTGAGAGGAAATGTTATGAGCAACGTTCCTCTTGCATTGAGTGCAACGCTCTGGCAATTCGTGGAAGCGAATTTGTATGAAGAAGCTTATGAAGTCGCATGTCTTGGTGTTACTAACAACGACTGGGATGGTTTAGCTCATGCAGCGTTAGATGCATTGAACTTTAAAGTGGCACAAGACGCTTTTGTCAAGACAAGAAATCTCCCGTGGCTTGAGTTTATCAACGAGATGAAAGGAAGGCAAAAGCACGGAGATGTTTCGAAAGAATTTCTTCAAGCAGAAATTTTAGCGTTTGCTGGGAAGTTCAAAGAAGCTGCAAGACTTTATCAAAAAAGTGGACAAAGTAATAAAGCTTTGAACATGTACAGCGACTTGAAAATGTTTGATCTCGCGCAAGAGTTTGTGAAGGAAGGTGAAGAGAATAGCGAGGATAGGAAAGAGTTGGTGAGACGCAGAGCTGAATGGGCTTGCTCTGTTCATGAGCCAAGAGCAGCTGCTGAATTATTGATGGCAGCCGGCGAGACACAAAGAGCGATTGAGATTGTTTCGGAACAAGGTTGGACTGATTTGTTGTTAGACATTGGAAGGAAATTGAATGTCAATGACAAAGCATCACTTGAACTTATTGCTGAACATTTAAAGCGGCTGAAAGCTTTGCCACTTGCGGCTGAAATTTATCGTAAGCTTGGTGAAGAGTCTCAAGTCGTTCAACTTCATATTGAAGCGAGAGATTGGCAAGAAGCTTTTCGATTAGCTGAGAAATTGCCACAAATCTTACCTTCAGTTCATTTACAGCATGCTAGATGGTTGGCTGACTCTGATCAATTTATTGAAGCACATGAAGCATTTGTGCTTGCTGGAAAACCAAAAGAAGCTCACATTTTGCTCAGAAATCTTGCTGATTGTGCTGTAAGCGAAGAAAGGTTTTCCGATGCTGGTTACTTTACATGGCTAAGAGCGAAGCAATTACTGAAAATGATGGAAATGAACCCTAATGAAACATTGCCTCAACACATCAAAGAATTTAAACTGCTGCTGCAATTAGCTTCGATTTATTATGCTTACACAACAATTCATTCGTATTTACGTGAACCATTTACAAGTTCACCACCTTTGACTCTCTTTAATACGAGTCGATTTATTGCTAATCAGATAAGCAACAGCAGTCCACCGAAGGGTATCAGCATGTTTGCTGTTTATTACACGCTTTCAAAGCAAGCGAAAGTTCTCGGAGCGAACAAACTTCACCTTCAAATTAATAATAAATTGCAAACATTGAAAGCGCCGAGTGGAATTCAGGAGCAAGTTGACATTAACATCATGAATTCGCGTGCAGCTGTTGGTGGGTTTAGTGATCCTGAAGAACTTCTGCCAATGTGTTACAAATGCTCAAACTTTAGCATGCATTTGAGTGGCAATCAATGTCAAAATTGTCAACAAGAATTCATCTTTTCATTTGTATCGTTTGAGATTTTACCGCTTTCTGAATTTCATCCTGAAAGTGACATAAGTCAAGAAGAGACTGAAAGATTGCTGATGGCACCGCCACGACCGAATGAAGCTGTCGATCCATTTACTGAAACAATCATTCAAGATGAGATTAGTGACTTGTTGCCTTTGACACTCAATCGTGAATTGCTTAGAGCGATTGATCCAAGAAATGTCATCATGATGAAATGGCCGGAACCAATCGGCACGAAATATTACAGAAATCTTCTTCCTGAACTTCAGATAACGATTTGTCAAGAATGCATTCAAGCTTTTCATTCGGAAGATTTCGAGATTCAAGTGTTGCAGAAAGGTTGTTGTCCCTTTTGTCGTACTACTTCTGGAGCCTTTTAAAGAATTTAAATTATTAAACGAGCACGAAACATGCACAAAACGCCTTAAAACATTCTCACATTCCGTCCAATGAAATGTGATTTTTATTGTCTATTTACGTATTGATCTCACTGATGACATTATTAAATGTTTACTTATTAAGATAATAAAATAAACTTTGCACTTTAAAGAATAAATTTGTTGATAAATTTCACTCAACATGCTGACAAACATTTTCAGAGAATTCAAGTTCTCAGCCCTGATGTTAATTCAACACTTAATATTGACATGCATTGTTGAGAATGCATTTTTGCATCCGGAAACAAACGCACGAGTTGGCGAATGTAAATATTGCAATTGCATGGATTTGTCGCCTAGAATTTCTCTCACGAAAGTGTGAAATTTCGGCTACAAACTTTTTATGTTTCGTTTCATGCGTGCAGAACGAAATCACAAACTTCAAGACAAACTTAATAACAAAAGCACGAAGTGAAAAAAGTTTTTCATTTGATGTTTAGGAAATTGAATTAAACATGTTAATTGTTAATTTCTAGATTGATCATTTCATTTTTCACCGTACAATTAGCAGGATAAATTTAACACCCACGCTAATCAGTGATTAAATTCTTTTGACTCTAACGATCGTATGTTGGAAATTTTTATGCTTTTATTTCGTTGCTTTGCTAATTAAAACAAGTTGTACAGAATAATTACCAAAACATTATCTTCTGATTCACGAATAAGCGTGATTTCAATCCAACTTTCAATTAAGTTAAACGTGGAAAATCTGATAAAGTACGCAATGAATGAACAACATTCTTCTAATCAACGCTATGCGGAATTTTATTGATGATGTAAACAAATGAAAATTATGTACAATTTCCATTCGAAGCGACAAACTTTTATAACGCCTAAATATTTAGTAGCGTGGGCGAATAATATTTGAACATGTGTGATGTTTACACTCCTCATTACAATTTCGTAACATCTCTTATTGGTTTTTGTGTATTTAATTCCTGTAGCATTTTAATGATTCGGATTCAAAGAGATGTTTAAAACTGAACATTCATTCATTCATTCTATGCTGGGAGTGTTGTGTTGTCCCATAGAACAAGTGTAACATATTTATTTGTCGTCTTTTCGTTTATTGTTGACTGAAGGGGAAAATTATTTAAATCAGAAGAACAAAATATTCAGTGAAGTGTCAAATCTACATCCAATTACAACAAATAAATAAACGATTTAATGCTAAAAATACACAATGGTTTCACCTAAACGGAATCAAAGGGACGATTGGAATGCTTGTAAGTGTATTCATTCATGAGGGTTGATTATTGTTGAAACTTACTTTTTCTTAGATATCAAAGCTTCTTTGGACGGTTTAAAGATTAGTTTTAGATTTTTATTTTTTATGAAATGGATCGTTAAGGCGAAAAAGTTTTTTATTTAATATAAAAGTGCAATTGAATTTAAATAACGAAGAATCTTTCATTTCCAAATTCCAATTGTGTTCAAAGTTAACCATTCTTCCCTAAACATCAAATGTAAATTACGAATATTCACTGAGATTAAAAAGAATGTTGAAAAAGGAGAGAAATAAAAATACCCGCGAATAAAATTCTCATTGATATTCACATTTTCCTCTATTTGATGATGTACGAAACCAAATCCAATTCATAACTCATTGAATTTCATTCAAACTCACGCATCGGCAGTGGGTTGTAATTATGGAACCGTAAAAAATAAAATATACGCTCAAAAAAGTACAAAGATAAAATATAAATGAATTGTAAGTTTGCGTTAAACATTGTCATACGACAAACGGAACGAGATGTGAGAAATCATTGTTGTGTCAACATTAAAAATAATTTGCAGCGATTTATTAAATTTTAAATTGCCATCGCTATTTATGTTTCTGGCAGCATTACAATTGCAGTTTTTGACTTGCGGCTTGCGTTTCTCAATGGCAATATAAATCATAGAGGATTTATTTTCAAGTTGTTCTCTTGTAATTTTAAGATTAATTCACTTTTTTTCTTTGTATAGAAAGTAGAAAAATATCTACAGAAAAGAATCTTAAAGTTGCATAAATGGAAAATAAGTTTTAAGAAAGCAAAAGTCGATCAAATTTAAGATATTTGTGAATGATTCGATTGATCTACAAAAAGCAGTCCTGAAATATGAATATCTGCAGAAAATATTCCAATTGAATATTTATTGTGAAAACTAGAGATTCTTTTAGACTGTAACTGATGATTCAATGTTTCCCTCTCAAAATAGAATCTCAAATGCTGAAAAAACGACAGCAATAGAAGAAATATCCTTCAAAAGTAAATAAAACGTGAATTAAATACGAAAATAAGTTTTAGCTATTGAGGGAGTTAAACATTGACGTTGTTCCTTCAACTTTCCACGTTTCCATGAAATAGATTTGAAGATGTTAAAATGTGAACCAGAACTTGCAAATATTCCACAAACGAAACTTGAGAAAATTCGAACCATTTTTCTCTCCAGATAAAAAAGGAATTGATACAATTTACAACTTGTTTTTGTTGGTTGTTTCATGATTTGTTTTTTGATATATAACATGATTCATATAAGTTCGACATAAACAACATCGGAGGCAAAAAGGGAAATAAATCCGTCAGCAAAAAGCATAAGATAGAGTATAAAATGGGGGATATTTTCTCAATAGAATCTGTTCGCTTTATTGTAGCAAAAAGCGGAGATTGTAGAATTGAAGCAATGGATGATGGGGGAGAATAATAAATAAGGCAACGAGGAAAATCCATTGAACAGAAAATTTCACGTTCGAGTTCTTTCAGACTACGATGGAAATGAAAACGGATAAGGGAGAATATCAAGTAGACGGGGGAGTGTCGAGGAATAATCTAAGCTGCGAGTTGAAAACTTCTTCGGGTTGAAGCTTTAAAATGGGAGGCAACAGCAAACGAAGTGAAAATATTCCGAATTATTCTACGTGATTCTTATCGCTCTAGAATTTTAAAGCTTTAAATCTTAAAATAAATAAAAGAATAACAACTTTAATGTTTGCATATCAAATTTGCATTCTTAAAGTTCACAACAGTTCTTCCTTTGAAGAAAATCATCACTTTATGTGTTTGTGAAATAAAAAAATCTGGTCGATAATAAAATCAGAAAATGTCGAATGAAAAATAATTCAATTTTCATGAAAAAAGTTTTTTTTTCTTCAATCTTGAGTCACTCTCGGAATCCGCTTGGAAACATTGAAACTTTTTATTCATTGGAGGTTTTCTTCTTCAATTTGAAACAGTTCATAATACGTATTTCCTGAAAACGTTCACGTTCGATTTCTTGTTCAGTGTTGAGCACTTTAAGTCTTTCAAGACATCTTAATAAGAAAAGTTTACTTTACTTTGTACGTTTAAAATTCATTAAAGTCATGAGCTAGGTAGACGTTGCAGTTGAAAAGAATGGAAAAAAGTTGTTGATGGCAGCAAATAAATATTTGTTTTTTCAATCAATATCTTTGATTTTTTATGACCTAAGGGGATATGCAAGCCGAAATGAAGAACATTGAAAATCTTTTTCATTTTTCTGCATTTTTTCATATTTTGCATCAAGCGCACAGAACTTTATCATGCAAAACGGGAGAAAGAAGTTGAAGTTAAAGGCATTGGAAATTAATCGATTCTCATATTCATAAAATCGCTTGAAGACTTCTTGTATTGAATTTTTTTTGTTTCTCTTTTATTTCTTTAATTAACTCCTCCTTGTTGTAAACGGAGTCTCGAAGCGATGCATCAATAAGAAATTGATATATTTTCGATTTGCATTCGATCATTGCATGTCGCTTTGTTTTTGAAATATAAATGAAACCTGCTTCTCGAGAAGTTAAATTGGTTTTCATTTTATGAGTTACATAAACAATCTTCTAATGACTTGGAAATTTATCTTTAAGAGGAAGCATTTTAAGATGTAATAAGTTGAACATTTTCACTAAAAATTTGTTCAGCAATTCAAACAAATAAAAAACAATTCAAGATAAAATTTATCAATCATTTCTATTTCTCAATAATTTTGTAATCATAAATGCATAAATCTTGTTAAATTACAATTATAAGCGTATAAGCGAATATATCGATTGGATTTGTAATTTGTCGAAGAACAAGCTGAAGCAAATACGATTAGGGTATGGAAAATTAATATAAAATTGAAATCCTTTCTTTGATTTTGTTCAATTTGGTGGAGAAACTTCGATTTTTAAATAAATCTGAAGATGGTGGACCTCACAAAGCGAGAAAATGATGATTTAATGCCTTTCTAATAGTCTTAAAATCGTACAAAAAAATTATTGAAAATCAGTTAAATAAAAATCTTCAGAAAATCAAACACTTTTGATAAGCTGATTTGTTGATTCATTCTGTCAAATCATTGGAAGTTGATACATAAATCAATGTGTATGAAAACAGCAAGCAAACATGAAATATGAACGCATCATCAGTAGAAAAGGACATGAAAGAAGTTTACTTCATTATTATTGTCAATGAGAATTCTCGTCTAAAAGTGTTGAATGGTTAAGTCAACAGACTGTGAAAGGAGTCAGCAGCAATCAATCATTATAAAGATATTGAAACTTGTGATTCATTTTTAACACTCAATCGACCACAAAATTTATTTTTATTGGATTAATATTACTGAATGAATGACAAGCGATCCCAACAGATGTGCACTTCTTTCATGAAACATCAAACAATTTCATTGTTGTTTGGTTTTCGAATTTCAATCGAGACGAAAATGAGAGAAAAGAGTTTTGTTCATTTAAATTCAATTAAAGTTTTTTTTTCTCCTTTTGGTTCGACATCATTCTGATGTTCTATTTTCAAGAATTAAATATTGAGCTGCTTTCATCCCCGAAATTTTACAATCGATCAGAGTAAGAAAACTTCTCACGTATGTTCGAAGAGAAGAAAAATGTCAAAACATTTTCACTCAGTCAAGTGGAAAATTTTTCATTCATTTCATTGTCTTGAAGTAAACGTAGTGGGAAAATGATTTTCTCCCTCTCATGTCATTATCCCTCATAATCTGTCGTGTGTGCTTACAATTGGACTCAAATAATGAGACAAAATCCCACACATAAAAAATATGTCGTTTCCGTTGACTTAATATTTCGTGTGAGTTTCAATTTTAACAGTTGGTTGAGACAAGAAATTGTTTCGTTTTGTAGGAAAACAGAGAAAAAAGAAAATAAATTTTAGCATAACAAAAGAAAATTTTCCAATTGAAATGTAAATCGAGGAAGAACCGGAAATCGCCTCGAGGACTCAGATTCGTTTGTGCTTTTGTTGATGACGCTCATCACTCATCTCCCTGAAGTTTTCAAATTTGTTCAAGCACTTCAAATGTAAAAAAAGAAATTTACTTTAAAATCATTTGGGATCACAAAAAAGTTTCAAATATTTTTTCTAATGATCTCTTCTCGTTTCATTTTCTCTCACGTCCATCTAATTTCTAATATCAAATTCTCGATTTTTGTAGATAGGAAAAATTAATATGAAAAGTTTATTCAGTGTTGACACGTTTGTCACATAATTTAATTGTTAGTGTTACATAAGGCGTGATTTTATGCATTGAAATTGTTTTCCCAAAAGAATTTTTGATACAATCACACAATCATTGCAGTCTTTTGTAAATCCCTTATGGACTCTTGGAACAGGTCGTGCATCCATCGACAAAAATAAGCTAGCAAAGTATTCATGGATGTGAAGCCGTCATGCAGCTTTAAAAATTGATATTTTTATTGCTTTCAACGCAAATCTTTGCTGCCGCCGTTAAAGCGATGCAAAAAATGCATCAACAGCGGTAAAATTTATTGACCAAATAATTTAAAACGGCAGCGAAGTTCATTAATTTTATTCACTTCTTTCTTTTTTTTCCTTTTTTCATAGTCACAAAGATTAAACTCTTCGAGCAATATTCTTTCTTATTTGTGGTGCAGAAAAATTTTATCGTTAAAACGATTATGGAATTTTATTAATTTTACTAAATCACTGAATAGCCTTTTGTGCATGATGATTTGTGAATTCAATTTACTTTAGAAAAATATAATGTAAGCAGTGTGATCATTATGAAGCTACCTTGGAAACAAAGTTGTTTAATTTAATAGTTTAAATTACCTCAAATTTAATTTGGTTCCTTGCACTCATCACAACATCAATCATAAAGTAAAAATTTCAATATCTGAATCAGAACGTTGAAACCTTTTGAAAATTTAAGACAAATATAATTTCAAGTTAAGTTATATCGACTTCAACTTAAATCGGCTTTCATAATCAAACGATTGTCCGCACGAGAGCTTAATAAAATTGGTCAATGAAAAAAATCCTCGCCATGAATCGCAACTCCAATATCGGTTTTCTGTTTTATGTTATTTATTATTATTAAATGCCATTAAGTATCGGAACGGTTCCCAATGGCCCAACCACTGCTGCTGAAGACTTTTATATAATTTCTGTCTTTTCTCCAGGGTTGTTCTTTGACATATTTACATCATTTGACACTTGTTTAAGTAATCAGAAAAATTTTAAAATATTTTTAAATCCTTTAATTTTTATAATTTTTTAAAAGTTTTGAAAATGTGTCACAATTGAAGTTGTCAGTCAGTTTAGTAAAGAACAACCAACAGTAAAATTCAGTAACACTGCTATTCGGGTGTTTATATTCGCTGAAATATCAGAAATTTATCGGACGAACACACGATGAGAGAAAAAAAAAAACGAAATCACGCTCCACATAGAGATCTCCAGAATAAAATAATTTATAGCTTCACGGTTGCTCAAATATCGATAAATACATTTGCTTCGGGACAGAAGACAATTATTAAGATTATTTATATTCTCAATCGACTAAAAACGTGGATACATTTGGATTCTCAAACGATCACCTCTGAATATTTATATTTAGATGACTTACGGGAACATGAATTTGTTTTATAATATCCTTCTTTTAATTGGATTGAGTTTACTGGCATAAAATGTTGATCATCTGGTCAGCTGAATGAAATCCTTAACAGGTGAATTCGCTATGCTTTTAAAATTTCTGTAAACTCGTAAAATCCATCTCAAAGCGCACAATGATCAATAAATTACGCCATGAAATTGTCACCGGAAAGATGTGCACTTTAAAGCAAGAATTTATTACGCGATTGGTAGTTTCGCATACTTGCACCAAATAGTCTTTCAATAAATCATTGAAACAATAATCCTTACGATACTTGCATATTTCTCGTGGGACTTAAAAAGCGCAGATTATTTTATATCCCATAAAAATGTGACTTTTTTTAGCTGTCCGTGTTTGAATAAAGTTTCTTTTAAGATTTCCGATTCGTTCATTGAAAATGAGCCAAAAGCAAACGAAGGCGAATATAAAATATCTCAAAATGAGAGTAGGTGGAGAAGATATTCAAATAAACTTAAACCGGCAATTTACCGCACGATTTTGTCACTGTGTACGAACCTTTTTGGATTATTCAAAAATATTTCAATAGTTTGAGTGCTTCATCATCACTTAAGTCAGTCAAGAGTGAAAAAAGCATTCAAATGGAAGCAATTCAATGACGTTGCTACTCTTACACGAATTTATTTTAAAAAGCAAATTGAACGGAAATTGATGTTCGAACATTTAACTTTGTTTACATTTCGCAAAAACCAATTATACGAGAAATGATATAAAATAACTGCTGGGCTTTTCATAATATTTATATCTGTTGGTTGGCATTCGAAAGTGGAGAAGCTTGTAATAAATCGTTTGTCCTTACATTGATAAATAACGTACAACTTTAATTCAGTGCAGAAAAAAATTATGATTATTTTTTAAAGAAAGACTTAAACAACCTGAAGCTTTTCAATTATAACTCTCACAATTCTTATTTAAAAAAATTAATTTATGGAAACAATTTATTCTGTTTTTATTGGTAAACTATTGAGATATGTTAAGTAAGTAATTGAAACTTTATTTTATACTAAACTAGCTTATTTCCATCATTGACAATTTATGAATCATTTCCCAAATATTCAATGGACAGTTTTCAGATAAGAATCTAACAAAAAATCGTGTCCTATAAAAAACCAATTGAAATCAAAATAAAAACACTTTATGGGGTAGTAATCTCATGAATGAAGATGAAATCAAAATTGTACAATTTTAACAACAAGAAAATATTCGTTGAGATTCACATAGAGTGCACGCGTATTCCATGCTGTGAGGAATAAAAACAGAAAAACATCACTCGTTCATTTTGAAGAATGTAGAGCAGTCGTGTCTCGAAGAAGGGAGGATTGAATTAGCAAGATAATCAGCAGCATCGAGATAAGAGAAAGGAGGCTTTACAATTTTATTGCATAATAAATGCTAATTTCTTCCTCTTTGATTAGAACTTAAAATTCCCCGCAATTTTGCAGCACGAAAGTAATGAATGAACTAATTCATATTTTTTATGACAGCAGAAATTATAATAATTTCACTCTTGTTGAAGATCGTAAAATCATTTCAAAGTCTTCATAAATTAATTTTTTCATCGTGCTCTCTGTAATAAAATTGCTTCATCACCATAAACTTGGACATGTCCATCGATGACCATCCAGTAACATGCTACGTTTACCTGAAACACTTTTTATTATTCAACATGCATGTTAATATATTCAACATGTATACTCAAAAGACAAAGAAATATTTAGAAAATTCTTTAGCAGTAAATTTTTTTCATGTCGAAACAAAACATTGTAAAGTTACGTTGAAATGGACAGATGAAGAATTACGCTCCACCTTAAAAACAGTTTACACAGCCAATGCTGACGAATGAATGGCAGTTGATATGTGTGCAGCATATAAAAGAAGGGAGAATCAATTTGTGTTACTACATAGACAACATACTACTAACATTATCACACTCACTCAACTTTCTGTGTATCACGTAAAGCAACCAAAGCTCTCTCAAAAACCAGATGCTGTCTGATAACCAGTTTCTCACAAACAAGAATATTTTTGTTTCTTTTGCCAAAAAATATTTGTGTTTCTTAGCTGATGGTTTAGTGTTCGTTTTGATCGTCAACACATCGGAGTACGCTTACCTTACGAAGAGAAAGGAAATTTTACATGAAGAAAACGTTTTTATTTGCCGATGGAAACTGATTTAAAACCGAGTAAAAACTGAACACAAAGTAGAAGATGCGTGTTGCATTTTATTTAAATAAATAACCGCAACAAAAGTTGCGAAAATCATTTTGATTTAAGTAGCTTTGTGCAAAATGGTGCCAGTTTTGAAGAGCTTTTGTTATCAGTGACTTGAGTGACAAAAAGAATTCATTAAAAAAAATATGTTTGGAAACTTCATAACAATTGGAGTGTCCACAGTTTAAGTGAATATCAATAAGTTAACCTTGAAGATTAAGGAAACAAACGATTTCGATTTATAAAAGAAGTGGACAAGATTCTATATGATTCTTAAGCAAGAATTTTCAGAGGAAGCATCAAAAATTTCGGATATTTCAAAAGGAATGAAGGTGCGAGTAAAAAAAAATCATTTTATTGTTTCTTGTTCGACCCTTTAAGAGTCTTTGATTTACGAGTTCAAGTTATCAGCTTGAGCTGTGAATGGGTAAATATTATGAAGTTTAAGAAGCAGTCGATTAAAAGACATAGAAACTTGTCGCACTATAAATCAGAACTAGACAAGAGATTTCCTCCAGTATGGAAATTAGTTTTCTTTGTTGCAAGGAATTTAAATGACTTTAAATCATGAGAATAAATAAGTGTAACTAATCGTAGAAATATTTAATGAAAAGATGCAACTGAAAAAGGACTTGAATAATTTATAAATGTATCAACAAAGTATTACTTTGTATAAGCAATTTGTGATCCACCGCAAATCATTTTCCACTGTCAAAGACGATATAAAAATTTTCGTGAGATAAATGACGCACAATTTGTAAGTTTCTGTTTCTTAAAATGATATCAATCATTGAACAGTTGCTATGTTGACTTTGATAAAACTTTTCTTCATATAAAATTAAAAATTCTTCACAAATGTTTGTTCAAGAGTCTTTCGAATTATTCCTAATTTTTACGTAAGTAACAAATGTATTTAGACATTTATTTACACAAAGCATTTAAATAATTTTTTTACACCTGTTCGTAAAGAGTCATAGATATCCAGACTCCAACTTACAGTCTGGAAAAAAAGATTTCTTGTTGTTTAATTTTTTAATCCTTTTTTTCTCCATTCACTTAAATCGACATATAAATTATGAGATTTTCTCATTCGCTTGCTTATGATTTTCATGAGTCGGAATTTCATCAAAGAACTTCGAAGCTTTATAAATTGAAACAGCAACATGCAAAGGGAAAATATCAGTGTCGAGTGTTTCTCTTTGTAATAATTATTGATTATGTTTTTTTTTCTTATAATCCGATGAACGACGATGAGAAAACAGGTGAATTATTATAGTTTGAGCTATTATAAGTAAAACTTTTGTTTCGACAATCAATGAGAGCTTTTTAAATTATTTGTGAGCATAAACTTATAAAGATGTTCATCGTTTTGTTTCAAGTTTCTGTTTCAATTGTCTGACGAAATAATAACTGCTACCGTAATCTAATTTCATCATAAAAATCGATCACAATTCCGTGCCTGTCCCTTACACCTTCAATATTAAATGAAAAAAGTCCGACGGCGCTTGAAGATATGCCAATAAAACTCTTCATTTTATTATCTTGATTACGTAATATTTTAAAAATATGCAAATAAAATTTATAATAAGACTTGGCGTTAAGCTCTTAACGTAGCAAATTATTGGCCAAAATAAATCGAAAAAGTATCAGAAGGAAGACACGTAAATGTCTGTTTCTTCCGAAAAATTCATCTACAAACGTACTGTATGGAATATTTGGTAAATATTGATTATAGGTATAGTGAACTACACGATAAAATTGCTTAGTGACTAATGGAATTATTAAAAACATTAAACTTTTCTCTTCCTTGATCTTTTCAAAAAATTTCTTAACAACAAAACGAATCGTAAAATTTCGATAGGTTTACAGATTTTGAAGTTTATTGTGGGCATTTTCCATTCATCACAGATTCTCTTTTATATAGAAACAGGACAATGCATAAATGAAAAGCGTAAAAACATCTGCACAGTAACACCAATGAGCCAACAACGTTAAGCGTGTTTGCAAAGTTTTAATGAGCCCAATTGACTTTGAAAAACATCTTGAGTCTTTAATAATATTTTTGTTTTTCAGTTAATTACGAACACCTACTATAGAAAATATGTAAAAGCACACAAAAATTAACAAAAATAAAATTTATGACACCTAGAAGGAGACAAATGAAAACAGAATTGTCAATATTGAAAACAGATGAAAGTGATCGTTCCACGCAAAACTTTTCATATTCATGATGAGATAGGTGAATAAATAATTAATTTCAAATCAATATTCAAGCGATTCGTGATGATTATCCAAACGTGGCTGAAAGTATTAATTTTGATTATCTTTTGCCAAAGCAAACAACCTATGATGACCGTCTCATTTTGAAAAAGGTTCGCGATATTTGATTATGCGGGATGAGAATTTTCTTTTTTTTTCTCACGAGATTATGAATAAAAGAAAGGCTTTTGAACGTGAAGCAAATTTAAATCAATCAATCTTGGTCTTATTATCAGCGGGAGTTTAATTTCATTCATGATGGTGCTGCAATTATCTCACGTGGTAAAATAATATTTCGGTAATAATTGATATACAATTGGAGCAATTTTCTTCATGTAAAGATCATAAATCATTACACAATTTTAGCAGAGTAAAACATGTCATTACCAAATGTTGCTCACAATTTTTAAAATATTCTTTTCCTAAAACGTGTCGTGTAATTTTTTTTATTCCTTTAAACTTGTTGTTAAGTAATTTACTCAAGAAAGTATTTTGAATTTTGTGGGTGGGTTTTATTATGTCATTACATTAAACCTTGAACATCTACATGACTCTAAAATGAATTCATTAATGACAGACGATGAAAATATTCTCATGAAGCCATTCACTTGATAAATTACATAAGCTTATTTTGATAGTCGCGATCTAATGAAAATTCATAATCTTTGCATTAGTCTCACGCTTGAAATTTATTCTTTTTTTGACCTTTTTTAATCTAAATTTAAGAAAAAAAAATTATATTAAAACAAAAACTAGCATCAACGAGATGAAAACAAATCCCAACTATCATTAACTTATCTCAGCGGGACATTAGCCGACAACAAAACGATGAAAATCAATTCAGAATGAAATCTTTAATCGATTTTTTTGTTCTTTAATCGCTTTCCATCAATCTTGTGTATGATGCAATGTTTTTGATTTTATTGAGCTTCTATCACATCCTCCAAATCTTTAAGGAAGTAAGCTTTAAATCATCAGATCTATTAGTGTTTTGAATGTGATTAATGATTTTGCGACTAACAAAATCTATAATTATGCCGACACCTTTCGAAATTGATTTAACCTAGGAAGATTTTTTCTGTTTTATTTAACATTCTTCCTAGATAAAAAATGTTTCATCTACAACATAATTTAAATATCTTTCACTTCGACAATGCATTAACATTTCAATCCATTCCTACCATCGTCCAATTTAAAATAATGTGAATTGCCTCAAGGTTTCAAAACAATAATAATATTAAAGTTTTAAGTGTTCAAATCAAATTTATGATGCTTAAATTAATCATTTTATGGATTTTAAGATTAAAGAATCGATATTTAAGTACGAAAGTTCATTCATCCTTTAGTTCATTTTGTTCCCAGACTTATTATAAATTCTTTTCGCATCCAACGGAAATCGCAAACCAAAGTAACTTCAACTCCAACATCAGAAGCTACTTTATTACGCTTCTCATTGTGTCACCCAGTCTGTGATAATCATTCTCGACATGTCACAAGAAAATTTCTCAAACTACTTCTCCCATCAACGTAGGTATAAAGAGAATTTCATTTGCATTTGAAAAACATTCTTCGACTTCTTATACATATCTTCAGAGTTTTACAAATGTTTGCATTTAAAAACTAAAAACTTTTTTTTTACCAACAGCATCAGTCAGAATTTAAAATAGTTTGACTTGTTGTTTAATGTGAAAATAATGAAACGGAAGCATGAATTCTACAAGATGAATATCAGAAACGCGAGTAAGCGACGTAATAAACGAATAACTCCAAAATATTTTAACATGAAAATTTTCTCACAGAAATTAACAATTTTAAGACGTCGTGAAAATCGACAAAAGAACTATCACATCTGCATAAGTAAAAGCTCGGCCTTAAAAGATGCTCTAATGTGTTGTTCTTTGCTCTAGTTTGCTGACCAATTTTCTTATTCATTTATTGTTTCAATTATTTTAAATTTCAAGTCCGATTAAGTTACATTATAAAAAAAGTATCAATAAATTTGAGCTTTTAAAATTGGCTTTATCTGGACGTCTTCTTATTATTTCATTTATGATTCAAATGCAGAAAAATACTTTTTCACAATAAGAAGCGAGTCGGAATCATAAAGCAAACTTATTGAAATTAAAATGCCATAAAAATATTTTTCTTTATTGTAAAAGAGAGAAAAATTTATACAAATCCAATACAGAAGATTAAACAGAGAAGAAAGAAGATCTTTTCTTTTATTTCTTGTAAGCATTATGAGACATCAACAACGAGCGCGAATAATAAACCGAAATATATGCGCTATAAAACGTTGTCCATTGAAAAGCTGTAAAACAAAATATTGGGTCGGTATCGAATGGTGAAAACCACAAATTATATTGTTTCTAGAAATTGGAAAATTATACACCTGACACGTGAAGGTTAACAAATTTTATTTTTTTTATATGCTGTGCTGCTATAATTTTTAATCTGTTTATGATTTTTTACAGTCCTTATGTTTTACAAATGTATTCATAATTTTTCTGTTCTTTGTTTCAAGCTTAGATAAATCTTTTTATGTTCACCAATAAACATCAAAACAAAAAAGTTATTTGAATTAATTTATATATGACGTATGTAAGATTGTGTTACAAGTTATATTTATTTCTTAATGCTCATTAATTTGAATACAGAATTATTTTTGTGCCATCAATTAATTACTTTAACAAATCAATTTCAATTTTCAGAATCTTTTGCAATAAAAGTTTTAGAAAAGTTTAATCAAAATTTAACATTGCCAACACTCATAAAGTTATTGAATAATCTGTCATCATAAAAAAGAAAGGAATTGTGTTAATTTTAACAAAAAGAAACATAAATTGCCTTTTATGCTGTGATAAAATTTTCACGGTTTTCATAACAATATAAATTTGTTTTAATATCAAAGCTTTGATTGATATCAAAAAAACATTTTTTTTATTTTTCATTATGATTTATAACTTTACCATTTTCATAATTGGATAGTAATAAAGTGATTTGAGTTCTCAAACTGATTTCTTTCTTCAGTTCCATTGATTGTTCCATGGCAAAACAAAAAAAAATCTAATATTAATTTATTGCTATTCGTGTGATCCGCTCGTGATGAAAAGTTAGACTTATGACTATGTGATGACCAATTTAAAAATTTGAATCTTAAAGAGAATCGAATAAACTTTCAATTCTTAATATAATTCACCACTCCCACAAATCTTTACTCCTTACTTCGTAGCTTCTGAATTACTACTTCACGAGAAGTATGAAAAAAGGTTTACGTGATAGAAATGCAAAGTATTAAACCGTCAAATGACTCCATGCCATGATGTATGAAATTTATGTGGAAGTGTTTGAAAGCTGGCTACTGCTGGCGCTGAAACTTATGCGCGAAATCACGCAACGCGGTGCATTAAATACGTCAGTCTTTCATTCTGTCTTAAATAACAAATTATTGATGAGCCGTGTGGTTGAGAAATAAACATAAAGTCTTCTGAATATCGATTTCATGTTGATAATTTAAGACTTCTTCATGACTTTTATCGTTTTTTTCTCCATCTTTACGTCTTCATACTTTATTTCTTACTGTTTTCGATTCTTCTCAATCCTCAAAAAACTTATGAAAGGAAATAAAAAAGAATTTCATTCTCGCAAGAACAAATTTGTTGAATTTCGCGACATATAATCTCGGTATGGGGGCAACTTGATGAACATAATCGAACATGCTTGTTTGCTGTTGTACTTTTATTTCCTTTGCTTATGAATATTGAAAATATTTCAATTACAATATTCCTGGTGTCTCTGAATGCACTTTCAATATTTTCTACATTATCAATTTAACTAATGTCTTGATGAAATGAAAGAGTTGAAAGTCTTGAATTTTTAATCTTCCTTAAACTTATAACATGATAACAAAAAAAGAAGTCGAGAGAAAAGCTGAAAGGTGAAAAATTACAATTTAATTCCAAACAATTTTTTTCAGTCCCCGCTTCGTTATTAATACTCAATTAATAAAACTTTTCTATCCCAAAAAAATGAGAGCCTAGCCGAGGCATTTTCAGTGAAACTTAAAAAGAGAAAAAGACAAGATATTTGTTGAACCTTTTTGATCTTACACCGAAATAAAGAAAAAAATATCGATTTGCGCCGTCGACTTCCACAATGAAAAATTGTGGATAATAACAAAGTTTTTTTTCATTTAAAGGCTCTTCTTTTATTCTTCTTTTTTTTCATTGGTTTCTGACCGAATAAAAACATCATCATTATTAGATGTTGTGGATCTAATGTTGCCTCTTCAACGGCTTAAGACGACGCGTCTCCAGCTCCGATATTGAACGATTTTTTATGCTAATAACTAAAATAAAGCCTCTAAAGATAATCGTCGTGCTATAAGTTGAAGAAGATCCGATGCCAAAAACGTTTTTAATTTGTTTTTCTTTTAAAACAGAATTGAAAGACATTAAGAGACAATGTCGTGAAAATCCATTTAAAAACCTATTTGAAGCGAACGTCTGAAGATCCAATAACTGTTAGTTGTATTAAAAGAGTCAGAGTAGAAAGCATTTTCTGCTGTATTAATTCCAATAAAGTTCAGCATTTTATTAGTGATCGCCGCGTTTCAGATGCTTGAAGTTGCTTGAATATGGAAGGGTTTAAATATCAAGAAGCTAAATCTCTTTTATCACATGCTATCAACATCTTCTTGAAATTTTAATTAACTTTCAACATATGTGCGGAAAGTGCGCGAAAAGATTGAATGTAAATTATTATTATTGTTACTATCAAGTCTGAATCTTATCTTAAAAGCTCAGAAGGGATGGAGATTTATTCAATGAGTCACTCGTGGAGTCTCCATATGATGTCCAAGTCTTTCCTTTGCTGACAAGAAGCGGCAATATTCGATCCACTTTGCATAAATTGACTCAAAAAAATCTCGCTATGTAGAACAGAAGAATTTACGAAACTATCTGCAAGTTTTCCTCGATCACGGCAGATCTCATGCCGCGCAAATTAATTAAAACACATAAACAATTCACCACCAACAACTTTTTTGTTGTTGTTATTTAGATATTTTTTTTATTTATCTTTTTGTTGGGATCAGTCTTGATAAAATCTCAAATGATGGGAAGCAATGAATGGAATGAATGAAATTGTGTGAGTAAAATTGACATTTTATAAGTTTCTGTGAAGTTATAGACAATTAAAACATGAGAAAATTCAGACATTTAATTTTAATTGATTCCTTGCAGTTAAAACGTCATCAGAAGTTTATTAACACTCAGTTTCTTCTTACATTGTTACTATTTACAGCATGTAGACAACGAGGCATTAATCAAGATGACAAATCAGAGAATAAAGGTAAGTTTTCTTAAAATTTACAATTCCTTTACTATTTGTGACCTTTTTTACATCTACTTACTTATTTAGTTTCCTTTGATCGTTTTCTTAAAACAGAAAATTGATTTCCGATTACATTTTTATTGCATTGTCCATCACAAGAAGAAAATGAAACAAAATATTCTTCCATTGTTCAATTCCTTAAGACATTACGCCATTCATACCTTTTATTGTTCTTGACAACTTCTGTTTTTGTATCTTCCTTCCTCGTTTGATTCCTTTTGTTTCGCATCAAGCCACCTTTTGAAAAGTCAATTGTCACCCTTGAAACTAAAAACATATTACAAACATCACATAACATAACAGCAAATGATGTAACGGTGAGAAGAGAAGGAATAAAACACATTTTACGGAAGATAGTCTATTGCATAAAGAAGGGCATAAAAGAATGACTTCGATATTTTGAGGGTTTGTTTGAGGCGCGATTATTATGGTCATGGTTTGATGATCATCAAATGAATTATGATATTTTTTCCCTACTAATCTACTATATCTAGGTTCAGAGAAGGATACATGAGTACATGACAGATTCTCAAGCACACAGATTCATTTGACTTACAATTATAATAAGGGTCGAGTGGGAAAGCTGTTTGTATGAATAACAAATGACTTTTCAAAAAGAAACATTATCAGAAATTATGACTATGGAATGCCTTCTACAAGCGTTTCCATTGTTAGGAGGGCTAAAATAAGGCAAGCAGTTTTGAAAAGTGATACTTGTTCTCGCATTACAATGCGGAAATATTTAATGGTTTTAAATGTTCTACGGGTCCTTTACATATCGTGCGGAAAATCAAGTTTTATGATTGATGAGCTTTTTATGAAAATTTGATTTTGATTTTTAAACGTTTACAATTTTTTTCTTATCATGTTTTTCATTCTTTTGCAGACAGAACTTCGGTCATGTACAGCGTGTGGTGATCCTATAGCCGACAGATATTTACTAGAAGTTGGAGGTTGCACATGGCATGGATCTTGC